GCTCGCGATTGACAAGTTGGGGGAAAATGACATTTACTGTCAATTGGACCCAACTGGAAGTGTCAGTTTTTAAGGGCATTTTGTGGCGAAAGGGCTAAAAAAAGTGACTTAAATCTGCAGATACTGAACCCAAGTGAAAAAATCCCCAACCACAACCCAACTTAAATGCAGGTGCAGAAGAAGAAGGTACTATTTTATTTATTTAGCTGACCTGACATGTTTCTTGCATTCAGAAAATCAGACGAACAGCAGCGTCAGTCTCATCCAAGTATTTATTTATTCAGTAGTCATTTACTTATTCAAAAGGAGCTCAAAATTAAAATTTTGAGAGCATGCATCTTACCTGAAGCAACATACAGATGTGAGTTGTGGACTATCTCCCAGTCCTTAAGAAAGAGAATAGGGGCTTTTGAGTTGAAATTCTATAGAAGGATTCTCAGAATATCTTGGACAAAGAAGAGAAGAAATACTGACATCTTGAAAGATCAGAACATCAAGAAAGATTGGCTAATAAACAGCATCCTGTCTCAGAAGCTGAAATATTTTGGTCATATCAAACGCCACGACAGATCGGAAAAAATAATAGCAGAAGGCATGGTACCAGGAAGGAGGGGCATTGGCAGACCAACACAAAGATGGGCACAGGATATAAGTGACACCTTGAGTATGAAAGTAAATGAGGCGGGAGAGCTGGCGAGAGATCCGAGTTTCTTTCAGGCAGACTGTGATGAGAGCCATATTCTGCAAAAGACCTTCTACATGATGATGAGTCATATACTTATGTGCAAGGATTCTGGAACACACTGAGACATTCACAAACAAGTCAGCTACATTCTGGTAGCTGGACCTCAACAACCATTAGTCTGTCTATGAAGTCAAACGCAGGCATACAGTCACCATCTTGTTGTGGTGTTTTACATGACACAGAACACATTTTTTTCCTTCCTTTCATCCATTATTTCAATATTATGAATGGAAACTAGTCCAGCACCTTTGGCCTCTGTCATCAACGTTTGTCATAGGGTTGCTTTCAGATTTTCTTGTTTCTTCATTTATGGACTGTGCTACTTTCATGTTAACAGGAAGAGCCCCTGACTGTGCTGCTTTCATGTAATGTGGCTAACAGGAAGTGTCCCTGACTGTGCTGCTTTCATGTTAACAGGAAGAGCCCCTGACTGTGCTACATTCATGTAATGTGGCTAATAGGAAGTGTCCCTGACTGTGCTGCTTTCATGTAATGTGGTTAACAGGAAGTGTCCCTGACTGTGCTGCTTTCATGTAATGTGGCTAACAGGAAGTGTCCCTGACTGTGCTGCTTTCATGTAATGTGGCTAACAGGAAGTGTCCCTGACTGTGCTGCTTTCATGTAATGTGGCTAACAGGAAGTGTCCCTGACTGTGCTGCTTTCATGTAATGTGGTTAACAGGAAGTGTCCCTGACTGTGCTGCTTTCTTGTAATGTGGTTAACAGGAAGTGTCCCTGACTGTGCTGCTTTCATGTAATGTGGCTAACAAGAAGTGTCCCTGACTGTGCTGCTTTCATGTTAACAGGAAGAGCCCCTGACTGTGCTACATTTATGTAATGTGGCTAATAGGAAGTGTCCCTGACTGTGCTGCTTTCATGTAATGTGGTTAACAGGAAGTGTCCCTGACTGTGCTGCTTTCATGTAATGTGGCCAACAGGAAGTGTCCCTGACTGTGCTGCTTTCATGTAATGTGGCTAACAGGAAGTGTCCCTGACTGTGCTGCTTTCATGTAATGTGGTTAACAGGAAGTGTCCATGACTGCTGCTTTCATGTAATGTGGCTAACAGGAAGTGTCCCTGACTGTGCTGCTTTCATGTAATGTGGCTAACAGGAAGTGTCCCTGACTGTGCTGCTTTCTTGTAATGTGGTTAACAGGAAGTGTCCCTGACTGTGCTGCTTTCATGTAATGTGGCTAACAGGAAGTGTCCCTGACTGTGCTACTTTCATGTAATGTGGCTAACTGGAAGTGTCCCTGACTGTGCTGCTTTTATGTAATGTAGCTAATAAGTGTCCCTAATGAAATCTAGGCTCAGAATAAGCTTAGGCTTATTCACAAGAAACCCCCTAATTGCAGTTCTTCTGTGTCCGGCCTTTGGTATGTTGTGTATTGGTTTACAGCTAGGCTGTTATATCTGGGTATTTTAGTCCCAACACGTCTGATTTCAGCAAATCCTTAATTAGTCTCCCTTTATGACATGTCTATTAAAGGGGGCAATAAGCATTTTTTTTTTAAATCCTCAATGGGGCCTTGACACCCACCCAGAGATCTAACTGCAATTAAAAATTGTTTAACAGATATAACTGATAAGCAGCTTAAAAGTGTTAGAGCCAGTTATCTACACTCTGAAAGGGGTGGTCATGTGCTGTGAAGATTGTGAGTTCATTTCACTGGTGCGTCATTTCGTTAATGAGTGCACTTTTTTTTATAGAGACCCCTGATAATCGTCGCTGGAGCTTTGATGTTCATTCTTGGTCTCAGCAGGCAGCTAGCATTCTGCAGAGGGACTGAGAAATTTGGGATAAAGACCCAGTGAAATATGTTTTATAGTACTGTTAAGCTAAACACAAATTCTGGTTCAGTACTCATGAGCAATACCTGATCACACATGGCATGTTGGTTGGGACTGAAAGAGTTAAATGCTCCCAACTTCTTCAGATTTCACAAGGAGAAACTCAGCTCAGTGCACAAAACCCTGTAGCACTAATGTGTATCCCAATGTGTATACACAAGAATCCATTAGGTTTAATAATGGCACTGTTATAAGGTTTCCTGCATTTCATGTTTTGCCACAGCAGTGACAGTTAACAGCCTACTGTATTTTTTCTATAATTTTCAACCAGCCAGCAAGGCATTTAGAACAGGTAGACAGCACTCCCTACTGCTTCATCTTGAGAGCTTTGTTTTGTAATTGGACCCAAAAAAAAGGGCGGGGAAGGGGGGGGGGGGGGTAATATTCTGTGTATTGTTAGTATACTTGTTGATTATCTATAAGGATTTATAGTTGGTTGTTTTTTTTTGTTTTTTGGGTGTGGTAATATTATGTGCAACTGTAATGCAGTATTACATATACATATCTACACCATTCAGAATCTGTTGTGTGTGAACATCTCAAGAAACATTTCATTTATGTTCATCTAGTAACTTACATTATAATGTTAATGTGTTGTTTTACACTTGATTTTTTAAATTATTCCACATGATTTTGATTTAATTCTATAACTATTTTGGGAGTAGCAGTAGTGTAGTGGCCAGATGTTTAGTTGACCTTGTTTTAAGGTCTGCATCAAGTCCATTTGTTTATGTTTATTTGTCAAGATTGATCTTGGCTTCCAAGTTAACTCAACCTAAAATAAGTAGTATTAGGTAATGTCATGGGAAGTAAAGGCAGCTGTGGTGATGATGACTATATTACCCACAAAGTTGGTCTATAAAAATATAAATCTAGTGTCGTATGTCTGATGTACCTCTGGTTTCAAGGGGTCCCTTTACTTTTTTTGGTAATATAACTGTTTAACAACTGCAGTGGTTAAAACTGTCTTCTTCTTCTTAGCGTTCACTGGATGTGGTAGAGAGTTCTGATTGTTCAACCATTTCTAGACTTAGGTCTGGTTTCAGACCTTGAGTTTTCTCAATCCCATCCATTTTTACAGATTTGGCTTATTTGTATGCAGACTGTCGGTACCTTGCCTCTTAGGCAGAGGCACTCCAAAGTCAAAGGAAGTCTCCTAATTAGTTGCCTTGTATGACATGCTTATTAGGGAGGTAGTGGATCTATCCCTTCTACCCACCGCCCCAGAATGAGGCCCCAGAAGCACACTTTCAGGCGACCTATAAGTTATTTGTTCGAATTCTTTCAAGGCAATACAGTAAAATCTCATTAGCACGAGCTCACTTGACAAAAACACTCCAATAACATGGACATCTTTTCGGTCCTAGCAGGGGTGTATTATTATTACTTGTCCATGGTTAGCACAATGTTTTCTAACACAAATTCAGTTTGCACTTTGTGTTAACAAGGTTTTACTGCAGTTTTTTTTTTTTTTTTTTTTTGGTTAATTGATGTGAACTACCTGGCTAACCTAGCCTAAAATCAATATTAGAAAATTAAAGCAGGCTACCTAATATTGACAGCGTGAATCATGAAATGTCTACTGGTCTATAAATATAATGGGACAGCACCTTCTATCAGATATGCCTCTAGGTATGGAGACCACCATAGATGAAGACAGTCATCTGAGTGTTGCTGTGAACTGACTGCCTCTATCTCCATTCTAACACCATAGATGAAGACAGTCATCTGAGTGTTGCTGTGAACTGACTGCCTCTATCTCCATTCTAACATTGGCGATACAAACACTCATCCAAGTGTTCCCTGTAACTGACTCTTCACTATACAACACAGCATATCTCTGAAGGTGGAGCTACCACACTAACTGTTGTTGTCACCTTACTGTCTTTCCAGATTACAGTGTTATACTGTACTTGAGAAATCCACAGCCCATGGTGATGGTGAGTGTGACTAGCAAGACTCACTGGCATTGAGAAAACTCTTTCACAGTTTGAGCCTGGGATTTCTGGACCATTGTTTCTATTGCACATTTTTAACCTACTTCTTTTCACGGTCAGCTTTTGACCTATTAAAAAGTATTTTCTGCCTTGTCCTTATTCCTTTACTGACCATGCTGATTGTGTGAAAAGATATATGCCCTACGACTCATAACATTGTGAAATGAGCAAACCAGTTCTGTTCATCACCATCTTATCCATCCAGCATCTCATCTCAAGCCAAAGTTTTTACCTGGTTGTTCTGTGATCTAGTTCTGAACTAGCCTGTATGTTCACATGACATTCACCTCTACAGCAGGCACTTATTCTAGTCATCTGAAACAAAGGGGTTTGCAAGATTGAAGTTCACTCAACAGATGATCCAGCAGACCACTAACAGAGACTCCGAGACAACCAACACATCTTGTTTCAGCTCAGTTCTCCGGACTCTGTAACAACATTGGGCATTTGTGGTGAAAAATCAGGAATGAGTTCTGCAACTTTCTGTCTCAATTCCATCCTTCTTTTCTCTCGTTCCTGCTCTCGCCTGAGCTTCTCCGGGAGATCTCTCCACGACAAAAAGGTCTTCCTGGTTAGAGTTCTGTTCAGAGACAATAAGAATCTGTTTAAACCAATACACTCTACTACATGGCTATTCAACTAAGTTTACTCAGAGGCCAACATTTTGAAAATGGGGATCACCTGAGCATTGGAAAATCATTAATACAATACAACTGGCAGTGATCCACAGGCCACTTACTAGGCCTCCCCGGCTGGCCAGCAGGCCACCAGTTAAATAGCCCTGCTCTACTACTTTTTCAGCCCTTTATTCCCCCAATGTAGTATAGGCCCTTAACCAACACACATGTCCTAAATTTTGCTTTTGCATGCAGCTCACCACATGTCCTTCCTGTCTTTTTAACTTCATTCTCTAGCTCCCTTCTCTCAATGACTTGTTTGGTTTGCCTTGACTTATTCTGTGCCCGGTTGGTTCCCACTCTACTACTACTTGTATGTAAATAAAAGACCCCTTTGACACCAGTGATGCATCAGACATATGGTGCTAGACCGAAAATTTTTACAGATCCACAGGCACTCAGTGGGTGGTGACATGGTGAAACAACATGCCAGCCAACTTTGCTTCCCAAAAAATGTCATGTTACTATTTTTAAACTGCGAGACCATGTTAGCAAAAAATAATCACAGCCTCAGTGGATTGGTGTATATCTTCTTCATCTGTGTTCAATCTAAAAAGGGTAGTTTGTGTATTGTGGTTCACAGCTAGACTGTGATACCTGCCTTTTATCCCAAACATTCAATGTCAGCAAACCTGCAATTAGTTGCCTTTTACAACTTGCTTGCTACAGGCCAGTAGGTCTATCCCCCTCCCTCCCCCCAACTCCCTTTTCTACATGGGGTCCAGGAACCCACACTGAGAGATGTGTACATAAACCACGGGTAAAGGTGAGAGGATTGACTTCGTTGCACCTGGTTTTATACTATATGACTCAGTCTCTCTCCGCAGAACAGCTAGCTGCCTGCTGAGAGCGTCACGACCATAGCTCCGGCAACTATCCCCATAGATCTCTGTAAAAATTGCACTTGTGAACTGAACGGCGCTGCCCTGAAATGAACCCATGACCTTCAGAGTGCTAGGCAGCTTGACTACTTCACCACAGAGACCCCCAAACCACAGGTCCGATATACCAGCCACTCCCCTAATGTGGCTTCCCTCGAACCACATACATTTCTGTGTTGATTTAAGAACTGACATCATCATACTCGTAAGCCCCCCCCCCCCCCCCTTGTTCCCCCCCCCACCCCCGCCCCTTCAGCAGCCACCACAGAGCTCCACTTTTGAGGGCACCAGTAGCAGTCTGACTGCATGTCTGTCTTGCCTCTTCTCTAAGTACCATTGCTGGCCAGATTTCCCTTGCACCATCCTCTTCAGAATGTGAAGATCAATTTGTGCTTCTGCACTGTTGCACACTTCCCCCACAGCCGTTATATTCATATGTAAGGTAAACACTTACTTGAGAAAATGTGAGTCTGCAGCTTCTAGCTTTTGTTGTGTGTCTTCCCTCTCTGTAGTCTTCCATTCCACCCAGGCTGAGAAACACTGAGACTTGAGGTGGCTATCATAATGCCTGGCTGCCCTCTGATTCAGGAACTTCATGTGGTGCTTGTACTGTTGGATCAAGACAAAAGTTTTATCTGTACCCTATCCTAGAGGCACTAGAACAGGCAACAAGCTTCAACAATCCTGGACATGAACCAGCAGATAATGACAGAATTTAACCTTTTCATCCAGGGAAGCCGCAAACCTGATATTTCCATGAAGATCTAATCCTCTGTAAATCTACTTATCCGGTATTTCTATAGTGATGTGTTTATGAGACATCTAGTAATTGCATTGGTTGTGTTTTTGCTAGCAAACAATTTTCTTGTGAACTAAATGACCCTTTTAAAGCCATTGTGAAGTCCCATTGTCCCATCACCTCAGTGATGGAGGTCACAGCATGAATCAGCTGATACTTTTGGGGGTAGGAATTCCCATGAGTTGTTAACTGATTTTCTCTGTGTGGGTTCCGGGGCCCCAATGTGGGGAAAACAAGAATAGACCAACTGCCTTCCTAGCAAACATGTTGTAGGAGTCGACTAACTGGGGACTTCCTTCAAAGTCAGAGTGCATCTGCTCGAGTGGCAAGGAAACCAGCTGCACACAAATAAGCCAATAAAACAGATGAACATGCAAAACTCAGGTCCTGGCATAGAGCCAAAGTCCAAATGGACGAACAACCAGGACTTTCCGCCGGTGAACAAAGAAGAAGAAGTTAACTCATTTTTTTAGGGTTTGCGGGTGAAAATTAAACAGAAAGATTATAAACTGTCTCTACACACTAAACTAACTAAAAGAACTCTTAAGAAACTACAAACATTCATTACGCAAAATAGCTGGCGCATTTCCGTCTTTCCAGATTATAGTATTCCATTGTTCTATAGGGAGACATGGGAATCACAGCTAATGTTGAATCAATTAAGGTTAGGGAGGAAATTACTCCTCTCCGTAGCACAAATTCTGAGCGGTAATGCAGAGACTATTTGTTGCCCATATACAGCATGATCCCTCTTTCAGTCTGCTTAATCAGCTCCAAAGGCAAGGTATCATGTATATTTGGAACATAGCATACTGCGGCAGCTGCCAGATCAGAAGAGCAGTGCTCTGTCTGTCTGCCTCTCAGTGTCAGTGCTTCCCTTCTAGATCAGTTGCCAGCCAAGGCTAAGGACCTGGTCTGCCCTACCAAAACATTTAGTTTTCAGGTTGCATTCTCCCACCCTAGGATAGGGATAATTTCTCAAGTGGGGCTGGACAGAATAGAAGAAGTAACTCCTGACAGAATCACTCATACAGAGCTTTGGGAAACAACAAATTCTTGCTAATCCAGAAGTGAGAAAAGGATGTTGAAATCAGATAGGACACAGAGTGAAAAAGTGGGTAACAGTATAACTAGAATGTCCTCTCACTGGAACCCACAGAACCAAAGGAATAATGGAAGACTCAAGGCATATGGAGAAGGGAATTATAGAGTGAAGTGGAAAAAAGATGGGAAGGACACGGGATGAGCTACACTTGTTAGCAAAGGACAGGACATCTTGGTGGGAATAGGTTGAGAGCTGTTACTCAGAGAATAAAGGACAGAAAGAGAAGACACCCTCAAGTTATGCTATGTTTAAGAAACAAAAACTATGTTCAACCACTTCCTAGGAAGTTTTGGTTATGTCTATGGTACACATCTGGCTGTTATTTCATTGGGTAATTCCTTGGTGTTAGTAGTGACACCCTTAAATAAAAGGGAACAGATTATATTGAACCAAGTTAATCACATTCTTCAAGATTGTCCCAAATACATTTCCAAAACTTCTGGCCAAGAGAGACACTGGTGGAAGCCAAACTTTACGGGCCGCTAAGTAAATTACCAAAGACAGTGAAGTTCATAGTAGAGATAGCATTGCAGATATAGATAAATAATATGGGGTCAGGCATGATGTATTCATTCAGCATGTGCTGTGCTGATAAACGAAGGCTGTCATGTCATATATAAATCCTATACTGATTTATGCATGTGAATCATGGACAGTTGGTAAATTAGTGAAAACTTATCTGGAAGCTATGGAGATGTGGTTTTATAGACGAATAATGAGAATATCCTGGACAGATAAGAGTAATGGCGATGTCTTGAAAGAAACTGACTCATGAAGAGAACTGATTGCCCACATCAGAAAGAGACAATCTACATTCTATGGTCATATGATGAAAAGGAGAAGACTGGAGTACATCATGTCAGTAGGAAAGTTTGAGGGGAGGTTAGGCAGAGGGAGACCGAGAGAACAGATGCTGGACGGTTTGCCATCATGGCATGGAAGATCATCTGTGTTGACTGAAAGTTTACGAGACAGAAGGCATGACTACCAATGCCACACGGCATGGACTTTAAGAAGATGAAGAAGTCATGTTTTGCCATCTCACACAATTTCCAGACTTTTGGATCATGTCAGTGTTCTTGTCTTGCCCCATCCGTATGACCAAGCCATCCAAGTATTTATCTTTCTACCTTCTCCTTGCTCTTCTTCTGTCTTTCTTGTGCTAGTCATCACCAGGTTCCTCTATCCATTCTTTATCATAACTCGTCTGAAAAACACCTGCATTAAAACAGAGAAGAGGAAGGACTAAAGCAAATTAAAAGTTATGAATGAGTGGATTCAGAGTTTATAATAACTTTTAACAGGCAATGTTACTTAACAATAAATATTTGTTGTGAAAAATAATAAAATTCTTACATTTTTCCACTTTTGAAAGGTATGTTTAATCACCAAAACTTGGGACATTTGGTCTGCCATACTTTGCTTCCGGTTAATTTCCTCATCGGCAAACAGTCTCCAGGCCTGAATACACTGTCTAGAACGAAAGAGAAATGAGGGGAGAATCTGTGTTAACATGACTGGGTTGTGGGGTGGGGGGGGGGGGGGGGGGGCAAGAAGGTCTGTGTAGATCTACAGGGTTGGAAAAAAAACACAGAAAATTTTGTGTTAAATTATAGGGTGTGTGTGGGTGCAAAAAAAGGGGGGGGGGGGGGGGGGGGGGGTTGGAATAAGAAAATATGTGCTAACATATGGGGGGGGGGGGGGGGGGGGCGGAGAGAAACAAAAAATGTAACACACCAGAAAAGAACAAACAGCTACATTTGTGTTAACACATCAGAAATGGAGAAACAAAAAAATCCATGTTAACACTTAGAAAGAGATAATCAATAAGTTGGTTGGTGCAAAAAAAAATCAACCATTTCATCACCAGCAAACTGATCAGTGATGCAAATAACAAATATATAAATAAACCCACAGTATGCATTGCTGAGGGGGTCGCCTTGGCCAAGCGGCTAGACGCTCGCCGCGGATCGGAAGGTCGTGGGTTCGCTCACTGGCGAAGCCGGACTATTTTTAAAAAATGACCTTGGCTCCCAGGTCGACCCAGCCTTGAGCGGGTACCGGGTGCAGTCCCGGAAAGTAGAGGCGGCCGGCGTGATGCTGACCACATCACTCTTCTTGTGCCGATTGGTCTATAAAAATATAGGTCTAACCCTATATGCCCTATACGCCTAAAGGCGTGGGAAAGGGTCCTTTACTTTTTATTTTACTTATGCATTGCTGAACAACAAGAGATTCCATTGCCACAAATGAATTGACAAACTGGCAAATCAGCTAACAACTTCATCCTCCACACATTTAGAAATAACGCCCCAATATGGGATGTAATTTTTTTGTTATTTAAAAACCCCACTTTGGGTTCCCTAATATAATCTAATAGTTTAATGGGCTTTTGAGACTTGTGCTCGGGTAATTCTTATTTGAGTGGAAGCACTTTGTGTTGCCAGGTGTTTATCATTCATTGTGCAGTCCTGGTGGCATTTCATTTCATCCATTCACATTCAGACCGACCCATACTGGACTACAGGTTACTTTGTAGCCGTTTTGTGGTGCCCCACTATAACTGCTATAAAAGGTTGAACAGGGTTTTCAGGATTTGTACCAGTTTGATTCTCATCCTTGAGATGTAAATCCTACACACTGCAATTCTGGAGGGGGAAACAATTTTTATTTTAAAAATTAAAAAAAAAACATCAATCTACAAATACCTGACAACTTCTCTGTCTCGATGCTTGATAGCCATGACCCACTGTTTCTTGCTCAGGGAGATAATCTTTTTGAAAGGAAGTAGTCCCCGGTATTTCATCAACGATCGTTTGTAGTGCTCATCTGCCAGTTTGTTCATTTCCTCCAACTTTGCCAACTCTTTTCTCTTCTCTTCTTCCTTCTGTAGCAGGAAAACAGAAAATTGAGTGTGGAATAAGCAAACATTACCTCGCTAAAACTCTAAAGTCATACTGTGTTATGCTTACAATGAGTACAGCTATGGGGTTTACCCATACAAATTGTGTACAGCTGTAGGGTTGACCCATACAAATTATGCCTTGCCAGTTTGTATTATTTATTCAAGACACCCACTCAAATTGGACTGCAGACTGGATTCTCAACTTCAGGTCAGCAGCTAGAAATTGATCAATCTTTGACCTTTTTGCTCTAAGAACACCATACACATACAAACAGGTCCTGACTCCGTTAGAATTCAGCAAAAATCCAAAACAACAAAAATGTTTGCACAGGTCACTAATGCATTGATTAAACATGTATTTATCTACATTTTTTGTTTACTTTTTTAAATATATTTAAAGAATAAGATATGTGAAATGAGTAATCAGTTAACACTAACAGGGTATAGCATTAAATGGAATACGTCTGCCAGGGCCTTAAAATAACAACAAACCACACCCCCAAAAATGATCGGGCGACACATGCCATGATCTCTATCACTCATCATCATTGGCACCTTTCCATCTTTCCAGACGATAGTGTTATATTGCGCTTTGAGGAGACATGAGACTCACAGCCCATGGCGATGGCGAGTGTGACTAGCAAGACCCGCCCATGTTAATAAAAGTCTTCCACAATGATAGCATGGGATTTCAGGACCATTGTTAACAATATTTGTGTTTAATCCGTTTCTTTTCAGATGCTCAGCTCTCATCCTTTCTGCAATCATTTTCTCCTTCAGTCTCATTTCCTTCCTGATGTGCCCTTTCCACACAACACGGTCCATGGCATTTTGTTCCCATGAGTCTGCCTCAATACCTGTATCATTCATGTCCCACTTGCACACATCTTTATAATGTAGTAGAGGTCGGCCTTGTTATCTTCTTCCTGTCTTTAATTCACAATAAAGGATGTCCTTAGGGACTCTGCCATTCCCCATTCTCCAGGTGTGACCCAGCCACCTGAGCCTTCGTAGATTGAGCATGGAAAAGACTGTTGTAGTACCTGCTCTTTCCAGTGCCTCAGTGTTTGTGATTTTGTCCTGCCACATAATGCCAAGTATTCTTCTTAGACATCGCATGTGAAAGCTATTAAGCCGTCTCTCCTGGTGCAAATAGGTTGACCAAGTTTCACTGCCATAAAGCAGAGTGCTGAGAACACAAGCCTTGATGGACAAGGATTTTTGTTTTAATTGTGAGCTTTCTGTTTTCCCAAAACTCTCTTTGTCAATCTGCTCATTGTTGTTGCTGCCTTACCTGTCCTGATGTTGATTTCCTGGTCCAGCGATAGTTTACTATTCACTGTGGAACCCAGATAGGTAAAATGGTTTACCGCCTCAAGCTCTTCACCGTCAATGTAGACTGTAGGTCTGTCATTGACACCTTGCACCATAACCTTCATCTTCTTTTTGCTGACTGTTAGTCCAAATTCAAAGCACGCATCAGCAAAGGCAGATAGTAAACATTGCAGCTCCTCCTCTGAGTGGGTGGTTATTGCGGCATCATCTGCAAACAGCAGCTCTCTGATAAGTACCTTTCTTATCCTGGTTTTGGCCTTCAGCCTGCGAGTATTGTAAAGGCTGCCGTCAGATCAAGAATGGATGAATATACCACCCTCCTGATCTCGATCTCGAAAGGCATTTGTCAAAAGAAGTGAAAAGATCTCTATCACTGAGGCTCACAATAAAGCCTAATGTCAACGAGGCTTTTAAAAAGCCATTTAGCTCAATGGAAACCACCTCCGACAACCCCCCACCTCCATGCTAATGTGTGTTAATGTGTATTATTTGACCAACTAGACATGATGGCTAATAGTTTTAACTGTGTGTCTCGTAAACAGGTCACTGTAGGCAAGTCGGAAAAGTGATATTTACCGGGAACTGGACTCAGCCGGAAGAGTTGATTTTTGGCTTCTCGGGGTAAAAGTGTGAATCAACTACACAAGCAAAAATATCAACATCTACCCGTAGTAAAATATTTATAGAAAGTGGGATTCTGATACACACTACAGGTGGATCCTTACCAGAGCTATGGAATATGTGCACCGTGCTGTGATTTTTCTAAAGTGGTCTATGGCATGAGACTGCAGCCTCATTTTAGATATCCTTAGAGACTAAACACCTATGGAGATGTTTTTGTGCAATGAAAGTGTCCTTGTTAAATAACCAAAATCATGAAAGCAAGGTAACCAATCTGAACCAACAGGGAAACAATAATAATCAGAAGAACTCCACAATGGGATCATGCACAGCAGGAGTCTACCAATCTTCAGTAGGTGGTTCCCCCCTTTCAACAACTGTTTCGGCCTGCTGTACTCCTAGACAATCTCTGGGGACAGGGCGACCTGGGTCATGGGGGCAGGTTGACCTGGGTCATGACGCCAGGCTATGGACATCTCCTTCTGCGCTTAACGGACAGTTGAACAAGATATTTTATGATTTGCAATGGGTACTGAGGTCATGGCATTATATATCGTCACTGCGGTAACAAATTAGTCACCTACCTGCACGATCAGAATGACAAATGCATGGCTGGTTTATCGAACAGACATTTATCAGACAGACTTTGGCAGTTAGCAGACGATGATCGGACAAATTTTGCTTTAGGGATTTAGAAGTTCTTTTCCACTAGGGTCTGGGACCAGTCTACAGAGGCCCTCTCAAACAAATCATACCTAAGATAAGTTACCACAAACTAACAGGCACTCATATTTACAAGTTACCTGTTTCTCCAGACGTTTTCTCTGCCTGTAATCCTCAATTTTGGCCTTCCTCTCTGCCTCCAGTGTTTTCTGAGTCTCCTCCTCAATCTTTTGCAGCTGAGCCTGCACAGATTAAAATCAGTTACAGAACAAACATTACCCACACCCACACACTGGATGAGGTTAGTTCGTAGCCACTGTGTGCTACCCCAGTATAACTGTGCTAAAAAGTTATAGGGTTTTCAGGATTTTCACTGGTTCTTCTTCTTATCAGACGGGAAAAAGAGAACGGGGAAGACCAAGAGAGACCCTGGCTAGAACCATAAACATCCAAGACCTAAAACAGGCGGCAGTGAACCACCAAACATGGATAGTTATGACCTCTGCCCTAGTGTCAAGAGGAAAGACTAACTAACTAACTAACTTATTCTTCTTCTTCACGTTTATTGACTGGCAACTCCAGTAGAAACTTCTGGTTTTTGTCCATTTCTGGACTTTAATCTTGTTCCAACACTTGAATTTTGTGTGCACACCCATTTGACAGATATGGCTTATTTGTATGCAGGCTGTTGGTTCCTTGCCTCTCAACAGATGCGCTTTGGCTTTGAAGGAAACCCCTAATTAGTTGACTCCTACAATACACCTGTTAGGGAAGCATTAAGTCTACTCTTATCCCTGCTCCTAAAAAGATATAGGATCCCTGAACCCACATGGAAGAAGCTGTTTGATTCTCATCCTTCAGTTGTCAATGCTATAGACTGCATTCCCGGAGCAGAAACACTTTTAAAAAACCCAAAAACATTACACATCAAACAAAAACTCAACACAATGTTCTGTGAGACACCCATTATCACTTTGTGTTAAAGCGCTACGAAGAACCTATGTTGTTGTATGAATGTGAAACATGGACAATTAGTAAAATAGCTGAAAAACATTTACTTGCAGCAGAGATTTGGTTTCTGAGAAGAATACAAAAAATATCATGAAAGGATAGTAAAACAAATAAAGCAGTCCTCATCGTTAACGTATTAGAACAATTAGACATAGACAGTCAATGTTTTTTGGACATGTTAAAAGTCGTAAACGTATTAGAACAATTAGACATAGACTGTCAATAATATTTGGACAGGTTAAAAGTCATAAACGTATTAGAATAATTAGACATAGACTGTTAATGTTTTTTGGACAGGTTAAAAGTCATAAACGTATTAGAACAATTAGACATAGACAGTTAATGTTTTTTGGACAGGTTAAAAGTCCTAAACCTATTAGAACAATTAGAAATAGACAGTCAATGTTTTTGGACAGGTTAAAGTCATAAACGTATTATAACAATTAGACATAGACAGTCAATGTTTTTGGGTATGTTAAGTCATAAACATATTAGAACAATTAGACATAGTCAATGTTTTGGGACATGTTAAAAGTCATAAACGTATTAGAACAATTAGACATAGACAGTTACTGTTTTTTGGACAGGTTAAAAGTCGTAAACGTATTAGAACAATTAGACATAGACAGTTACTGTTTTTTGGACAGGTTAAAAGTCGTAAACGTATTAGAACAATTAGACATAGACAGTTAATGTTTTTTGGACAGGTTAAAAGTCATAAACGTATTAGAACAATTAGACATAGACAGTTACTGTTTTTTGGACAGGTAAAAGTCATAAACGTATTAGAACAATTAGACATAGACTGTCAATGATTTTTGGACAGGTTAAAAGTCATAAACGTATTAGAACAATTAGACATAGACAGTTACTGTTTTTTGGACAGGTTAAAAGTCATAAACGTATTAGAACAATTAGACATAGACAGTTACTGTTTTTTGGACAGGTTAAAAGTCATAAACGTATTAGAACAATTAGACATAGACTGTCAATTATTTTTGGACAGGTTAAAAGTCATAAACATATTAGAACAATTAGACATAGACAGTTAATGTTTTTTGGACAGGTTAAAAGTCATAAACGTATTAGAACAATTAGACATAGACAGTTACTGTTTTTTGGACAGGTTAAAGTCATAAACGTATTAGAACAATTAGACATAGAGGGTCAATGTTTTTTGGACAGGTTAAGAGAAGAAATCGACCTAAGAATTTGGTGACAACTGGCAAGATTGATGAAAAAAGAGCAAACAGATGATAAAGAGATAAATATCTGGATGGCCTGGCCAAATGGATGGGGTGAGACAAAAACTGATCCGGGATTCTGGTGATTGTGAGAGATAGTGAAATATGAGAGCCTATGCTTACCGGCACAGCACATGATGATGATGATGATCATATTCTGTGGAAGATGTCAAGGCTGGCTTCACTACAGTTTAAAGAAGTGTGCAAGTGGGGCATGTAGGGTACAGGTATTGAGGTACATGCAACACAGCCATGGAATGAATTGCAAATTAGGAAGGCAATAGGGACAAAAGAGAAAAGGATTGCAGACAGGTTCAGAACTGAGCCTCTGTGAAGAAAGATGTCATATGTGTGGGATCGCAACAATGGCTCTGAAATGTCATGCTTTTATAGAAGATTCTTCTTCGTGCAAGCCAAGTTTGCTAGTCAAATTCATCATCCAAATTCATCATCCATGTCTCCATATAGCACGATGGAACACTGCTGCCTGGTTAGATGGAAAGATGCTATCAAATGAAATGTATTCCCAGTTTACCATGATTACATAGAAACAGATCAAGTGGTTTGGCCATCTCATTAGAATGCAGCAAGATCAAATACCATCACAAGCAATACAACTCAGAAGATTAGCTACAAGAGCAAGAGGAAAGCAGTGGAAAAATGGACCGACAACATTAAAGACACTCAACGCCTTCACGGCATGACAATAGCCAGTGGCAGTCAACATGCACTGGATCGCAAATTATTTCTCCCAATGTCGTTTAACGGCAGAAGTGGTTTATGATGATGATGACATAAGAACAGACTTCCTGTCCTCAGCTTGATAAACCTACCAGTTTGTCCTCTTCTTGTTTTCTCTTCCGTTCCTCTCTTTCAGCCTTCAGTTTTGCTCTCTTGGCTGCTCTGTCCTCTACATCTGCACATGATCATGGGATAAAGCTATCAGATATTGACAAATGCAGCATCTGTATCATTATTTCATGAATAACTTTTTTTTTTAAATTGTAGTTTTTCTGTTTTTCTTCTTTGAGTTATGCACAGGCCCCTCAAACAGCTCACTGCTAGCCCTTTGTAGACCTCATTACGAATGTTTACATGTTGAAGCTAGTGTTTCATAGAAAGAGGTCAGTCTTACTATGAATGAACTACTGTAGCTTCTTCTTCTTAGTGTTCACCAGCTGTAAACTCCAGCGGAAAGTTCTGGTTGTTCATTCACTTCTGGACTTTGGTCCTGTTCTAGAATTGTCACATCCATTTCATAGATCTGGCTTATTTGTGTGCAGACTGACTGTTGGCTCCTTGCCTCTCAGGCAGATGCATTCCAACTTTGAAGGAACCATCCTCAATAAGTTGAATTCTATGACATTTTTGTTAAGGGGGCAGTGTGTCCACCCCTCCCCCAATGGGGCCTCAGAACCCACACAAGGAGACTTCATTATGAGTGTGTAGATGTCAAGGGGTTAAAGTTCTCCATATAATAGGATGAAGTAGTCATTCTCCTTGAAACCAACAGTGGCTTTCTGTTAAACTGAATGTTAGGTGGTGGAACCAAACCTGACATCCCACACTGTTCATGGAGTTGGGTGCACAAGCGCGCTAGGGAGGATCTAGCCTTATTCTTGAAGGAGGAAATGCACCCTGAAAACTGACTGTTATGCCAAAGCAAACCAGGCCCTTAGTCTTGGTTGGCAGTTGGTCTAGGAGAGAAGCTAATATATGAAGATAAACAGAGCACTGCTATTCTAATCAGGCAGCTTTTGTTGATTGCCCCCCCCCCCCCCCAACCCCACCCCACGTTTTGGTATTAACTTTCATTTAGTGTAAACAAAGTAGGCTGAGAGAGGGATCATGCTGCATGGGCAACACATGGTCTCTCTACAATACTAACCAGGCGATGTACTAGGGAAAGGAAGAACTTTAACCCTGGCCTGAATCAGATGTGATCCCATGCCTCTATGTAATATAACACTATCATCTGAAAAGATACCACCAGCAGGCTGTCTAATGACCTTCCTCTAGGTCTCCTTTGACAACATACACATAAGTTATAGTGCTACATTTCTTTTCTTTCTGAAACTGTACGTGTTGGGGGCACACATGCAGAGGTTTATTTCCCAAACTTTAATACAAGTAAATACTTTCTGACTGTCATTTTGATCAACAGAATTATCTGGATATGTTTATGAGGAAAACAAACCCCAGATCAAGTTAGCCATTAAAACCCAATGGAACCCATTCAAAATACAACCTGAAGACCTAATAAAACTCCTCACATGAAAGTTGAAGTTGAAGTTGGTAGAAAACAAAAATGACAAAACTCCTTGACTCTTTCAGTCTGCTCCTGGTTGAGCGGTGACTATATCAAGTCCTTGTTTGTGTGCTGACTCTAGGTCGTTTTTTTTTTTTTTTTTTTTTTTTTGAGGCGTTTGGTTGTGCCTTGATTACCAATCTTTCTATTTGTCCTTTCCTTTTTGCCTGTGTGAGTTTTTTAAAGCAGCTAAGCATTGTATTTAGACTGATAACTGGACACTGCAGACTAACAGCCATATGTAAAATAAATTCAAGACTGGAGAGTCAGAACCTGGACCATGTAGACAGGCACTGCAAAAGACTGGACATATGCTGCAGACATGCTCTCTACATGCAGTAGAATGATCTCAAGTCTGGCCAGCTAGCATTCTTGTGGAAACCCAGCTATACTGATCAGAAGAAGCTTTGTATCATACCACAGCCTTCATAGAGATCTGTGGCTTTCTGATCTGAAAACCATCAGCAGAGAGAAGGAAAAACTATCTATATCCAAAAACTACTGGCAGGGAAAGCACACAAAAAAGATCTGTATCTAAAAAACAATTTGCTGGGAGAAGACACACACAATAAAACAGACCTGTATTTGTTCTTTGCAAGAATGGGACACTAATTCAAATTTCTAAGTTGTAAATGATTACAGGTGACAGATGAGAACAACCCTCTCCCCCCCCCCCCCCCCTCTCTCTCTTTCAAAATGAAAATTTATACCAAAGGCATGGTATGGTGGTGCTATAGAGGCTAGATACTTGCCTGCCACCCCAAAGGTCTTGGGTTCAAATCATCATCAAAGTGGCTTTCTTTTTCAAAACTGATATTGGCTCCCAGGTCAACCCAGCCTAAATTGAGTACCAGGTAATGTCCTGGGAAGTAAATGCAGGCTGGGTGATGGTCAACACATCACCCTCAGAGTGCTGATTGTTTATTAAAAAAAACATAAGCCTAGCATTAAATGCCTGACGCAACAAAGGCATGAAAAGGGTCCTTTACTTACTTACCTTTTTATTTTATTTTTCAACAAATGAGATACTAGTTATGATGAACAATGTCCACACTGAATACAGCACACTAACCACTTATTAAAAATGACAATGAAGAGACTGAAAATGCTACAGATTTTGAATATCTAGGCTCAATAAGGAACAACAACGGTGACTGCAAACAAATAAGTCACATGGAAGTAAGTTACAGTTAACATTTTGAGATCATGCATCTTTTCCCTGACAACTCATTGATGTGAGTCATGGACTCTCAGTCTTTGAAGAATTTAAATCAGAGCTTTTGAAGTGAAATCCTATAGAAAAATTCTTAGAATGCCGTGTACTGCTCCCCCCTCCCCCATGGGTCTAGAGCCCATATGAGGATGTGTACTGCTTAATACTCTTGAATTTATTTATCATGTGTTTTCAATGGCTTCAGGAGTTTGACAGCGGTCTTGCCACACACTTCATCAATTTTAGGATGAAGTAAAAACTGCTAGTTCCTGCCTTTATTTTACCACTATTGCAGTGTTGGCAGGTTGGGGGGGGTTCTTGAGCCTGAGGATTTACGGCCGCATGGCTAGTGCTATCGCCACGCCTGTGCAGGTGAGGATTTTATTTTGCCCCTGACAGAAAAAATCCCCAGCCTTACTTAGGATTAGAACCCATGTCTCCCACTTGAGAGTCCAGCATTCTAACCACTCCACCAGCTGCTCCTCCTTAGGATAAACATAGGCCAATAAAGACAAACATTAATACAAAGTGAAGAGTATCACTGAACTCTCCGTTACAAAAACATGCACCTAAGACTACAGCTACATGTCTAGACTTCAAGCCATGAGAAGAATGATAAGATAACTTACTTTTGAGCACTTTCAAATATTTTGTGTTGTTCACTCTTACAACTGCACATGATGCATGGCTGGATGTGATTGCTGAACTCTGCTCTGTTCTTGAGCTCGATGGTTCAGATCTAGTTCCAAATAAATACCAGATATACATTAATATCAAATGTATCAGTTTCCTTCAAAGTCAGAGTGCATCTGCCTGAGAAGTGAGAAACCAACAGTTTGTATACAAGTAAGCCAGATCTGTAAAACGGAGACTTGCACACAGAACTCAAGCTCTGGCAGTTCTGTAACAAGACTAAATTCCATAAGTGCACAAACAATAAAAACTATCTGTTGGAGCTTACAACTGCTGAACTCTAAGAAGAAGAAGTAGTTTGTCTGTTTGAGTCGTATTCGAGACAAGGTGTGTAAACTGTAAGTTAGATACTGGTATTTATGGCAAAGTCTGTGAATATGAACCTTGATGTTAGTGTTTAACATAAGGTGGGGGAGTTCACCACAGCATAGGAGTGGTTCAGAAGTATAGTTCTCAGAATGAACTCAAACAGTCTAACTTGGTTGTTGACAATACTGTTATAAAAAAAAACATGAACTTGATCCAAAGTTATAATTCTGAACAGGGCATGCTTGAGACAATAGCTGTCTAAACCGTTTCCATCCCTATTGCCAAGACATTGTCCTTTCCTTCAGGAGACCGTCAAATATCTTTTCTTTAAGTGCCCTGTTCTTTCAAATGCCAGGGAAAAGCTACTAAAACCATCCCCAACAGTTACAAACACACTCAATTACAGAAGATCTGCACCTTTATTGGAATAACAGTGGGCTGCCAAGAGCTGTAAACTCTGCAGCAATCGGCTCTCTAGAAGAGGAAACTCATTTAGTGCATCACAGACTTAAAATTCTCAAATGAGGATGGAAAAATGTTTGCAGGTTTTTTTAACACTGTGATTGATCAGATTAAAAAGATGACCTCAAATGCCATTACTGAATGCCATGATTCTTACTTCCTTCTATTTCCCCCTCTACTACTTTCTTCTTTACATATATGGGCTGTAAACAGGCAGAAAGTTTTATCTATTCATCCTTTAGTCTTGCACATCCATTTAATAGATCGGCTCATTTGTATGCAAAGTGTTGGTGCCTCACCACTCAGGCAGATGTACTCCTAATTCAAAAGAAACACCCCTAATTAGTCAACTTTTATGACATGCTAGTTAGGAAGGCAGTGGATCTATTCTCCTATTCCTCCCCCCAACCTGTCCCCCACCCCAGTTATGGCCCCAGAACCCAGACAGGGAGGCTGCATGAAGGTTAGACCCAGAGGTAACAAAATCTCATTCTGGATGAAAATCCATCCTGATTTTTTTATCACAACTAAGATGTCAAACCACCAGGGATAGCCAAGCTTTTTTTTTTTTTGGTAGTGATTTGCCTTTTTTCTTTTTCATGACCAAAACAGCCTCATTGTCTTGCCAATAGGCTGAGAAAATGACTAATCCCAGGAAGGAAAACATGAGAACAGTTAGAACTGGGCTATTCAACTGGCAGCCAGTGGGCGAAATGTGGCCCATGGATCACTGCCCAGTTGTTTTAATGATCTTTCTGTGCCTGATGATAAGTTTAACCCCACCAGGACATCTCACTGAGCAATAAACACCTGGTAATATAAAGTGCCAACATTCGGATGAGGATCACATAGGGACAGGTCTCATAAACCCCATAGGGCCATAGGCTGGGTTATATTAGGGTCCCCGGCAACAGCCATGTTTGGGCTCTAATACAAAACCAACACAAACAAAAAAATTGCTTCCTACATTCTGACGAGCTTCAGTGACATTTCTGTGCCTGGGCTTTTGCCCATCAAGATCCCCACTTTCAATTAAGATGAATAGCCCTAAGTAAGAACATCAACACAATGAAGATAGGGCAACACTGATGACATCAACCCAATGATGACAGGACAACACTGATGACATCAACCCAGTGATGACAGGACAACACTGATGACATCAACCCAGTGATGACAGGACAACACTGATGACATCAACACAATGATGACAGGACAACACTGATGACATCAACCCAGTGATGACAGGACAACACTGATGACATCAACACAATGATGACAGGACAACACTGATGACATCAACACAATGATGACAGGGCCACACTGATGACATCAACCCAATGATGACAGGGCAACACTGATGACATCAACCCAATGATGATAGGGCAACACTGATGACATCAACACAATGATGACAGGGCAATACTGATGACATCAACACAATGATGACAGGGCAACACTGAAGACATCAATCCAATGATGACAGGGCAATACTGATGACATCAACCCAATGATGACAGGACAACACTGATGACATCAACACACCTACACACCTGAATATGTTGTCTTCAGTTTGATGACATAAATCTGTATTCATTCTATCAACCAAAGGGTTTGGTAACATACTTGTTGAAGCTTCCAACTGGTGATTGTTCTTATCCCTTTTGCTACTATTTACATTTTGCAGGTCAGTATTATCTCCCCTTGGTATCTGATTCCTAAGTGGTGGATCTGTAAAATTATAAAGAATCTGATGAAATTATATTGTATCATACATTAAAATGTGGAAGTAATTTACAGTTTAATTTAGAAGTCCTCTTCTATCCAAGTTGTGGAGTACATATGGCATTTGTTTGGACAGAATCACTTTCAATGCACATGGATTTCTCTGCATACAAAGAGAATCTTTGCACCGTAAACAAATTCTGCAGTTGAATGTTGTATTAGGAATCTATATATCATAGCACTCAGGACACCCCCATGAGCACTCTGTCCCGATTTTCCGCAGCAAGCGAAGAGTTAAAATTCCGATTGTACCAGTAACTGTCTGATTGTATATCTGTCTCGCCCCTCCTCTGAGTGTCAAGCGTCGGCCAGATCCCCTTGTAACTCCTCCCAGTGCCATTCTCCTCAGACTGTTCCTCGGCACTGTTCACTCGCAGCACTGGTGTCTGGTGAAACCAGAAGCAGATGCTATGTGCTAAGACTCCTACCTCCAGTCACTAATGGTTGTTTGTAATTTTCCATATTGAGGTTAAGAGGCTAGAGGCATGTTTAATCTTGCCTTATCTACACTGTGATAATTCACATTTTTAGTCTGAATGAAACAGAATGTGATAGGTAGATAACTGTTTTTCTTCAGGATTTCATTCTGTAGTGTAATATGTCAAGAATTTGAATCAAACAGGCAAAAATCCTGTTTACTTACCAGGTCTGGACTGGACAGGACTTTATACTTAAATTACTTATCTTGCAAGAAAGTTTATGAAAGCAAAAAACATGCTACTACATTTAACTCTTTCATGACGTATCACCGATTTACCGACACAAGAAACTGTCCTGTTTTGCGACACGGCCAATGCATCAGCTCTCAGCGCAGACACTCTAACATTGTTTTGTTTAGAAGGAAAATGTATTTGTATAAACATATTTTGGAAAACTGCTGTTGTCATTGATGAATCTGAGCCAGATGGTGACAACAGTCTTTACATTATGATTAACAATGCAAGTGCAAAACTTACTGCTGATAATATGGGTTAGGATGAAGTTGAACAAAATACTACGACCGGATCGTCTATTTTGATGAGCTGTGTCTGAAATAGCTGATGCATAACAGAACAGAGAAGGTGTGTGAATTCTTAGAAATGGATATCAGTTTTTTTTATTGTTATTTAAAAAAAAAAAAAAAAAAAAAAGTTAGGTGTGTGTAAAAAGCTTCATGTGTATCTAAGATCCTTGAGTGTTGTCATTTTAATATTTTTTTTTGGTTTTAATACTGATCCTTAAATAGTTTACATGTATCCAAAATTTATACCTTCAACTTCCGCTGATGGTGCAGGTAAGTGCAGATCTGAAATCTGTGACAGCTGCTGCCGCAAAGTTTGCTGTCTTTGATGATACTGCAGCTCTTCTATCAACTGTCTCTGCTCCCTGATCTGACTTTGCTGTTCTCTCAGTGTCTGCTGTTGAGCTGTATAGCGATTCTCAAAGTTGTTGACCACAAAATGTCGGTTCATCCATGGCTGTGTGCCAAATCTGAAGAATAAAAATTATTTAAAAAAAAGGTGAGGTTAAATCCACCTGTCCATCTGTAAGATCTGACATCATGAAGTTTCAAAATCTCCATTTGGAAGGCAGACACCGTGTTCACATATAAAGAAGTTATAAATGGGGCACCAATACCGGTTACACCAGCAGTTCTATGTGGAAATGAATGTGAAATTAAATAAATGCTAGGGGTAGATTAACACTGCGGTTAAATTTACATAAAAATACAAACAAAAACAAAATAGTGTTAAATAAATTGTTCCATTAGGGTTGCAGGACACTTTTGCAAGAACTAAGGGTTAAAGGTCACTTGCTCTGGAGCAACTGATAGCTGTTTACAAGCTATGATCTGTATGTCAGTTTTGACCTCCAGAAAAAAGCCCTGGACGTGATGATAAAACCACTAACGTGGAGCTTTGGGAGAGAACCAAAAAAATGTTCAGTGAATGAAGTGGTATGATGACACTGGGCTATAACCTTGTATCAGTGAGATGACAAAAGAAGAAGAAGATGAAGAAAAAAATCGTGAAGAAAAATTTGTTGGAAAGTATGCATGTTGAGAAAACCTGACAACAATATAGCTAGACCCAATATAAAGTTCAGTGGATAGAAAATGGGCAGTCATAAGCAATAACAGATTTTCATAGAAGTAGAATGAAACAATACATAGTAAGTGTACTAGTAATATATATTCATTTTGTGGACTTTGAGAAAGCTTTTGACAGCGTCCATAGAGACGGTCTATGGAAAATGTTACGACATTATAGAGTTCCAGAAAAAATAGTCAACATAATTGCTCTCTTCTATAAAGACTTTTCCTGCAGTATAAAAAAATTACAATACATCTTTCCCAGTAAAGACAGGTGAAAGACAGGGGTGTGTTATGTCATCTCTCCTCTTCAACCTTGTGATTGTTTGGATACTAAAGAACACAGTAGACAGTACATTGAGAGGCATACAATGGACTCCATTCACCATGCTTGAGGACCTTGATTTTGCAGATGATATAGCACTCCTATCACATAAACATATACAAGAAAAAAGTAACAGACTACACAGCACAGCAGAAATGGTGGGACTGAGAATAAATACAAAGAAAACTAAGAAGATGACAAGCAGTCAAAACCAACAACCAGTGACCATAAATAACCAAACTCTTGAAAATGTAGAACATTTCACATATCTTGGCAGTGTGGTGTCCCTACCGGGAGGGACCGAAGAGGACATACAGTCATGTCTGAACAAAGCTAGAGCTGCTTTTAGAAGGTGGGGCAAATCTGGAAATCCAACAATTATTGCAGAGGAACGAAACTCCGACTCTACAAGAGCATCATTTTGCCAGTCCTTCTTTATGGAGCGGAATGCTGGAGAATGACCAAAAAGGATGCACACAAGCTGTCTACTTCCACCACACATGTCTACGTAGAATTATCAAAATTGTCTGACCAGATACAATCTCAAACACTTAATTACTTCAAGTCACAAACCAAGAAACTTTAGACAGTATGATTACCAAGAGAAAATGGAAATGGCTTGGCGACGTTATGAGAATGAATTCTGATATACCTGCCAAAACAGCTCTCACATGGACACCAGAGGGAAAGAGAAAACAGGGGCGCCCAAAAACAACATGGAGACGAACGATGGAAAGTGACCTGAGTGCGGCATCTTTGACATGGAAAACTGCACTGAAGACTGCACAGGACAGGCAAGCGTGGAAAGTCCTCTCTGAAGCCTCATGTGCCACTAGAATAACGAGAACTGATTGATTGATTGATAGTAAGTGACAATCGCAGGAAAACAAAACACAACTTTCATTCTGCACTCACTTTTTCCTAATTTCAGCATCTGTGTACTTCTGCTGCATATTACTGTCAGTCTCAATCATTTTCAGGTGTCGTTTTGTCACCTGCCAAGGTTGAGTTGGGAGTGATCTTCCCTTGTCCCTGGCCTGAGAGGGATGGTTGGAGATATCCAACACAGCTGTTTGATTTATGTGAGTCTCACTAATTGATGACTGGACATTTTCTTCATCAACCCATGCTTGCTTTCTGACAGACTGTTTAAACATGTCCTGCTACAAGAAAACAATTTACAAGAATTTAACATACTGTTCTTATCTTCTGGTAAATACAAGATTTAAAAAAAGGACAATTTTTCCTACCTTCAGCGCGTTAGGTATATAGTGCTAGACATTTACCTGGTACCCATTTGAGGCTGGATTGACCTGGAAGCCAACATCATGTTTAAAAAAAAAAAAAAGTCCAGCTCCTTTGGATTTAAACTCACGACCTTTGTATCTGCATGCTAGGATCTAGCAGCTACACAAGGGCCACTACCAAATACAAGATGTATTGAGATAAAAATAATTATTTTACGTAGAAAGTTATCAAACATGAATCGTTATAAGAAAAATTGTTAACAATTTAGTATAACACTTTTTTTTTTCAATTACTGATGGAGACATACTTTTTTTCAAAAATGACTTTATGCTTTCAGGTTGACCTAACCTTGACTGGGTACCAGGTATAGTCTTGGGAAGTAAAGTGGCCGGTGTGATGTTGACCACATTATCAACTGAGTGCTGGTTGGTTTCGAAATATAGATCTAACATTATATGCCCAATATGCATAAACACACAGAAACGGACCCTTTCCTTTAATTATTTTTAAAGTGTAAAAATATAACAAACAAATACTCCTAAAATTTATTACAATTACATACAAAATCTATGCAACAATAAATAACCAAAAATAACTGACAGGCGTAAAACAACAAATATCAAAGCAGTAAAAAATTCTAAATATCCTAAGTAAAATCCAGAAAGATAAAACAGATTGTCTTGTGTGGGTTCTGGGGTCCCATTTTGGGAGAAAAAAGAATAGACCTAAATGTCCTCATAACAAACATAGGTACAACAATTTTATGTCACCCCAAACAAAGGTAAATCCAGAAAAAGTCCAGTCCAGTTATGACAAGACTGTTTGATGTTCACTTAATGTGCAGAAAAGTGTGCATGTGCACAGGGTGGAAAAATTAATGTGCATGCAAAATTCTTTCAACAAACTGCTGTGCAAGCAACTGTTTTTTTTTTTTTTTTGGTGTATGAACAACTGTGCTGCAACAGTCTTTGTGTGTGTTGTTGTGTGAACGAGCGTTGTGTGCGATTGTCAAGGGGGATGAGAATTGGGAATACTAGAGGAGCGGGGTTAAAAAAGTGTGTGTACTGCTGGGTTACCAAAAAGTTGACATTTGTACAGTTTTACAAAGTTTTACAATATCTGGAGATGCGAATACAATAACTGACTGAGAGCACTGCCAGCCGACACTGAGAAAATTGTTGTGGTGGCAACACACACACACACACACACAAAAATACAAAAACACTCAAGATAATGCAGTGGAATGCAGAAGGGGTCATGATGAAAAAGCTTGAACTGCAAAAATTTACCTATGGACACAAAATTGATGTCTGCATTCAGGAAACCCATTTAAACACAGGTTCTCGCTTTTCTGTTAGAGGTTATGAAACCATAGAGGCTAGACAGAGATGGCCACAAAGGAGGCATCATCACATTAGTCAGAACACTTATCAAGAGAAAATACAAGGAATTTTGGAGAGAACAAACTAACTGTAAGCATCCACAAGACCCCATCAGCAGACTCAACAAAAATCAACATACAACTTTACTATAGCAGCTACAGAAACTTCCAGAAGCATCAGTGAGTCTGAACATGCAGCACAAAAATCAAATCGTTCTCCAATGGATCCCAGCTCACTGTGGAAATGAGTTAGCAGACAGACTTGCAAAAAATGTAACTAAGTAGGAAACAACGCACCCATCCATTGTCTTTACCAGAAATCAGAACTTTACCAAGGGAAAATACAAGGTATTGTGGAGAGAACAAACTAACAGTAAATATCCACAAGACTCCCATCAGCAGACTCAGCAGAAATCAACATATAACAATTTTCTGTCTATGAACAGAACACTGCAGGCTCAACTACCATATGCATAAAAAAAAGACTGTACAGTCCCCACAGGGTGCCTGTCAAACAGGACCACAAACACCTGAGCACATTCTGCAGACCTGGCCACTCTACCTACAGCTTCGAAAAGACACCTGGCCTCAAGAGCAAAGTGTGCAGAGGAAGCTATGGGGAATTATGAAGGACCTGCTACTGACATGCAAGTTCATAGAGGCAACCCACCTGATGGTCTGATCTGAGCATACGAAACCAAACGCAAAGAAGAAGACAGAAGAAGAAGTTGCGGTGGCCAGAACTCAGCAATATCTGCAAGAATTTTTGTGAACATGTCAAGGCCACCACATGTAGTTTGTCTATGCCACATAAACTTGCACAGGTAGGATTTAGGAGATGCCTGTGCATCCATTTCTATCCCTTGTTTCTCTCCCTTTCCACTCTTACCAAGTGCTCGATGCATTGCGTATGTGCACCAGTGGTGGGGTCAACAAAGTTCTGGGAATGGTTGACTGTGAAATGTGTCAGTCAGCAAAAATTGTCAGTTCCGTTGTGCACATGCCAGAGGTTGGAGACTACCGTTGTGCCAGGTCGAATGTGAGTGCTTATAATTAGCAGAAGCGTATCTGCTATTCTGTTTGGAAGACAGAACATGAAGCACTCACCTGACTCATGACAGATGCCACCAAATACCCACTGTTGTGAAGAAACTCATCCCACCTGATCTGTGCACCGTGTGAACATGATCACATCAATCTCGAACAGTGATACTGGGTCCTCTGATCATCGCAGGATTTTCTAGCAGTGTGTTTGCACAAACCTCCCATAGGCAGCTGCAGATGCTGCCACCAACATCCCTCTTGAGACCAGAAGTACACAAAAAGAATGACTTGTCTGTAAAGCAGTTACAATCCTTGCAGCCAGGTGCCTTGCCTCACCCGAAGTCCTCTCGATAGTTGGAATGCTGGCATTTCCAATTATCCTGACTGTCAGTCAGTGACAGCACCAAGAGATGGCTCTTGAAGCAGCAACTGGAAGAATGCAGAAAAGAAGGCTGCTTTGCTTGTCATGCACCAATGCTGACAGGTCAAGGAAATTCATGGCAAAGTCATGAAGTAAGAGTGAGCGCCCCTTCAAAAAAGGCAACAACAAAACTCATGCCCTGAGAATGGACATAAAAAACATACACTGAGAATGATGACATAATAAACGCTGACAACATCCTGATATATAACACCCCTAAAATAGTAGACTAGACGGTGTATTCCGGGGTTTCCTTTGTTTGAGGTGACATAAAATTACTGTATCCATATATGTCATAAAAGGTGACTAATTAGGTGTGTTTCTTTTGACCTTGGAGTGCATCTGCCTAAGAGGTGAAAAACTCATAGTCAGCATACAAATAAGGTAGATCTGTAAAAAGAATGTGCAGGCAAATCTCAAGTTCTGGAATAAGACCAAAGTCCAGAAGTGGACGAACAACCAAAAATTTACAGCCGAGGAATGCAAAGAAGAAATGTAAGATTTTTGTCATTAGTTAAATTACTACTACTACTACTACTACTACTACTACTACTACTACTACTACTACTACTACTACTACTACTACTACTACTACTACGACTACTTCTATCACTACTGCTGCTGCTCCACATTCACTTATACAAACATACAACATGACTTTTGCCTAAAGACCTATCCTTGACCCCCTAACAGCTATCTAGTTTTATACTTACAATTTTTTGACCATCTGCAGAATGTGGCACTGATTTGACAAGTGTCACATGTTTGCTTGTGGAAGGTCTGCCAACCTGGCCATCTTCTGTTCTGTGGTCCTCATTGCTCATTCTCCCACTGGCCACAGCATTCAAGAGGGACATTATTTTACTTTTTGTTCTCTCTTGCTCTTTCTCCAATTCTTTTCTCTCTATCATCTCAGTAATGAACTGGTGCCAGGCAAGGAAGCAGCGTTTTAGAACAGCATGGGTGTAGTGTCTCTCTGCTGTTAATCTTTTTCTGTCAGTAACCAGACAAGCAGAAAAGATGTTTTTAGTTTTCATTAATCTTTAAAGTAATTTCATTTCTAATAAATTATTATTATTATCTTCTTCTTGACCGGCTGAAAACTCCAGTAGAAAGTTCTGGTTTGTTTCGTTTACTTCTGGACTTTTGCCTTGTTCCAGAACTTGAGTTTTGCATGCACATCCATTTTACAGATCCGGCTTATTTGTGTGAGGCCTATCCCCTCTCCCCCCCCCCCCCCACCCACTGGAACCCCACAGATATATTATTATTAATAGTATTATTATTAACTGTTATTAGTGCAAACTCAGTTAAAGCCACTGTGGATTTAGACATTGTGGTTTGGTAAAACAGTAATCGAAATTTTTTCAAAGATGGTAAACTCTACTACTATATATTGTGTATATGCTGCCATTAATCTATAAAAAGGGGAATTGCACCCTGTAAAAAAAGTAACATGACAAGCAAAGAAGTGATAAGCAGAATTACAAACAACCTCTCAGTATCAATGACATTTCTCTCATGGATTTCTGTCTCCATCTCTAGCTTCTGACGTCTGGCATGCAGCCGCCAGGCTCCCCACACCTTCAGCATCAGCTTCCAGTCAGACATGGCCTTAATCTTCCCCATGAGCAGTCGCTTGGATAAAACTAGGTCATACCATGCAGTCAGATGCCTGTGCAAGCACTGAGATAGACGGAAAAGAAAAATTATACAACCAATACAAGACAAATGAATATGAAAATAGGATCTAATATGTCCAAAAACAAAGGTAAAAATTGTACTTCTTTTACAGATACTGCAGTGGCTGTAGGAAATTTTAGGCGCTCATATATTTTTTTTTTTTAATATCCAGAAACCATGAGTTCTTAACCCTTTGGCTCGGTACTATGGATATCGCAACCCTTCGGCCTTGATTCCATGATAAATACCGTAATCTGGGAGAAATATGGCTTTTCTGCCTACCTCCAGGTGTGAACCCGAACCACAAGGAGTTTGTCATTCGGTCACTGCAAAGTTGAGTTAGCCAACCTTGCTAGCAACTTTCAAAATGGACGCTAGGCACGGCCACTGTTTACAGTTGTGGCAGTTTTTGCTTTTGCCAGACGGTGGCAGTTGTATTTTTGATCAATTTGTAGACTGAAAGGATATAGTTTTGTTGCCCAGCTACTGAGTTGAGTGCATGGTACAACCCCATGAGCTGCGGATTTCATTTGGAATGTTTTTCAACTGTGACCAACGTGGTGTTGTGTTGTGAATAGTAGATTCAGAAAATGGTGTGTGGCCTGTCATCACAAAATTAGTGGTGCCCTTATGTGATTAAAATTGATTGCGTGTGCAACTGCTAATTTGTTGGTTACCTCTGCTACCATCGATGATGAACTGCATTTCTAATGTCGGACTGTTTGTGTTAGCACTTCTGATGGCTACCATATGCTTTCAATGTGTGTGTATGATAGTGCATATGCTGATACATCAGTCTGTCAATCTCTCCACAAGGGACTGTGATGAACATTCTGTGTGTTTTTAGTTGGCACAGGAGCGGAGCAAAGATGGGGTGACCTGTTTGCTATGAAGCTGAAACTAACATAACATAGCATAACATAGCGACATTACAAGATGAGGTGACCAATTCCCTTAACTTGTTACTTCTGACAATTGACCGAGCTAACCCTTTCTCTTTTTTCAATGACTTTCTTTAGCTGTGCATCAGTTCATGAAGAGGAGGATAAAAATAAAGTGTTTATAAGCTCCCATAGTATCCTGCATTGTTGCTCGTATGGGCAAATTTTATTGTACATTATCCTGTAGAGGCTGATCCTAAAACTGAAGTTTAAAGAAGTTTGAAGTTTCAACTACGGATCAACATCATGGCACACGGGTAGTAACCCATAAGGCGCCGTTATTCTTTTAACTCAATTTTGAGTCTGAAGAAGCTCAGCACAGTGCATAGGCTCTGTAGCACTGGTGAGGAATCTGAAATACTTTGGGTAGATTTTTAACTCCAAATTTTGCCCGGGCAGCACAGTTAGGCTACTCTTTTTGATTTCCAACTGCCAAGGGATTTTTTAGGCGTGCAACAATGCACAAAGGTGTCCGATCTCACTACCCAGAGGGGAAACTAATAGAAGTCCATGTGAAAAAATACCAGCCCTTACCAGGGACTGAACCCGGAACCTCCAGCACCTTACACCATACCTCGAGACCATACCTCGAGACCATTCAACCCCCTGATTATAACACTGATAACATCTATTCTTATCTCAAGCTTGAACTCAAATCTGCATGTTGGTAAGAGGTCAAAGTTGCTTTAAAATGCATGTTTTTTTGGGAGAACCTGCCAATGGGGCATGGCTGCATTTTCATAAAACTTCTTCTCTGATCCCGGTCTGGTTGGTCAGATACAAAACCAGAATATTCATCATCTTGTGAAATGCTTTGTTTCTCATTACTTTACAATTTGAAAATTAGAACCCACAACCAACCCATGAGATTATGCACACATCCTTGCTGTTGCTATATGGTTTGTGCACTGTGTATATGGGCCTTTCAGCCCAATGTAGCCAATTTCAGCAAACCCTTAATTAGCTGATTTTATGATGTGTTTGTTAACAGGCAATGAGTATATTCCCCTCCCCCCTCCCCCCCCCCCCCCCCCACCACCACCACCACCACACAAATAGTGGTTCCGGAAACCAGACAGGCAACTGTACACAATAATCATTCACTATCATTTCCCGTACATAGTCATTTGATCATCATAATTTCCTGTAAAGTTATTTACTCTGTCATTTCCTGTACATGGTTATTTTGTAATACTTTCTTTACACAGTGATTCGCTATGTCACTTCCTGTACACATTGATTCAGTCTATACTTCCTGCACACTATGATTCAGTCTGAACTGCCTGTACACAGTGATTTAGTCTGTCACTTCATGTACACAGTGATTCAGTCTGTTCTTTCCTGTTCACAATGATTTGGTCTCTACCTTTCTGTACATTGTGATTCAGTCTGTCACTTCCTGTACAGAGATTCAGTCTGTCCCTTCCTGTACACAGTGATTTAGTCTGTCACTTCCTGTACACAGTGATTCAGTCTGTTCTTTCCTGTTCACAATGATTTGGTCTCTACCTTTCTGTACATTGTGATTCAGTCTGTCACTTCCTGTACAGAGATTCAGTCTGTCCCTTCCTGTACACAGTGATTTAGTCTGTCACTTCCTGTACACAGTGATTCAGTCTGTCACTTCCTGTAAACAGTGATTCAGTCTGTCACTTCCTGTACACAGTGATTCAGTCTGTCACTTCCTGTACACAGTGATTCAGTCTGTCACTTCCTGTACACAGCAATTCAGTCTATCCCTTCCTGTAAACAGTGATTTAGTCTTTCACTTCCTGTTTACAGTTATTCAGTTTGTCACTTCCTGTACACAGTGATTCAGTCTGTCACTTCCTGTACACAGTGATTCAGTCTGCCCTTTCCTGTACACAGCAATTCAGTCTATCCCTTCCTGTAAACAGTGATTTAGTCTTTCACTTCCTTACACAGTTATTCAGTTTGTCACTTCCTGTACACAGTGGTTCAGTCTGTCACTTCCTGTACACAGTGATTCAGTCTGCCCTTTCCTGTTCACAATGATTTGGTCTCTACCTTCCTGTACATTGTGATTTAGTCTTTCACTTCCTGTACACAGTGATTCAGTCTGTCACTTCCTGTACACAGTGATTCAGTATGTCACTTCCTGTACACAGTGATTCAGTCTGTCACTTCCTGTACACAGTGATTCAGTCTGTCACTTCCTGTACACAGTGATTTAGTCTTTCACTTCCTGTACACAGTGATTTAGTCTGTCACTTCCTGTACACAGTGATTCAGTCTGTCACTTCCTGTACACAGTGATTCAGTCTGTCACTTCCTGTACACAGTGATTCAGTCTGTCACTTTCTGTACACAGTGATTCAGTCTGTCACTTCCTGTACACAGTGATTCAGTCTGCCCTTTCCTGTTCGCAATGTTTTGGTCTCTACCTTTCTGTACATTGTGATTTAGTCTTTTACTTCCTGTACGCAGTGATTCAGTCTGTCACTTCCTGTACACAGTGATTCAGTCCGTCACTTTCTGTACACAATGACCGAGACAGAGATAACATGATCTACACAAACCTGCAAGTTATGAGATGCTATTTTTGCCTTCATCATTTCTATTTTAATTATCTGCTTCTTTCTTCTGTCGCTCTGAAGCTTCTGAGCCTCTATCACATCTTTCTCCTCTGTGGCCAACTGTCTATCCAGTTCTTCTCTGGCTAATCTGTCCAGCAGTTCTTTCTTTTCTTGGGCTCTGTAACGTTAGAATATAGTTTCTGGAAATTTCTTTACCGTATGTATTTTATTGTAACATTAAAAAACCTTCCTGAACCCAAGTTAATCCTGTCACCCTGGTAACAGTTTAAATTTAAAAAAAAATAAAAAAATAAAAACCTGGATATGACCCAGTGGAAATTTGTTTAAAAAAAATTTTTTTTATTAAAAACACAAACATTTTTCACAGGTTACTAACAAGTTTTATCTTCTTTAAATGTATTTATCTACATTTGTTAATTTGTTTTTTGAAACATATAAATATATAAATGGAGTAATCAATAAACACGAACAGAGTGAAGCATTAAATGTAATACATTCCCGGAGCTTAAATGTTTTTTTTAACTATTGGGTGAGTGATAACATGAAAATCTGATCTTGACTTTAAACGAGCTATTTGGTCCATTCAAAAACTGAGTAAAATGATATTTTAGTTCCTATATTTATATCCTGACCTCCTAAATGTTTGCTTAGGAGCTAGCTCAGCCAAAAGCATTATCTATGCTTCTTGTTAACATATCACTCTAGACAAGTTAGAAAAGTAGCATTTACATATTGGGCATGTAGGGCTAGACCTTTACTTTTTAGCCACTTGGCATTCAGTGGGTGATGTGGTCAACATGACGCCAAGGTTATTTTTGAAAACAGTCCAGTTCTATCAGGACCTCAACCCATGACCTACTGATCCACAGGCAAGTGTTTAGCCACTACACCACAGTGGCTACTGAAGTCTGTTGTTCCCTGTCCTTAGTCTTGATTATGGACCATGATAGTTATACGAATGAAGCCGACTGAGGACTGCCAACTATGCACTATGTGAGGTAACAAGAGAGTCTAAGAAACTCTCTGTGAAGATGAAAGTTAGCACCCATGTTTTGTATACCTTGTGTGGAGGACTCAGAAGTTCATACAGACTGTGTATGTTTCTTGCCTATCAGGATGCAACCAATTTACCACTAGTTTCCAATTCCACAAGTTCATACAAGTCTCAGGACCTTGCAACACAAGGGATTCATAACAACAGCAGCAGTGACAACAACAACAAAACCAACTAGTAGCAGCACCCTGTGAAAATCAAGCAACTAATTATCAAAAATGTTTCACACAGAAATGACATCATTACTTCCGCATCTCCTCCACTTTCCACATCCTTTCCTCGTGCATGTCCTTGCGTATCTTGGCCATCTCCTTCCGAAGTGACATCTCCTCTTTTTTTGCTCTCGTTTCTCTATCTTTTTGTTCCTAAAAATGTATTAATGACAAAGAAACTTACAACTGCCAGTATTACATTAGGTTAGAAGAAACTAATATACTCAAAAGATTTTAAATTGCCACAAAGAATTTTGTTTATCAAAATTTACAATATAAAAAGGATCATTAAATATCCAAGATTAAAAAAAACAAAACAATAAAGAGAATTATATATCAAAGTTTAAACGTGCAACCAAGAGTCATTTAAATGCAACATTAAACAAAGAACCATATATGTCCAATATTAAACATGCAATAATATTTTTACATATCCAAGATTAAAGAAATTACAAAAAATATATTTATACATCAAATATTAAACAAGCACTAGAGCCTTATATATCTAGGATTGACATGCAACAAACAACATCTAATATCTAAGATCAAACAAGCAATAAACAACATCCAATATCTAAGATCAAACAAGCAACAAACAGCATCACAGATCTAATGACCCACCATTTAACAAAAAAACTCAAGTATACAAAATATGCAATAATATTCAAGAAATAACTTGTAAGAAAGAAACAGTGATGACCTACTTTCATAATCAGCTGCTGAGCTTTGAGTCTTGCTTCTTTCTTCATCTGTATCTCCATCTTCTTTCTATCCTCCTCTTTTTGTCGCTTCTCTCTATTCTCTTTTACCAGGTTGTGGCGAAGTTCCATTTTTGTGCGAGGGTCAGGTTTTAGGTGATCATCGCCAAATCCTAGGTCTTTTCTAAAACAAATGGAGACACAAATTTAGATAAAACTAAATTGATAACAAACTAAACACTGAAATAAAACACTTAAACAAACAGATGTCATGTGTTTCGCCTCCTTTGAGATGGGGTTTTCTCCGTTGACCAGACCTCTATGGTTGAACCAGTCTAAAATGAGCATCAAGATACCATCTGTGAAGTAAGCAGTCACATGTGTCGACCACATCACTTTTCAGGTTTCTCTCTTTAAAAATGTAGGGCTTTCACCAAAAAATCAAAAACAAAAAAGTCTTTATTTTTGCTTTACAGTATAGCACATGATGATGATGTTTCTGATTTGGACTAAATCAGTGAGCTAGAAAATGTGGCTATTGTCCATTAAATTATCAAGAATTTAATAATCAAGCTTAGATGCATATAGTCATTACAATAGCAAATAAGCACAGGAAAGAAACAAATAAAAACGCTAACTGAAGAAAGTGAGCATAACAATAGGCAATTTAGAAAGAACTAGAAAATAAAAAAATTAAACTTTTTAAAATTTTGTATTTAAGAAAAAGACATTAAAAATAAAAGAAATAAAGCATAAAAGAAAAAAGAAAAAGAGAAAACAGCTAAGAAAAACACACATCATTAGACCTACTTGAAAGTGTCCTTGACCATTTCCTTAGACAGCATATTCTTTAGCACAACATCGACGGCGTCTTTCTCTTCAAGGTTGTACAAATTTGCATATGGGTCTGTCCAATAGAAAACATAAAAGTGTTACATTTGGCTAGGAAAATGATGAAGTGAACAAGAGAGAGGCACATGTGTGTCCATTATTACTGTTATATGAAGACAGACAGCAGGTAATCCCTCTGATATCTGTTTAGAAAAGACTAAGCACCTAGGAGTTTGTCTTGCGGGCACTGAATTTTGTTGAAAATTAAACATACTGTTTCACTGCAAATGCTAAATTTCCAGATAAGAAAATAACCCAAAAATAGAATGTTAGACCCCCCCCCCCCACCCCCCCCCCCACCCCACCCCCCCCCCCATCTTCTTCTTGTTTTTTTCTTCTTGTCTTTCTTCTTTCTTTTTCCTCTTCTCCTTCTTCTTCTTTTCCTTCTTTTTCTTCTTCTTCTTTCTCTTCTTCATTGCCAATGTAAACATTGGCGGAAAGTTCTGTTTGTTCATCCACTTCTGGACTTTGATCTTGTTCGAGAAACTGAGTTTTGTATGTACATCCAATTTATAGATCTGGATTATTTTTATGCAGACTGTTAGTTCACAAAATCACAAAAGGTCAATGATAGCAAGTTTTCCTGCGGGCCCAAATATCACCTGATCAAATTCTCATGAAGGTGGGAATTGAAAAAAATAAATTAATAAATAACCTAGACTTTCAGGACAACCAGCCTAAGATGGCTGCTAGGAAAAATTAGTATAACTAAATCAGTCAGTGTGACAATGACATTTTAACCCATCAAGTGCCAAATAGTCTATACAAATATTGGATCAACACAATGTACTCTGTAAGCATCAAGGTGTGGAAAAGAGTTCTTTACATTATTTAAATTTCACATATATTACTTTACATTTCTTTATTTTATTTTCTTTAATTCATTTACTTTATTTTGCTCAGTTAATTTTCTCTCATTTATTATCTTTAATTTACTTTACATTGCCTTACTCTATTGTACTTCACTTACCCACATCTCCAACAGCACTCCTCTTTACACGTTCGTAAATTGCAGCCTCATCGACATCAATATCATCCTCCAGAGCCAGCCTTGTTAGCCTCTCTATAGAGAAATCCTCGCTAGCAGTGGCTTTCTTCTCAGCTATGTGTTTATTATTTGTGACCTCTCGAGCTCGGCGCCAAGCCTCCAAGTCATCAAAGCCATCTTCCACATCCAGTCGGATCTTATCATTTACCCACTGAGTCAAAAGCTCTTGAGCTGGTCAAATATAAGAAAACATAAACGTGGAAAAAAGCCAGAAATATCAGATGTCAATTAAAAATTTATTAAGAGAAGTTTAAACTAAAGTTGGAAGCCAGAATTGCTTACAATTATGATAATTTGGATGACATTTTGTCAACAAGTTGTTGAGTCACAACATGTCCAATTTTTATTTTAATCCTAACATGAAATGATTCAACACTGTTAAAATTACAGGGTCACCGAGAATGACTGCCAGAAATTTAAACTGTTATTATAAAAGAAGTATTTAACATATAGTATGTCACTGCACGTATAGCGTCTTACAATGTTCAGAATAGTTTCAGTTTTTGTGTGACTTTGTGTGGCCATGAGGCTTAAAATTACGCTTAGAAAGTAAGGAACATCCAGAAGCTTAAAGAGAGGGTCACTGAAGCAGCCACAACTGTAAATCTGGACATGAATCAGAAGGTAAGTAGGTGCTGTGCTGGAAACAAAATTTGTAACACTAAAGCACCCCCGAAGAGGGAGTTTTAGGTTATAATTGTGACTAGGTTATGTGTGCCATATAACATGGCTTAGCACTGCACACTACTAAAAGCCCTGAATAAAAATCCGGCAGAGTTGATGTAATCAAAGGAGACAGACCCAAATACTGTTCCCAGCCGGCAACAAAGTCGTCTACTGGCGAGCCAATGGGTGACCTGGTCGCTGATGTCAACGATTCAGAAGATATGACTGGAGATTAAGACCCAGAGCTACAAATGGCACCCATAGTAAAGTCCTCTAAGGTAAGTACAACTTTGCATTTTTCTGTACATTTTAAGAGCCACACATGGAAATCTATTAGATGCTTCTTTTATAATAACAGTTTAAAATCCTGACAATAATTCTCAATGAACCTGCATAATTAGGCTCATGTGAGGGCAATGCGTTACCTTCACTGTAAGCCTGTTCATGGTTGCGAACAAGACCAGTCCTCAACTCTACCGCAGCCTTCCCTCTCTGCTTGCCTGATGGAGCAAGTCCAAAAGCTGCATCTGTAGCTTTGTCTGAAGCCTCTTCCACCGTCTGACCAACAAAAAAGATATGGTTACTACTGACTGTGACAACATACAAGATATGTTTACTACTTACTGTGACAACATACAAGATACGGTTACTACAGACTGTGACAACATACAAGATATGGTTACTACTTACTGTGACAACATACAAGATACGATTACTACAGACTGTGACAACATACAAGATATGGTTACTACTTACTGTGACAACATACAAGATACGATTACTACAGACTGTGACAACATACAAGATATGGTTACTACAGACTGTGACAACATACAAGATATGGTTACTACAGACTGTGACAACATACAAGATACGATTACTACAGACTGTGACAACATACAAGATATGGTTACTACTTACTGTGACAACATACAAGATACGATTACTACAGACTGTGACAACATACAAGATACGATTACTACAGACTGTGACAACATACAAGATATGGTTACTACAGACTGTGACAACATACAAGATACGATTACTACAGACTGTGACAACATACAAGATACGGTTACTACAGACTGTGACAACATACAAGATATGGTTACTACAGACTGTGACAACATACAAGATATGGTTACTACAGACTGTGACAACATGCAAGATATGGTTACTACAGACTGTGACAACATACAAGATATGGTTACTACAGACTGTGACAACATGCAAGATATGGTTACTACAGACTGTGACAACATGCAAGATATGGTTACTACCGACTGTAACAACATACAAGATATGGTTACTACAGACTGTGACAACATACAAGATATGGTTACTACAGACTGTGACAACATGCAAGATATGGTTACTACCGACTGTAACAACATACAAGATATGGTTACTACAGACTGTGACAACATACAAGATATGGTTACTACAGACTGTGACAACATGCAAGATATGGTTACTACAGACTGTAACAACATACAAGATATGGTTACTACAGACTGTGACAACATACAAGATACGGTTACTACAGACTGTGAAAACATACAATAGAGCATAACAAATAAAATTAGTTGTGCATCCTTGAGGGCAGTGGCTTTCAAACTTCCTACTGCCCTGACCATTTAATACAGTTCCCTCATGTTGCAGCGACCCCCAAACAATTATTTTCCTTCATAACTTCAATGGATTTATATTTTCAGATGGTCTTAGGCACCCCTGTAAAAATGGGGGGTTTCGACCCACACACAAAAAGGGTCACAACCAGCAGGTTGAGAACTGCTGCTTTAGAGGATATTATAGAACCAACCCTAGCATTTTTTGTTGTTGTTGTTAGTGATTTTACTAGGCAATTTTGCATTCAGTAATTACCAAAACCAACAAACTCTTCTATTAGTCCACAAATCATATACGCAATGACAGGTTCATTTTAAATGCTATGCGCTTCAATCTCACACATTAGCATAGTATGGTAATCTTATCAGTGCAGAATTTAATTGTAAAGAAAACTATGTCTGTTTTTTTTTTTTACTTCCTCATAACCTACACATCTTAATCTATACAGGATTATCCTGCTGAATATTTTCTCAGGCACTTGCAGAAACATTGTGTTCTCATTGCCTGCTGTTGTGTTCACTCTGCCTGTCATTTTGTTTACACTGCCAACTATTTTGTTCACATGGCTTGCCATTTTGTTCACACTGCCTGTTCAAGCTGAGCATTTTGATCTTCTGCTTGAAAAAAAAAAAACGAATCACACCATGAATTTCACAGATGGTGGGACAGGCAATGGCAGTGTCCATGTGTATTCATCCACAGTTGGTGAACCACTGAGCAAATGTGACTGTAGGCTAGTGTGTAGTGAGCTAAAAGGCTTCTAAACGACGCAAGCAATAAACAGTGTCACAATGGCAAACTTTTTTTTTTTTAAACCAGCCAATCAGAGGTTGATTTGGGATAGCCCTTGTATATTACTCATAATTTCACCATTTTGCAGATGCGTCCTTATTGCACGAGTATACCTGAGCGTGCAAAAAATAGGGGATGCATGGCAACACTAATATTACTATCAGACATCTATATTTTCCCAGACTGCTAATAATTTGTACAATACACTGTTGAGGAAACCAGTTTCCATGTAATGTACCCACAACTTCCCACAAGTCATCTTCTTCTTCTCAGGGGAAAAGAAACTGTCAACTCTGACAGAAAATCCTGATTATTCATCCACTTCTGAATTTTTGTTTTGTTTCATAACCTCAATTTTGCATGCACATCCATTCTACAGATCTGGCATATTTGTATGCAGGACTTTTAGTTCCACATCTCTTAGGCTGATGTACTACAACTTTAAAGGAAATGCCTGTTTTTAGAGCCCAAATTAACAACATGCTTGTTAGGAGATGCAGTGGGTAAGTAAAAGTAAGTAAAGGGAGCGAACCCATAACCTTCCTGCGGCGAGCGTTTAGCCGCTCACCCACGACGACTCCCAAAGCAGTAGGGCTATTCTGTTTTTGCCTAAAATGGAACCCATGTGAGAATCACAACAAATAAGATGCTGAAGAAAATCACCAATCATTACCTTGATCCAGTCATGGATGTCTGCTGTGGAGGTCACTCTCTAACAAACAAGAAAAAAATTAGCATAAACCCCAATTAAATGAAAGAAAACAGTTAAATGAACACTCAAGAAGACGACAATGTAACAAAATGTAACCACATTCACATAAGTCCACAATTATTCTGCTGTTATGTAATTTAATACAGTGTTCTTCAGGCTGTGGTCCACGGGCCACCAGTGGTCTGTAAAAATTTCTTGGTGAAAGCAAAAAACAGCTCAGCCTAATTAAGTAGCTACTATAAGATTTCAGCACTACAATGTTGCACATATTTGCTAGCCTTTAAGCAGTAGCAAAAGTTCTATGAGTTGAAAATCGTAAGTTTTGTGATATCTGATTCAACAAACAAACTGCTATCTAAGTTTTTGCTTAACTATCAGGTGGTCTGTAAAACAATCTTCTCTGTTTTTTTTTTGGTCCCCTAGCATAAAAAAGGTTGAATAACTCCGATTAAATACAACAAGATATCACCCATGGGCTGTCTTCCGAATAACGGGCACATATGATGGCAGCCGCAAAAACAACCTAACAGGGCCTCAGTCACATGTCAACTGCGCACTTCCTGCGACTTAATTTGTGGGCTTCCAGCGACTACCACCACCGCCGAGAGTATCGGGGTGGGTGATACTCTCGGCGGTGGTGGTAGTCGCCGGAAGTCCGCAAATTAAGTCGCCGGAAGTTCGCAGTTTACATGAGACTGAGGCCCTGTTTTTGGCCGCCACAATAGTGCCCGTTATTCGGAGGATAGCCCACCCATGTGTTACAGGGGCCCATGAGGTGAACAATAAAACATGGGCTCACAACAAACTTAAGTCAAGTTATTTCTAGACTTGATCATTATTGTTTTTTTGCTGCAAAAGTTTTTGTGTGGAATGAGTTAGCCAAACCAACCTCAGTCCTCTTTACTTTCATTGCCACTTACCACCTGAAGACCGGTTAGTGTTACTTATTGCTAAATCTCACAGAAGCTGGCCAGCTGGCGCTGCAGAATCAGAACTTCATAAATGATTCACTATAATTCCCGCCCAAGTGATGTGATCATCTATACAGATGGCTCTGTGTTAATGAGCAGACAAAGTGCATAGGGGTTTATAGCAAAGGCGAATGGACATCACTTAGTGCAGCAAGGCCTGGCATATGATTTCACAATGTCTAGTTTGAGAATGGAGGTGAAGGCAGTAACTGCTGCCTTCCGCTGGCTTGAGAATCAGCTGTACACACATGCTGTGGGTGTCACTGACTCACAGAGCATGTTGAGAAGGGTGGAGACAGGTATGTTCTGTGCAGAGTGGCAATCATCACTTAAGAGGTTCCGGGTAGTTAATATCCTATGGATATTCTCTCCAGGTCATGCCGGTGTGTAGGGAAATGAGCAGGCACTTAGACTGACCAGTTCTGCACCACGGTGGTGAACTGATGTATGACAAGCTAGACGTTGTGAGGGCCCTCTGGGAGCGAGTGAACAGTGTGGAAGTGAGTGCAAATTGATCATTAGGGTCTGAGGAGAATGGCACTGCAAGGAGTTACCAGGGGATCTGGCCGACGCTCAACACTCAAGGAAAGGATGAGATGGACATACAATCAGAAAGTTACTGGTGCCATTATAATTAGAACTCTTAGTTTACTGCTGAATATGGAGACGGAGCACTTATTGGGGTGTCCTGAGTGCTATGATGTTGATTCTTAATTCAACATTTAAATCTCACACTGTCCCAGTCAAGGCTTTTTTTCTGACAGAACTTTTTGTTCTATGGAAGCTGGCACTCTGTGTGTGATTTAGTGAACACAACGAAAGTCGACTTTACTTCCCGGGACGTTACCTGGTACTTATTTTAGGTTGAGTCAACCTGGAAGTCAAGGTCGATTTTAAACAAATAAATCAACTCGATGCAGATTCAACCACAAGGCCTTCAGATAGACAAGCGTGAATAGTAGTTTGTATGATAAACAGATTGTAAAGTTCTGGATTGACATTTTTAGATAAAAAAGATAAGAAAGCAGAGACGGTGGGAAGATTCGAGGCGATTGGTGTCCATTATACAATTTGAATTATAGTTATACTGTAGTAGTTAGCGATTACCGGGTAACAGAAAAAAAAAAATTACACGTCAAAGATAGGAACAGTCTCTGGCAGAACGATAAAATGTTCTTAGACAGTCTTACGTATGATCTGGACTGCACTTTTTGCTTGGTTTTCTTCTCCCAACGACTGAGTCCGTTCATGTTGCGTACACCGTCAATGTCCAATGTGAATAGCTAGAACATTGTTGTCTGCATCGTCAATGACGCTAAAAGTTAGTTATCCGCATTTCCTCCTAAACTCACGAATTAATACTTTATAAATTAATTATTTTAAGAGTTTTCTGTTATTATATCATAAACATTGTAAATTCAATAAACTTCATTGAATTTATGTTAATTAAATTATGATTATATGTTCACTTTTGTGCCTTCTCTGCTTTTAATTGTTTATAAAAGTTCTATTTTATATTTCACGAAAAGTGAAACAAACTTGAAAGAACAAAGTAATGATACTTGCTGAGCGTAGCGTCTATAGTTTCCAGCAGAAAGCGAATGTTTAAATAATATTATTAATATAATGCTGTAACCATTAGTTACATGTTCAGTTGAAGTTGACGTTGTAATTTATTACTATTTAAAGAAGGAATTAGATCAGTAAGTATATTACTAAGAGTAAGACTATAATAATCTCTAGATGTTTCGGAAGATAAACTTTTTTTTTTAGCTGCTAGAAATTGCGTAAAAATTTTACTAAAAGTAAAATTACGGAGCGCATGACTGAAGTGGTTTGGACACCTAACAAGAATGCCCTGGTACTATCCGCCACAGCGAGCCACACTAAAACGTTACAACGGGTATAGAGCGATTGGAAGACCTCGGAAAATATGGAGTGATGGCATTTAGAACAGCCTTACAACTTACAGAAATGAACGGTTCTCCTTTTAAACTACGGCCACTTATTATGGAGTACGCCGGAGTTCAGTCCCCTGGCCTCATTGCAATTACGGAGTGGAAAAGAGGGACCAAAACAAATGACGTAATTACTGTGTGTTGGCGATAGATGCACTGCTGTCATAATAGGGTCAGGGGTAGGGTTAGGAGTGTCTGTAGTTTTAAGGAGTACCAATACCCTAACCTAAACCCTAACCCAAACCCTAACCCTAACAGCAGTGCATCTATCGCCAACACACAGTACTAATGTCACCAGTTCACGCTGTCTATAGCCAACACACAGTAATTACGTCATTTGTGTCGTTCCCTCTTTTCCACTCCGTAATTGCAATGCGGCCAGGTGACCGAACTCCGCCGTACTCCATTATAAGTGGCCGTAGTTTTAAGGAGAACTGAAATAAACATCAGTCCTAATAGTGCTCGTGACAGAGCTCATCAACGAACATTACTTCTCCCCCCCGACACTTCGATGAGGTTAAAGGTGGAAAAGAAGAAGAAGATTATATACTAAACTGCTAGCCTTATCATCACAGAAAGAGAAAATGCAAACTGAAAACTTGTTTGTAATGACAAGGCAGACAAGACCCTTAGCTTTGGCTGGCAGCTGGTCTAGAAGAAAAACTCCGACAGGCGGACAGATAGAGCACTGCTCTTCTGATCGGGCAACTTCTGCAGGGTGCTTTGTTCCAAACATTCTGGTTGTTACCTTTTCTTTTGGAGTAGACAAGGCAGGTTGAGAGAGGGATCTTGATGCATGAACAATACATGGTATCAACAAAACTGCCAAGACCTTGTGCTATGGATTACCATAGCCTGTGTGCCTTATGCTTCCTCATAGCACACAAGACAGAAAGGAGCCAGCAGCAGCAACTTGTGTCACTTGACACAGTAGTTTTGTTTGTCCTAACTAGGGTGTACTTACTCAATGACACTGATCTTCGTACCTACATCAGACACTCGGATAATTTTATTGACCCTAATCCAGTCACATACTTACTGTTACTCTTCCTTCTCCAGTCACTAATTAGGCCTGGCTAGCTTAGTCAGTAGAGCATGAGGCTCTTAATCTCAGGGTCATGGCTTTGAACCCCACATTGAGCGTGACCTTTCGGCACAGCCAAGCATGAGAGGCACACTAGACTTACAAGAAATCTTGTTAACCATCATAGGGTTGGCACTATTAACCGCACAACACTGATGAATATGTAGAAGGAGGAATCTGAGTACCTATAGTGCTGTGAATATAATCCATCTCGTAACCAATCTAACATTACTGATTCCACACCAGTTATTTGCCAAATGGGAAAGATCCTACTTAAATCACTTAGCTAATGCTAGTTATCCTATTCCAGTCACTTACTTTATGCTAGTGATCCAGTTCAGTCACCTACCAAATGTAATTTATCCTCTTCCAGCTGTTTACCCAATGTTACCAATCCTGCTGAAGTCCCTTATCTTATGTTACTAATCCTGCTCAGGTCACTTACCTCATGCTACCTTGCAGAGCAATAATCCAATGTTTTTGTTGGGTTGAGTTGAGATCTTACATTATAATAACACTCGGGGCATTTCCATGTGCACTTCATCCTCATCTTCAGCAGCCAGCAAAGAGTTTTAGTTCTGATAGTTCCAGTAGCAGTTTGATTATATGTCTGTCTTGTTTTTCCTCTGCAGAGTCTTCCTGGTAATTCCTAGCTGCACCATTCTGTCTGGACTATAATCTGGTAATCTTAGTTTCAGCTTCATAGCAAACGGGTCACCCCATAGTTGCTCCGCTCCTGTGCCATTGAAAAACACACAGAATGTTTATCACAGTCCCTTGTGGAAAGATTGACAGACTGCTGTCTCAGCATAAGCAGTAGAATACATACGCATTAAAAGCATACAGTAGCCATCTAAAGTGCTAACACAAACAGTCCGACATTAGAAATGCAGATCATCATGGATGGTAGCAGAAGTCACCAACAGATCAGCAGTTGCACACACGATCAATTTTAATCACATAATGGCACCACCAATATTGCAAAAACAGGCATCGCGCCATTTTCTGAATCTACAATTCACGCCGCCATGTTGGCCATAGTAGAAAAACATTCCAAATGAAATCCGCATCTCACAGTGTCATGCCATGCACTCAGCTCATAAGCTTGGCGACGAAACTATCCTTTCACTTTACAGATGGAGCAAAAATGTACCGGCCATCATCTGGCTGATGCAAAAAAAATTTGCCACGGCTCACAACAGTGACCGTATCTAGCATCCATTTTGACAGGACTGTAATGGTCTATTCATGCCTGGCCCTGACCATATCTTGCTTGCCGTCAGTTCACCTTCCACAGGTGTAGAACCAGTAGATGGTGGCCACCAGACGTAAAATGGCACAGTAATTGCTTCAGAAAAATTGAAACAGGAAGTTTAAACTCAGAATGGGTAGAAAGCATTTGAAAGTTGCAGTTAGCTTTCATCATCTGGATCTACAACCCTGGGCATGCTGCAGTAAAGGGTAATGAACAGGCTGACAAGCTTGCAAGTAATGCACCAATGCATACAGAAGCGTGGACAGATATTATCAAAATCAACACTATATCGACTAGGCTGGTGGATAATGATGAATCTCAAATGCTAACACAGTTGCATGACCTGGGAGTAATGCTTGATGAAGCACGTCTGTTCCACCTTTAAGGCCAAGACATGAGACGCTATATTCTTTTTATGGGAACAATCAGCTGAGGTACCTTGAAGTGGCTGCTGTATCAGAGAAATGAGAATGCATGGGGATGCCCATGTGCAGTGATGTAAATTGTGATAGCAAAACATAGCAGAATCAGCCAGTCTGTCTGCTTGTTTATTTCCTAACACCACACTGCGTATCTCAAAGCAAATATTCAAATGACACTAACTATTGTTTACCTCTGATGAAGCGATGCTTCCCACTCTAAATGTAGCATGTCTGTCTTCACCTTTCCTGACATAATTTGTGAGTCATTACAGTCATGCATAGCATTTGAATGCAGCTGGTTCTAAAGCCAGCACAAAGCTGCTTTGACTGCCTCCACCTCTCTCAAACTAAATGTTGTGTTATTTGCGAGACTTTCTTACTCTAAGCACACCATATATGGGATCATGTCTAGTTGTCGAAGCATTACAGCACATTTGTTCTTTGAGTGAAGTCCTATCAGTATGTTTAAATTCTTGTGTCTCTATAGCTTTCTATATTTTTTTTGGCTGGTGTATCCTCATATCTCTGCTTCTTCCATCTGCTTCTTTGAATGTCAGTTAATATATTTTGTTAATTTTTTTTTTTTGTACATTCAGTTCAGCATGGCTGCCAGAAGTTTTTCTGAAGGTTCCAGCAGGAAGGTGGACTACAGAGTCAATGAAGTTTTCCTTAAACAGAAGGTTCAGGAGGTACGTGTTGAGTAGCTGCCATATTCAGACAGGTAACTTACAGGCAGGTAAAGTCCATACAGGTACGCTTCCTGCAATAAAGCTACAGAAAAAAAAAAAAAAGAAACTTTAAATTGAAATAATATCAATCATTAGTTTTTATCTTCACATACAGAACTTCATGGCACAGAGCAAAGACCAGACCTAAATGTTATCTCCTAAAACTGGACATAAACTAGGTGGCCACATCGGGAGGTTGTTTCTTCTTTTTCTTTTCATTTCCAGTGGTTTTCATGAGAAGACCACAGGCCTGTATTAACACTGTGGTGTGAAGCTCATCAACACAGCTTGGTTTTTTCCATTGGAATGCTAGCAGATCAGACTTGGGATCTCTTTCCTGCATGTAGAGAACATTTCTACGGTACATGTTCAGTATTCTGTGGTGCATCTCCGAATGAGCAAAGTTCTAAGTCCTCAGTCTTGAAATTCTTTTGCATACAGCTGCAGAGGCTGCTGTGTCCAGCTCACAGTCTAAATACAATAGTCTGCTGTGTCCAGCTCACAGTCTAAATACAGTAGTCTGCTGCCTCCAGCTCACAGTCTATATACAATAGTCTGCGGCTTCCAGCTCACAGTCTAAATACAGTAGTCTGCTGCCTCCAGCTCACAGTCTAAATACAGTAGTCTGCTGCCTCCAGCTCACAGTCTATATACAATAGTCTGCGGCTTCCAGCTCACGGTCTAAATACAGTAGTCTGCTGCCTCCAGCTCACAGTCTAAATACAGTAGTATGCTGTGTCCAGCTCACAGTCTAAATACAGTAGTCTGCGGCATCCAGCTCACGGTCTAAATACAATAGTCTGCGACGTCCAGCTCACAGTCTAAATACAGTAGTCTGCGGCATCCAGCTCACGGTCTAAATACAATAGTCTGCGGCATCCAGCTCACGGTCTAAATACAATAGTCTGCGACGTCCAGCTCACAGTCTAAATACAATAGTCTGCTGTGTCTAGCTCACAGTCTTCATTTAAAAAAAAGCAGAAGCAATTTAACAATCACTTGCATTTGTGCATTTTTATGTGTGTTTGGTGTTTGGATCAATACATTTTCAAACTTGTTTATGTCCTGTCCAACAGCTGGAACATGAAGTCTCTGAACTAAAGCAGAGACTTGATGGGCTAAGAAAAGCAAAGAACACGACTGTAATAAAACGGCAACGTGAGGTGCTGGAAACTGGCACATCTTTTGGGAAAAGGTACCATGTGATGTATTTACTCAGCTTGTCAGAAGTGTTATGTACTTTTTACAATCTTCTTGTAAGTGTGTAGCATCTTATCTCATCTTGATCCTCTTGCACCTTACAGTGTTGAGATGACAGTCCGATTGCAATAGCTTTGTTTCTTTGAGCATTGAAACAAAATCTATGCTGGCTTGTCAGGCTATTTGCAGTTTAAGGAGGAATAACTGACTAGATAAGCATGTATGAAGTATTGTGTGCAAATTAAACATGTTTGTGATGTAAACTGTACATTAAACATATTTTTAAAGTGTCATCTCCACAGTAATGGTTGGCTGCAGTGTACCCAGTGCTGTCTGTGGGTATTATATGTGGCGAGATTGCAATCTTTTCCTCCTTTCAACTCTCTTACCACTGAGCATTTTCGAAGCAAAGTGTCCACATCACTTCTAAGAATGCGTGAACTGGGAGTAAAGATCGGCACAGCCAAGCATGAGAAGCACACTGGACACACACAAAGTCTAGTTAACCAACATAGGACTGGTACTATTAACCGCATGACGCTGATGAATATGTTGAGAGGGGAATCTCAGCGCCTATCAATGTGTCCGGAGTGCTGTGAAGATAATCTAACTCATAACTCTTACCACTGTCAGAATGCCACCACTAGTACACTTTTTTTTTTTTTTTTTTTTTTTTTTTTTTTTTTTTTTTTTTTTTTCAACGTATCCAGAAACCATGAGTTGTAAACCCTTTGGCTCGGTTCTATGGATATCGCAACCCTTCGACATTGATTCCATTATAGGTACCGTTAATCTGGGAGAAATGTGGCTTTTCTGCCTACCCCCGGGAGTGAACCCGGACCACAAGGAGTTGTCACCCGGCCGCCGCGAAAATCCGGTTTAACCAACTTCGCTAGAGAGCCGGGAGTACACTTTTGTTAACTTTGTATCACCAGGTGTTTATCCCTCAGTGTGATGTCCTGGTGGGGTTGAACGTCAGTCAGTAAACCATGCAAATTGGAACTTACGGGTCAAGGATCATAAGCTTGCATACACACATATAATTTGACTACTTTAGTTGGAGCTACTGACACAGTAAAAAGTAAAATGACCCTTTTCCCACGCCTTCGTGCAGATTAGACATACAGGGCTAGAACTTTATTTCATAGATCAATCGGCACTTGCTGGAAGGGGGGGAGGAGGGTGTGGTCAGCATCAGGCTCGCTACCTGTAGTGAACCCATTTCCTACTCAATAAATTATGTCCCAGATGGAATGACATCAGCTAATAAATATGAATGGAATATTTGAGTGTAACTAGGACAGCGACGTGAATCACAGAGAAAATGCTGGCCAAATGAAACTCATGCGAGTCATGGAGAAAATGCTGGTCAAATTAAACTCATGCGAATCACGGAGAAAATACTGGCCAAATGGAATCCGTGTAAATCTGAGAACACAGAGAAGTCATAATTATAAAAGGTGGGGTGGGGGGGGGGGGGGGGGGTTTTGAAGGTTTTATAATGCCTCAGAAAGAGCATGTGAGCAGTCTCGTTCAGGCCTAGGAAATAAATACATGAAGTATTGAGGAGTGTCTGCTGGATCCAGAAAGTGTTTGAGTCCGATATGTCTGCAGAGAGATTTCCAATGCCTACCTGGCCAACAGCAACGACTGAGGGAGGTCCCGCAGCCAGCTGATTGTGTGTGTGTTTTTGTTCAGATGGAAAATAATCGTTATCTTTTTAATTGCTGTGGTGATGGAAACAATTCAGCTTAAGGTATAGTTGATACTTTTGGTGAGTTCGGATAGAAATGAGTGACTGTGTTATACCCTAACATGTACTGGCCGAAGTAACAGCGAGTGAACAAATAAAGTGACACCACATTGTAACATTCACCGTCGTCCATGTTTTTCTCGTGAGTTGTCGGTCGGTGCATGAATGGGAGCGTGCAGTGACTAGAGCCAGAAAGATAAAGAACGGAGTCAATGCACTACCTTTACTTCCCAGGACTTTTACTTGGTACCCATCTAAGGCTGGGTCACCCTGGGATTCCACAATGTTTTTTTTAACAAAAGCTCAGTTTGGATTTGAACTCATGACCTTTGAATCTGCAGGTGAGCATCTTGCCACTACACCATGGCAGGTCCTACTGACACTGTATCAAAAGGTAAAATACTGCTATGGATGAATCCTTTATGTTTACAGAAAGCAGTGGCCTAACGATAAGTGCACTGCTAACCTGTATGGGGGTTTTTGGTTCAGTCTCCACTAGAAGTAGCATGTCCTTCTATTTTTTATATTCCAGAGAACTCCGGGAGTTAAATAAGCCTCAATAAAATCTCATCTCAACTTTAACCCCATTCTAACCCAGCTTTGATCCACAAATCTGGCCTCATCTTAACCAATGCCTCATCTCATCCCACCTACTAGAGCCATCTCTAATCCTTTCACCCTGAGAAGCCTAAATCTAGTCACTTCATTACGAAGCGGACATAAATATAGTAACTGAAAATACCATTTTGGGTCTTTCCTCATGTATTTCTGTGCTAATAGTTATTGCTTTGTTTGAGTTTAGAGAGCCAAAAGGAATCAGTGAGATGGAATTGAAGAGAAAATTATCAGAAAAAGACAAGGCTTGGCAGGAAGAGCTAGACACTGTGAGAAGAAAGTTTGAAGCACAGATCAACCAAATTAAGCCAAACACACTTCAGGTATGTCTTAGTTATTTAGTGGGTAGTGGTAAAGGTTGATGGAGAGGATGGACTTCATTGCACCGGGCTCTATCTCATATGGCTGGATCTCTCTCCACAGAATGGCTAGCTGCCTGCCCAGAGCATCACACAAAGCACGATCACCATTTCTGGTGATGATCCCCTGGAGTCTCCATAAAATTGCACTCATGAACCAAATCACGCAGTCGTGAAACAAACCCGTGACTTTCAGAACACAAGGCAGATGAGAGTAACAATGAGCCGGATCACGATCCATGGTGGCTAGAAACTAGCATGCTAGCCTGGTCATCCTGAGTTCAGACATATATTGTATATACCTGGTTTCTCAGGTCAAGCTGACCTAAAACAGGTATTAAGAGAGGTTCTTGGAAGCAAATATCAGACACCAAGTGCTGACTGGCCTGAGAAATATAAAATATGAGGGGACGGCATATGTTTAGTATGCCTCAGGGCATGGGGCTGGGATGTTCATTTCTATCAGTCAATCAGTTTGTCCCCTCTAGGATGCTTCTTAAAGGTTTACCAAACTATCCTCAAATTAAAACATTTTTTCTTTAGTTTCTTTCCACTCCTGGGTGCAATTTAGTAATTAGCTTTCACTTTCAAGTCAACCCAGCCTACAATGGATACCAGGAAATGGTTGGGAAGTAGACAGTTGAGGCAACAGTGTTCACCACATCAGCCATCTAATGCCAGTGGGTCCATAAAAATATGAGTCATATGCCAGATGTGCCACGTAAGTGATAAGAGTTCGTTATTTCCCTGTTTGAGCTTATTCCAGATATGCCCATTATGCTATGTATGTGATAAGAATCTGTTATTTTCCTGTTTGAGCGAATTACAAATATGCCATATAGGTGATAAGAATCCTTTATTTCCCTGTTGGAGTGAATTCCAAATATGCGAGACATCTGTAATGCTATACCAGAGATTAAACATTGTGAGGCTTTCAAGTTCATGGAAAATGATTTTTCACTGAATAGACTGCATACCCTACATGTACCAATTGGAGCCGCAAGACAGGAAAACCATGTGGGAACCACCCGGCGTTACATCAGCCAGAACAGAATGGGAGTTGTGAGCCTAAAAACACTTGGAGACATACTCAAGAGGAGATCAAAGTACTTATGGTCATGTCCAATGTGCGATGATGATGATCTCAAAAATGAACAATTCTTCCTTTTCTTATTCAGTATTTTGAGAACTTGAGGTTCACTGCTGCAGATATACCCCCCCCCCCCAACCGCAATTCATTCATGTTGGTAGCCTTCTCTTTCCTATTGGTGACTCCAAGAGTTTGTAGGCCTTCATGTATATTAGCTTTCCAACATCTTCTTGATTTGCCTCATCGTCTGCTGTAAATCAACTCTGTGCATGCATTTTTTGAACTTCGTTGTCTGCCAGTCTCTGTATATGATGAATTCAGAGATTTGTTGTAAGACTGTTCTTGGAGTTTTTTAGTAAAGCTTTACCTCTTTTAGTTATTTCAGAGCCATATAGTTCAGTTGGTCAAATCAGTATTTTATAGATAGTGATTTCGGTTTTACGAGATAGAGCACTTGAATTTAACACATGTAGAGCATAGTATACCTTTTTTTTAGATTATATTCTAGATTGTGAACAGGATATAATTTTTTTTAAATGAGTTAGGTCTAATACAACAATGTAAAATACTTTTCACAGCAAGCCAATCTGGTCTGTGTTACAGGAGCAAGCTTGTAATCACCTGGCACAGTTAGAGTTTCTCAGACAACGGAACGAGGAGCTGGCGAATGACAACATTGCTACGACAACACAAAACAGGGAACTTCGAGAACGGGTGGACACCCTGTTGTCAGAGCTGAGTATCAAGGAGGCTGGCTGGTGTGAGATGGAGGAGAAATTCAAACTTGAGGTAGTGGAACATGTCTGTCCAATGTGAAACACCATGTATGATTGTAAGCTGGTGTTTCTTATTTTTCTTCTTCTTTATCTTCTATTCCTTCAGTCTCATTCTTCTTCTTAGCATTCACTGGTTGTAAACTCAGGCAGAAAGTTCTGGTTGTTCGCCCACTTTTGAACTTTGGTTTTGTTCCAGAACTTGAGATTTGCTTGCAAATCATTTTGCAGGTCTGGCTTATTTGCATATAGACTGTTAGTTCCTCCCCTGTCAGGCAGATGCACTCCAACTTCAGAAAAGACCATCCCTAATTAGTTTACTTTTACAAAATCTTGTTGGGGGCAGTAGGACTATTCTTTTTCCCTCCCTAAAATGCAGTCCTAGAAAAAGATTATAACAATTCTATTGTTGGACATAAACAAACAACAATTGTGCACTGATGGAATGGAGGAATCAGTAAAAACAAATGCAGTAGAGAATTTGAAGAGCTGCAGTCTTCCTGTCTTTTTGCGTGAACATTATTTCAATTTTGATAATTAATTTCATCTCAATCTAGCTAAAGGATTTCAGTTTAATTAAGAGTTGTAGTTAATCCCATACCATGTAGTCAATATTGGCTGGCCGTGAGTTAAAAGTATTTAAAAACAAATTTTAGTCAATATTACAGGCGAACATAAGACATTTCTTTTTTTCAAAAAAGCTACCCATAAGATGGAAAAATGTCTTAAATTTTGTGTTCAAGTTTTTGGACCCAAGTCTACATGATGTGTCCAGTCGACTTCTTGCCTTGAATCCCCACCAACATGTTTCTGCATTCTCATAATTTGTTTTTAAATATTTAGTCAGAGCTTTATTTTACCTCATTAAAAATTACAGTGTGGTATGAGAGGATATCAGCCTTCACCAGGCAAACATTACAGGGACTGGTATTGATATACTGGCTGGGACATGGAAAAAGCAGATTTTCTGGCTACAAAGGTGATAACTATGGGGCCACTCATACTAGACAAAGGATACTTCTTCTTCTTCTTCTTCTTCATGTTCACCGGCTGTAAACTTCAGCGGAAAGTTATGGTTGTTAGTTCTCTTCTGGATTTTGTTCTAGAACCTGAGTGGTGCATACACATCCATTGTTCAGATCTGACTTTTTTTACATGCAGACTGTTGGTTCCTTGCCTTTCAGGTAGACGCAGTCTGACTTGGAAGGAAGCCCCCAATTAGTCTACTCTTACAACATGCTTGTTGGGTCTATTCTTGTTTCCCCCACAAAGTGCCCCCCCCCCCTTTTCACCCCCTTGGAGGACAAAGGATACATTCTGAAGACCATTTATAAATGATAGAAGACATGGAATTAGATGAAGTGTAAGAATATGTGAATGTGGAATTAGATGCGGACCCAGCAAGGAGGGGTGTATGCGAGGAAGAGTACGACATGTGTATAATCAGTATACTACAGAAACAGTTAACATCTACACTTTATGACATTTACTGTGGGAGACTGAGCATCTGTGGATATGCCTGTTGTTCTATGATGTTGATTCTTAAATCAGTAAGTAAAACTGTATAAAATTTTGATCTAACATAACACAGTGGACATTTCTTGTCTTCTGGGTCAACTCAAATATGCACTAGGTAGTGTTCTGGAAAGTAAAGGTGGCCAGCAGGATGTTGACCACATAACCCACAGCTGTGTGGACTGGTTTATAAACGTATGAGTCTAGCATCATATGTCCAATCCACTACTGGTGTAACAAAGCGTCCTTTGCTTTATATCTAATAAAAATATTAGATGCGTATCCTTACTTGCTTACTTGTTTGTTGTACCCCACCAGGACATCACACAAGTGATAAAGACCCAGTGACACAAAGTGCCACTATGTGGATGAGGATCACCCGTGGAGAGGTCCCAGAAACTTCTTTCAGCCGTTATTGCCACATTTGTGGCCTAGTTATATTCAGGGCCCCCAGCAACAGCCAGGGTGGGGCTTCATATCATCAAAAATTGCCTCCCACATGTGGACAACTACATTATTATTATCCTTAACAAAGTATTGCAGAACAAACCCTAGTATTTTTTTTACTTTTGTGGTTTTTCTAGTCAAATTTTACATTCAGTAAGTTGTCATTGCTTTCAGAACAGTCAGCTCTTGGTACCACTGTCGAAACTAATGCAAGAGAAATCTTCAGCAGCTGGGATCCATCCTGGCACCCAAGCATTACTAAGCGTGTTTGCAAAGCCTGGGCCACAGCTGCCAACTTTATACAAAATGATTATTTTCTCACTTTCTCACCTGCTTTGAAGCTCTCTAGGACTGAAATATCTCTGCTGTATCAAGTATGAATTTTGAAACAGTGACTAATCCTCTTTTTCTTCTTCAGCATTCCGAGCCCTTGAGGTTCATTGGTGCAAATATCACCTGCCTCGATTTATCTCTCTAGCTGGCCTTCTTTTTCCAGTTGGTGACACCAAATGTTTGCAGGTCTGTCTGGACATTATCTCTCGATCATCTTTAAGGCTGCCTTGTGGTCTATGACCATTCAACTCCCGTATAGTTTTTACTTCTCTGTCATCTTACATTCTTTCAATATGCCCCAACCATTTCAGTCTATTAGCTCTCATGATGCCAGTGATCAATGGTGAGTTAAACCATGAATATTGCCATGTTTATTCACAGCTGAAAACATCATGGGGAGAGAAATACAAAATATGGATGGAGCAGATGGAAGCAAAGATCACTGAACTTCAAAGAACAAACATTCTGTTGTAAGTTGGCAAGATCTTGAGATGAACAATCATTTACAGATAGACAATATTAATTAAAGAGAACATTATCATTTACCATCAAGAATTGAAATAAATAGAGAGAGAGAGAGAGAGAGAGAGAAAGAGAGAGAGAGAGAGAGAGAGAGAGAGAGAGAGAGAGAGAGAGAGAGAGAGATGAAGAAGAATGAGAATAAATAAACAGAAAAATAAATAGAAATATTATTGCATGCTGTTATTAGATCTATACTAGAAAAAGAGCAGCCATTATCAGATCATGAAAAGATATTCAACCAAATGAAAAGTAGACCAGTCAGCTTCAGATTATCACAATCACAAAAGTAACTGATGAGTGTTGCTGCTAGAAAGCTTTCATCAGGTCTGTCCAGGAAAAATCCAGGAAAATCCACATGGCTTCTGGCCATTCCAAGCTCTGAGGCACATATTAATACCGGAAATGATTATGAGCCAGAAAAAAACGATGTCGAAGGCAAGAGCTGTCTCTGGCAAATATTAGCTAAAGCTGTGTTGAACGTTAAGTCCCTTAGACTGCCATTATCATTTTCATTGTTATGCTTTTAGATATTTTTAAAAAGTCAAATTAAAAAAAAGGATACACAGTTTAAAAAGTAAGGATCCTTTCCTTTGCTTATGGCATATTGGATATATCTTCTTCCTCCTCTTTTTCTTCTTCAGCATTCTAAGCCCTTGAGGCTCATCGCTGCAAATATCACCCGCCTCCACTCATCTCTCTGGTTGCCCTTCTCTTTCCAGTTGGTGACACCAAGTGTTTGCAGGTCTGTCTGGACGTTATCTCTCCATCGTCTTCTTGGTCTGCCTCGTGGTCTATGACCATTCAGCTCCCTTGTGAATACACTTTTTACCTCTCTGTCATTTGACATTTTCTCAATATGCCCAAGCCATTTCAGTCTATTAGATCTCATGATGCTAGTGATCAGTGGTGATTTAAACAGATTATGAATTTTGTTTTTGCTTCTCGTTCTCCATTCCCCCCTGTTTGCATCTTTGATGGGTCCAAAGATCCGTCGTATATTGGATATATGGTATTCCACATTTTTTTAGGACCATTTTTCCTATATGGATCTATAACTAAAATAGATGAAGCATTGTTACACACTTTTGAGAACAGTCTTATGGTGAATCAGTGGACCCATCAGAGGTGCAGACTATGGAGAATGAGAAGCATTAACAAAATTCAGAATCTCTTTAAATCACCACCAGTTACAGAGGGCGTGTAGAGAGAATGACAGATAACAGAGAGACAAAAACTGTCTACAAAAATAGTTGAATGGGAGTAGGGCATGAGGCAGACCAAGAAGATCGTGGAGAGATAGTTAGTTAGTTAGTCGACAGATTATCCTCACTGCTCATCGAACCATTCCGTCCATAAGTGCGCGGATCCCTGCCTTAGTAAATCCCGCAGCGTGTAGCGGCTTACAACACCAGTTCTGTGTTGGTTTCTTATTCTTCTCTAGCTTTCTGCATTGTGCTCTTGTCTGGCCACACCCTTTTTACATGCTGTTCTTTGCAGTCTAGTTATTGTTGCAGATTCACAGTCATCACCTGGTTCTCACAAAAGTCTTACTTCTCGTAGTGCTTACAGAATATCAGCATGGTCTATGGCTCATCCACCTTCCACAGTTGCTTTACCTGCAAGCCGACCAGCCTGCTCATTTCCTTGCACGCCTGTGTGCCCTGGCACAAATATGAAACTAATATGTGTCAGCCCAGACCGCTTTAGAGACTCCAGCCTTTCTCTGTCTTCCTGAGCAGTGGGAAAGCATGCACAGGAAAAGGTCTGTCTCTTCAACCATGTTATTGCTTTGATCACTGCCGTGACCTCCATAGTCAGACTACTTGTGGTCAGTGCAACAGCACCTGAATCTTCCTTCACAATTCTAACTCCAGGTTCTTTGTCCTCAAGGCTCACAGTGTAGAAAAAGAAGAATAAATAAACTTTGGGTGCCTAGTTGATCATGTTCTTAGTACACTTGTTTCTATAGTGAAGCATACATGGCATTTGGAGGTGACAGGTTCGATTCCCGGCACAGTAACGTTAGCTTTTTATGTTGTCTAGTGGCGTCTAATGTAGTTGATAGCGTATTGGACGTCAGGTGACAATCTCCATGCCTTTTCTAGTCTCGGGTTCAAGCCTGGGGATGGTAGAAAAACGGCATACTCCCCAGATTAGCGGCTGAAACCGAGGCTGAAAGGCTTCGATGCTCATGACAGAGCCAGATAAGCTATGCTCAAGTGCTTCTAATTCAGAAAACAAAAATTGTCTAGTGTGTCTGTCTTTCTACTTCTTTCTATAAGTGCTGATCAATAAACTGTTTGTTAATTATATATATATGAAGAAGAAGAAGAAGAAATGACACTTAGAATGTGATGCGGTTAGTATCAAGCTGACTACTTTTTAAAATCTATCTAATACCAAGTTTCAGCTCGGTCCGCAGAGAAGAATAGGCCATTGAAAACAATCTTGTCTCAGAAAGGTTTCAAACTCATGACCACTGGACCAATAGTTTTACGGTTTTCCTTTTGTAATATGATAATGCTCGACCCCATACTGCCTCTGCAACAATTGAAGCCATTGAAGGCCTTCATTTTCAGTGTGTACATGACCAGTAGGGAGATTCAGTGGCAAAGTGATCAAGCTGTTTGCCTAGCGCTCTCAAGGTCTTGGGTTTGTTTCAAGGCTGCATAATTTTCTGTTCACGGGTACAATTTTTACGGACACATTTGCAGGTTATTGCTATAGCTACAGTATTCATGCTTTATATGACACTCTCAGCAGCTGGCTAGCCATTCTGCAGGGAGTGACTAGCCATATGGTATCAAACCCAGTGCAATGAAGTCAGTCCTCTCGACTTTTAAGTTAAACTGACCAAACCAAAAGGAAAGCATTTCCTGAGGGAAACATGTTCTAACCCAAAGAACTGAAGCACAGCAAGCTGTATGATGGAGTGACCCTATCTTCCACCTACCTGTGTCTATTCGTTGGTTTTTTGACCCACATGCATTGGCTACCATCTTGACTTTGGTTGGGTTTTCTTCTTCGTCGAATTCACCAGCTGTAAACTCTGGCGGAAAGATCTGGTTGTTCATCCACTTCTAGACTGCAGTCCTGTTCCAGAACCTGAGTGTTGAGTGTGCATTTGTTTTACAGAACTGACTCATCTGTATGCAGATTGCTGGTTCCTTGCCTCTCAGACAGACGTACTCTGACTTCGAAGGCAGCTCCCAGTTAGTCGACTCTTACGACATACTTTTTGGTAGGCAGTGGGTGATTAAGTCAATCTGAAGTTTTACAGCTGAGAAGATTGACTTCATTGCATCAGATTTTATTTAAGATAGCTTGGTCTCTCTGCAAAATGGCTGGCTGCCTGCCTAGAGCAGCACACAAAGCACAAACTCTATAGCTCCAGTGATGATCCCTAGGGATCTAAATTATTTTAAAATTACAGTGTAAACTGAATCTATGACTTTCAGAGTACAAGACAAATGATTTGACCACCCAACCATAGACCCCCCCCCCCCCTTTTTTTTTCTGCTCTAAATCTAGTGTGTATGTGTATAATCCTTATATGTGTGCAGTGTCGTCTACATCTGAATGTCTCTTTGTGTTTGCATATATTATTGTACCTACATGTCTTTGTTTGTATGTGTATGCTGTAAATATTTTATTTTGTGTCCATGGAAGCATGTGAATGTTCTTTAAATATGTTCCCATATATATGTGTGAGTGTAAGCTCTGACTGTGTTATACAGCAACGCAATGTGTTTGTTTGTGTCTCTACAGGCGCACATATTTGAAGAATCACCGCCCAGATGGACCAGACCCAACGGGACAGAATCCAAACTTTGACAGTTTCTTATCAAAAAATGTTACCATTAATATATAAAAATATATATCAACCTGGAGTGAGGGGGGCAAGCAGCAAGAAGGCTTCTATTCCCAACTATACTTTATTTCAGTTAAATTCTTCTTGAGGAGGCTAGTTATTATTTAAACCGGTCATCCTGAGAAAGCCAGTTTTCTTACTTTTAGGGGGACTGCATGGTCTTGAGGCATGGCGTCCGCTTCGAGTGCTGGAGGTATCCGGTTTAGGCCCGGGTGAAGGCTGGGATTTTCTCACTTGGACGAGTAATTTCCCCTGGTCTTCGGATAGTAAGATGTCACCCATGTATATTGCTGCGCACATAAAAAATTCCTTGGCAGAAGGAAATCCAAAAAGGTAGCATAACAGTGCTCCCCAGGCACAATTTTGAGTTGATAATTTACCTAAAGTATTTCATGATCCTCACCAGTGCTACAGAGTTCGTGCTCTGCGCCGAGACTTCAGACCCAGACTTGAGTCAGGAGTAGAATGGAGCACATATGGGTTACTACCCTTGTGCCACGATGTTGATCCGTATAAACCTGACCCTAAACCTTATTTTTTTAAAGCGGTTTTTAGCGACGTCTTTGGCTGCACAGTGTGTAGACATAGGGGTATGGTTATATTGGTGGCAGAAAATCTAGGTCAAAGGGAGGGAAAGCAGTTATTTCTTTGCTCCATTTGTATTTAGTGACTACTTCCCTGATTTATAACAACAACAAAATCACCTTTGTGCAAAATCATACTTTAAAAATGAGAAATCCATCTGTTTAGTGATGAGGCAACAGCTAGTAGGCTTGCCCGTCTGTTTAGTGATGAGGCAACAGCTAGTAGGCTTGCCCGTCTGCTTAGTGGTCATGGGTTTTATTTGGATTTTTTTTTTAAATGGACATATACTGCTAGACCTATATTTTTTACACGATCCACACTCAATGGGTGATGTGGTTAACATCACACTGGCCACCTTTACTTCCCAGGACATTACCCAGTGTCTATTTAAATTTTAAGTCTACCTGAGAGCCAAGTTAAGGTTTTTTTCCCAAATCCAACCTGATGCAGATTTAAACACAAGACCGTCAGGCTAACAGCCATTACATCACTGCATCTCTCCTTTTTTTTTTTTTTTTAAATTTAAAGTACTGTAGTTTTACAGAAGAATAAATGGATAGACACACAGTGTCACATGTCAAAAGTGTCTTTAGTTATCACATGCCAAAAGTGTCTTTAGTTATCACATGCCAAAAGTGTCTTTAGTTATCACATGCCAAAAGTGTCTTTAGTTATCACATGTCAAAAGTGTCTTTAGTGAAGAAGGTGGTGTGAAAGATCAGACAGAGACTAAACTTTCCTTGGTAATTCCTGGTACCCATTTTTGACTAGGTCGACTTTTGATCCTTAGGTTATAAAAATGCATCTCAGCATCAGTATGGATTTGAAGCCATGACCTTCAAGCTAGCAAGTAACCATCTTACAGTGGTGCTGCAGCAGCATCCTTTTTCTATTACTAGTCTGAACAAATGAACCAATCAGTTGACAGTAAATAACAAATAAACCAATCAGTTGACAGTAAATAACAAATGAACCAGTCAGTTGACAGTAAATAACAAATAAACCAATCAGTTGACAGTAAAAAACAAACAAACCAATCAGTGACAATTAAAAAAGAAAAAAAAAAACAGTGACAGCAAATAACAAAAACGATCATCTGGCAGTAAATAATAAACAAACCAATCAGTGACAGTAAAAGATTAAAGAAAACAGTTAGTGACAGTAAATAAAAAATTAAAAAAACACAAATCATCCATATTTGTTCAACTTATTCAAGACATAAAACAATCAGTGACAAAGTTTGCAAACCAACTTTTAATGAACATTTGTGGGTAAGAATAATTTAGGTAACATATTCACAAAAAGATGAGACTTCTCACTACTTGTAACATTCACTTGTTACTTCGTGTGTGTTCAGTCTTTCAGCTTATATTCTTTGTTCTGTACAAAATGGCACAATTGAAAAAAAAAAAAAAACAATCAACATCTCTTTAATTTGTTAGATGATTCTGTAGACCAGTCATTATAATCTACATGTAGATCATCTGTCCAATAACAATTTTTGTTGTTATAGTCTAAACCAACAGCATTCCCCTACTGGTTGATCCATTCAACCAATCACAGCAATCTAATAGTGAATGCTCTTGTTCACTGACTAATGTTAAAAGAAGACATAACACTTTTTTGCCTTCTATCTAAAAGAAGGAGTAAAACCACCAGACCAGGCTCTAGTAATAAACTGAGCATTGCTTAAGTTAATTGTCTGGGGCCCATTAGGTGCCATCACGGTGACAGACTGGGTGGGACTCAAAGGCTGAGGAGGCTGGGTTAAAACTGTGGCCACACCTCCTGTCTGTGCTGTGAATGAATGCAGGGCTTGGTTTAACTGATTGATGTCGATTGTGGTTGGTTGAAGTACCTGTAAACAAATTGTACAAACACTGAGATACGACTGGCTCTACAAATGTATGAACATGAACAAAATGTGCATGCACAGATACACAGACTAGATATAGAAGCACTGGCAATGATTTGCTCATAAACACAAATTCATAATCTTCAATTTCTGATGACCTCTGCAGCCACGAGGTCCCAAATCTTCAGGTTAAAATGACCTCCCTGCACTACGCTGCTCTAAAAAAAGTAGTATAATATGGGCAGTAACAGACAGCTTGACGCCCGCCTACAGATCACAAGGTCGTGGGTTCGGGTCCTGACAGAGCCAGACTTTTTTCTTTTTTCAAAAATGACCTTGACTCCCAGGTAGATCCAGCCATGAATGAGTGCCCGGTGCAGTCCTGGGAAGTAAAGGCAGCCGGCATGATGCTGACCACATCACCTATAAAGTGCCGATTGGTGTATACAAACATAGGTCTAGCTCTATCTTCCCAATATGCCTCAAGGCCTGGTAAAAGGGACCTTGACTTGTACTTTACTAACAGACGGCTTAATCCGGCTGCCCTGAGAAAGCCATTTTCCAGACATTTACTGGTTTTTGAGGACATGAAGTCTTTGAGCAGCGGCTACTATACCTATTATACCTATGTAACAGTTTTGGTACAGGCTGTGAATGCAGACTGTGTAGACATGGTGGGCATGAAAATATAATGAACCCACCCACCCACCCACACATACATAGACAGGAGAGACAGAAAGAGATATTATAAGGGGGAAAAAAAATATCAATTTTTGTTTGTATACATTTGTGTGCCAATTTTGTGTTTGTAATTACAAGATTCTGTTCCCTGCAAATTAATCACAAAACTTCATATAAATTATTTTACTTATTTGACAATCGTGATGCGATATTGCTGTGGAGTTCACGTTTGCCCATCTCCTAAGTGATCTAAGGTTATGACCCTCTGGATGTTTACAAAAACAGCCCAAGACTCAAAATTTCTTCTACTTCTTCAGGAATTTCTAAGGATACATTTCTTCTTAATGAAATTGTTACAAAAAGATTTTTAAAAAGATTTGTTTGTTTTCAACAGGGCAAAAGGGTCAAAAGACAATGATTTGCTTAAAAAATGCTCAGAAAAAGAAACATAAATGTGTATTATATAGTTTATAAAGGTTCCAAATCTCTGAATGGATATTCACATGTTGCATAAAATGTACAGACAACATAACTAATAAAGAATCTGAGTTAGAAAGTTAGTCTTCCCTAGGCTTTCCAACCCACCAAGTAAATAACTCCACAGCTATCTGCTTCTACCCTTGTGAAGCACGAAATGAGTGCTTTGTATCACTTATAATTACTCTTCTAATCCAAAGGGAATAAAACATAAGGTAAATGAATGCTGAATTAAAAATCAACATTACAGTACTCGGGACACTCCCATAACCACTCTGTCCCTCATCTTCAGCAGCAAGCCAAGAGTTCCTACTCCAATGGTACCAGTAACTGTTTGTATATCCATCTCACCCTTCCCTTGAGTGTTGAGCATCAGCCAGATCCCCTGGTAACTCCCCGCAGCGCCATTCTCCTCAGACCGTAATGATCTATTTGTGCCTCCGCACTGTTCACAAAGCTCCCAAAGGGCCCTCACAACATCTAGCTTGTCATACATCAATTTACCATCAAGTGGTGCAGAACCGACCATTCTATTTGCCTGCTCACTTCCCAACACACCAGTATACCCTGGAGACACTATCCAAAGGACACCAACTACCTGGGACCTCTAAAGTAATGCTTGCCACTCTGCACATGGCGATGAAACAGAAGGTGACGAATGATCGAAAAATGGAAAGACAGGAAGTCATCTCTTACCATGGTTGAGGCTCCTCCCTGAGTCAGCCGGGAGCCGATAGTAAACTCACTGGGGTAACTGTGCAGCTCACTCATGGCCTGAGTCAGCAGATCCGTGCCGGGAAGGGAGTCCGCCTGAGTGACCACTGCTATTGGTACAGCCTCATATCTGTCTGGCAGACCGTGTTCTCCATCTGGAAGTGATAGACCATAACAAGCTATGATTTTTTTTTTTAAACTATATTATCATAAACAAAGGAAAGATAAATCTGTGGACTAGCCACAGCAGTGATCTCCCTTGTATGTTTTGATTGTTAAGAGAATGTTAGTGAATGTGTTTAACATGATGAGCTACTTACACCTGGTGACACAAAGTGCCACCTTTCAGATGAGGATTTATCTATCTACATCCTCTTCATATCGCTGTTGACACATAAAGCATTCACACGTGATCTCCATTGCTACCGGTCGACTGTTTTTCTGTCCATGGTATCCCATGTCAGTTTACATTTCTTCATTTCCCATTCTATTGTCCTTCTCCAGGTTTCCCTTAGGTAGTCCACGTCTCTTTTTCCCATGTGCTGTCCACCGGTGATGGTTTTTGCCACAAGGCATTCTGCATACATGTCCAAGCCATCTCCATTGTCTTACTTTGATAACATTTGCCAGTGATGCACTTTCTGTTTTCCTCCTCAATTTTTCATTTGTGATCTTGTTTGGCCAAAAAATTTGCAGAATTCTCCGTAAACATTTATTTTGAAAATCTCAAGTTTATGTGTAATTCATTCTGTCATTTTTCAACATTCACTGTTGTATAATAGTATTCCAAAAATGTTGCTCTTGTATATTCTGAGTTTTGTCTTCAAAATAAATCCCTTTGACTTCCATATATTGTTAAGCATGGCAAATGCTTGATTGACTTTGTTTATTCTTGATGTTATATCTTTTTCAGAGCGTCCATCTGGAGTAACTTTATTTCCGAGGTATATAAATTCTTCAAAATGATGAGGATCACAAAGGCATAAGTCCCAGAAACCCCATTTAACCATTAGGTTCAATTACCACTGCAGTTGTTTCTGTCTCGTTTTTTATTTTTAAATTGTTCTCGTGGTCTGGGAACAGTAATTTGAGAGTCACAACATGGAAGAGACCGGGGCCTTACCATGAATTATTCCTAAAGACAGCAGTGTCTTCTGCCTTTCTAACCTCCAATGAAGCATAGGCCCTCAAACAACTCGTTCTAACATTTGCTGTCATATGCAGCTCTCTCCATGTCCTACCTAACTTCACTCTCTAGCTCCTTTCTTCGTGTGTTTTTTGGGTTTTCCTTTATTTCTATGCCCCTGTGGGTTCCAGTGAAAAGACATTCTGGTTACATGTTCTCAGGTTTTCTCAATGTGTGTCTTATCCATCTCCAGTGCCTTTTTGTTCACCTTTTATTCCAGTGGAACTTGTTTTGGTCTCTCCCAAAGCTCTACATTGGTGATTCTATCATTTCATGATAACAATGGTTAATAGCCCTGATCTATGATACTAAAACAATTGCACAGTGGTTAATAGTACTGATCTATGATACTGAAACAACGGCACAGTGGTTAATAGCCCTTATCTATGATACTGTAACAACAGCACAGTGGTTAATAGCCCTGATCTATGATACTAAAACAATTGCACAGTGGTTAATAGCCCTGACCTATGATACTGAAACAACGGCACAATGGTTAATAGCCCTTATCTATGATACTGTAACAACAGCACAGTGGTTAATAGCCCTGATCTATGATACTGAAACAATTGCACAGTGGTTAATAGCCCTGATCTATGACACTGAAACAATTGCACAGTGGTTAACAGCACTGATCTATGATACTGAAATAATGGCACAGTGGTTAATAGCCCTGATCTATGATACTGAAACAATTGCACAGTGGTTAATAGCCCTGATCTATGATACTGAAACAATTGCACAGTGGTTAATAGCCCTGATCTATGATAATGAAACAATTGCACAGTGGTTAATAGCCCTGATCTATGACACTGAAATAATTGCACAGTGGTTAACAGCACTGATCTATGATACTGAAATAATGGCACAGTGGTTAATAGCCCTGATCTATGATACTGAAATAATGGCACAATGGTTATTAGCCCTGATCTATGATACTGAAACAATTGCACAGTGGATAAACTGTGAACCTTAAGTGACATATAATAGCATATAAGGATGGCGATGGTGAGGAACAATATGTAATGGATATTTTGTGTGTAACTTTAACTACATTCAACATGTAATCACAACTTCACACGTGATGAGCGCATGTATCTGGAAAACAGCAATGAAACATTACCTGTGACAGTGATGAGGAAGTCCTGCTGCTGGTGTATCTCCCTCTTGATTTTACGTCTCCCATGAGCCGGTTCAACAAGTTTAGAGTGACTCTTTCTTTGGTGCTTTGTAAGTTCACGGAAAAGGAGAGAGATTTATTAATCCCCAGAAAAAAAATATATATCTGTTTTCCCACTCTTCCAGGCTATTACCTGATGATCTGACTACTTCCACAACTGTGACACCCATGTCCTGGAAGGGGCAAATCCCAGTTACCCTGTTCCAGTTATCCTGTTCCAGTTACCCTGTTCCAGTTATCCTGTCCCAGTTACCCAGTTCCAGTTACCCTGTTCCAGTTACCCTGTTCAAGCTACAAAGAAGCCATAATTAAGATGCTTTTAATGGCTACAGAAAGGGCAGTATCAGTTCAGGTAATCTTGTGCGGGTAACAGATGACCCAGTCCAGAGTAAAAAGCCTAAACTCTTGCATCAAAACCTCCCCCCCCCCCACTCCCCCCCCCCCCCCCCCCCCCCCCCCCCCCCCCCCCCCCCCCCCCCCCCCCCCCCCCCCCCCCCCCCCCCCCCCCCCCCCCCCCCCCCCCCCCCCCCCCCCCCCCCCCCCCCCCCCCCCCCCCCCCCCCCCCCCCCCCCCCCCCCCCCCCCCCCCCCCCCCCCCCCCCCACCTTTCCTGAGAACAGATGGGCTGGTATTTTAGAATCAGAGGTCAAACTGACCAAACACTTGTTTTACATTCACGGAGACATCCTGGACAGACGTGGCTGGATAATAAAGTGAGGATCAACATTGAATACATCACCCAACATTTCACAACCAACAGAATTTATCTCACAGCGCAGACAACATCCCACAGCCTATTAAAAATCTTACAGCCGAAACACATTTCCCACACCCACACAATACTTCACAGCCCACACATCTCTATGGCCTGACATCTCAAACTTACATAACATCTTAAAGCCCTACATCTCACACATCTTCCCAGCCCGCACATATAAACATTTCCCTGGCACACCCATCTCACACAACTCTAAGGCCTCACATCTCAAATCCATGTAACATATCTCAAGCCCATATACACAACACATCCCACTCATCTCCATGGCTTCATATCTCAAATCCATATAACATATCCCCAGCAAATATGCACCACACATATCCATGGCCTTACATATCAAATCCATATAACATATCCCCAGCAAATATGCACCACACATATCCATGGCCTTACATATCAAATCCATATAACATATCCCGAACCCATATGCACCACACATCTCCATGGCCTTAAATCTCAAATCCATTTAACATATCCCCAGCCCATATGCACCACACCAGCCCACACACATCTTCATGGCGCCACATCTCAAATCCACACATCATCTTACAGACCACACATCTCCCCAACCCACACACAGGACGTATATGCTCACCTGCAAGAGTTTGGCCTTGCTGGCATACTGTTTGTGACAAAACTTGCAGCCATGGGGCATGGTGGTGATGCTGCTGACTGTGTGTGAGAAGGAGTTTGGGGGGAAACCAACTATGCCATCTGGCGACAGGAGCTTCTTGCGAGATGATGGAGGCACCTGGCAACCTGGGTGGTTTTTAGTGATATGGGCTTTTCGTTTGGAGGATGATTTATAGATCTGCAGATGTTAGAGAAGTCAGTAACATTAAACCCAAAATTATTGTACGCGATGTGAGTGATGTTAAAACCCCAAAATAAACAGATGAGATATAAGTTCAACCCAAAATAAATATATGACCCAAAATAAATATATGAGATGTGAGTAACGTTAAACACCTATAAAAAATAAATGAGATGTGGGTAAGTTCAACCCAAAATAAACACATGAGATGTGAGTAAGTTCAACCCAAAATAAATATTTGAGATGTGAGTAATGTTAAACCCCTAAAATAAATATATGAGATGTGAGTAAGTTCAACTCATAATAAACACATGAAATGTGAGTAAATTCAACCCAAAATAAATATATGAGATGTGAGTAATGTTAAGCCCCCAAAATAAATATATGAAATGTGAGTAAGTTCAACCCAAAATAAATACATGAGATTGAGTAAGTTCAACCCAAAATAAACACATGAGATGTGAGTAAGTGTAACCCAGAATAAGTGGAAGCGATCTGAGTAGCATTAAACAAAAACAAAAAAAATAGAGATGCCAGTAATGTTAAACCAAAAATAACGTTGGCTGCATATCTATTTTATAATGCCGCACACCATTCTCACATTAGGTAATTTTATTTTGGTTAGTTTATCACTGTTATCAAGCAAAAAGATTATGTAGACAAACTGCTGACCTTCCAGAAATTGGTTATCCACTTAGCAGTATTCCAGAACAAACCCCATGGAGAGAGAAATGCAAACTAACGGTACAAATCCAGACAAATGTGAAAGGAATATTTGACAAGAAAGAGCAAGATAGTGTACAACACAGAATAGCCACCCTCAGTTATATTGATGAAGAATACCCACAAGAATAATGGGTCAGAGTCTATACAGATGGGTCCGCAGAAAGTGCAGTTAGAAATGGTGGCGCTGGAGTGTACATAGAATTCCCAGATGGTACTAGGGATAAGTCCAGCGTACTAACCGAAAAGTACTGCCATAACTATGATGCAGAAACTCAAGCTATCAAGATATCAACACAGAAACTGCTAAATACCAATCTTGGCTCACAGTATGTGGTAATGCTAACAGATGCAAAATCAGTACTTGAATAACTCCAGTCTAGGAAACTACCAGAATTGCAAACACTGCTGACACAACTTAGCCTTCAGCGAAGAGTTGTAATGCAGTGGATACCGTCTCATTGTGGAGTGAATGGAAATGAGAAAGCTAATCAACTGGCAGGAGAAGGTGTGACAAAAGTGCAGCCGGATGTACCTGTCACATACCACCCAAAAAAAGAATCATTAAATCAATCAGGAAACCACCAGCCCCAGCACAAGACGACTATTTTATTATGGACAGATCAGAACAAGTCATTATCCTCCGCCTCAGAACAGGGCACAACCGATTACGTAACCACATGTACACAAAATTCAAGATAGGCGTATCAGCCATGTGCACTTTAGGAAAGGTGTGCCAGACAGCAGAGCATGTACTCCAGGACTGCACTGAATTTGACACATTAAGGCAAACCTTTTGGCCAGAAAGAACAACAGTGGAATTGAAACTCTATGGACCACTGAATGAATTAACAACAACAGTTAAATTTATACAAGAGACAAAATTGCTGATATAGACAACTTATTTCAGGCGAACAAAAGAAGAAGAAGAACTGTTTGCTGAATGTATGATATGGATATGTTTGTTAAAATCAAAGAAGAAATTTGGGTTGAACATAATCAAAAGCTAACCTACATTAAAAAGATTTTAAAATTGTATTGACCAGTTGACACTTGGCTTGCAATGTGGTCAGTATTACAATGGCTGCCTTTACTTTCAAGGACCATACCTGGTACCCATTCAAGGTTGGATCGCGACCTTAGAGCCAAGGTCATTTTAGCAAGGAAAAAATCCGGCTCCTTCAGGACCTGAAACCAGGACTTTCTGGTCCATAGGCGAGTGTTTATCCACTACACCATGGCTGCTCTCACCAACACAGGTGCAACAGCTAAAAAGTTCTGGCATGAAAACAAAAGGGCATCAAGGGAAAATAGTGACTGATAACATTAAAGACACTCTACATCAACAGGGAATGGGAAAGTTAGTGCTATCCATCAAGCAATGGATTACAAACTGTTCCTCTCTCAGGATGCTCAATATCAAAAGTGAAAATTAATAATGTGATGGAAAAAAGAAAGTTGACTGATACCAACTTCCCTTCATCTGACTTCAAACCCCAGCATGTCAAGTTTGTGAAACTGCATTCATAACCCTTAAGCCACAGATACCCACAAACCTAAAGTAGTTTACATAATTTATTTTAAAAAAAACATCTATCTCCTGTGAATACTGAGATGGGAAAAAAATAGGGGCGGGGGGGAGGGAGGAAGGTGACAAAGGCAATCTGGCAGATGAAAAGTTTCTCTCTCTCTCATTCTCTCTCTCTAGACAGGAATTTGTGCATGAAAGAGTGAGACAGTGCATAAATGAATCAGTGAGTGAATGAGAGAACGGGTGAATCAGTAAGCAAATGAGTATTAGAGGGTGCAAGAGACACAAAGAATGAACAAGACAGCGAGACAGTGTATGAGAGTTAATGTGAGGTAAGTAAGTGAAACACTGATTGAGAGTGTGAATAACTGAGTGAATTAGTAAGAGGGAAAAGTGAAATGAGCAAACAGTTAGAATGCTGAGTTTTCATGTGAGAGACCTAGGTTCAATCCTCGGTAAGTAAAGTATAGAGGTTTTTCTGTCGGAGGCAAAAATAAACATCCTAGCGCGCACTCCATGGTGACCCTAAATCCTCAGGCTCAAGACTCCCTGTCCTACAACAACCTAAAAAAAAAGTTCATTAATGACAGAAATATTAAAGAGTGTGTAGAAAAGAGCAAGAAAAAGAGTGAGATAGGGAATAAGTGAGAGAATGGGTAAGAGAGTGAGTGAATAAATGAGGTAGAAAAGTGGGTAAAGAAAATATAAGTGAATGAAAAATTAAACAGTGTAAATGAGAGAATTAATAAGTTAGAAAGTAAGTTAAGAGATAAATGACAACATGAACAAGACCATAAGGTGTTATTTCTCTCAGATCTCAAAAGCAACAGAGCAGAAGCAATGAGTGGAAACAATGAAGTGCATGAGTGCCACTGCCAATGTGAAGAAAACCAAAACAAAGATGGCAATGACAATAAGGATAGTAACACAAACGAGATTAAAAAACAGAAGGACAAGGAACTGAAGAGACAGTGAAATTTGGGAAAGGGAGAAAAACATGAGAGAAACAGGACTGGAGTGAAAAAGGTTTGAAGGAAACAGCCGAACAAAATATGAAATCAAACCAGGTTGCTCTACATGGCCAGCTGACCTTGTTGCAGTACTGACAATAGAAGTCTTTCTGAGTCTTCAGGATCGGCAGATTGAGTTCCGGCACCTGATCGGGTTTAATGTCTGGATGTCTCTTTGCCAGGTGGTTCACCAGCATGCCACGACGCTTGAAACCCAAAAGACAAGTGTGGCACTTGTAGATAAACCGGTGGTACTCTGAAGGCATTACCTGGACAATACAAACAGAATACATTTATGTGAATGCAATCAATTCCAGTCTAAAAAAAAATTTAAATCAGCTTTTCTATTCAGCTCTTAGAACAGATGTATATCAGCATTTTTCTATTCCAATGTGAGAGTAGATTTATATCAGCACTTTCTGTTCCAGCATGAGAACAGATTTATGTCAGCATTTTTATTCCACTCTGAGAACATATTTGTCTCAGTGGATATACTGGTGAACTTATGATCTTAACAGCTTGATAAGTGTGAGCTTTCAATCTTCACAGTATTATACCACTGAGACCTTTCTAGTTAGTCTTTCCTCTTGAGCCGGGAGGGGGGGGGGGGGGGGGGGATAGGGCAAAAGTGATAGCTCTCCAGGTCTGGCGGTTTGTTGCCACCTGTTTTAGATTTCAGATGTTTGCTAGGCCCATGGTCTTTCTTTTCCATTCCAGTGTCTATATGAGGGCTTGATAGGGGAGTCTTGTCTTATCCATTCTATCAATTATTGCTGTTCCTATATTTTACTTTTAATTCACCACACAAACCATAATACTTTGGGATGTCATTATACATTCTCTCAAAGACATTATTTTTTAAAGGGAAATTAGTAATAATAATCGGACAATGAAAAACATAATAACAAACAAAGAGAACAGTAAGACCATAAAGCAAGAAAAGTGAATTCGATAACAAATACTCGGAGACACTGAGTGTGTCAGTCAAAAGGTGAAAATATTTCAGCCATGTTGTAAACTAATACAATGCTAAAACTTCCAAAACATAAAAATATCTGACAAACAAAGATTAAGAAAAAGAATGAAGACTGAATCTCCAACAGTTTTTTTCCCCTTACTTTTGGGGTAAATTTTCCCACTTGTTTCAAGTTGTTCTGTTGTAGCTTGGCAGACAGCTGTTGTTCCATCTTCTCCTTAGAGTGCATCCTCTTCATGTGTTCTTTGAGCTTGTCCTTGCGCTTGAACTGCCGGCCACATGTCTCACACATAAACTCCCTGTGGTTTGTGTGTCGTAGCATGTGCAGACGCAGCTTGTCCATTCTGGGAAAGGGCTGATGGACACAAAATTGAAAACCTTAAAATTTGAAGGAAAAAAGTCAGATATTCCTAGCGCGTGTTACGGGGCCCCATTTCGGCATGGGGTTAGGAGGGGTGAACAGCCATCTGTTCCTTAACAAGCATGTCATAAAAGACACCTAATAACAGTTTTTCTTGAAGCAATATAGGGCCGAAAGGTGCAGATATCGCAGCCTGGATGTAAACGACAACAAAATGTGTCAACTTTAAAAGTCCAGGGAGTAAACATCCTTTATATTTTTTCTCCAGGAATGTAGGTGTACTGGGAAATGAACAAGCAGATAGACTGGTTGGTTCTGCATCCCTGGGGTCATGAACTGATGAAAGCTAAATATAGTCAAGGCCCTCTGGGAACAAGTGAACAGTATGAAAGCCTACAAATAGATCATGACCGTCTTGAGAGAATGGTTCAGGGAGGAGTGACCTAGGGATCTGGTTGACACTCTACACCAGGGCTATTCAACTAAGTTGATTCAGGGCCGAAATCTTAAAAAATGGAGGATCATCACGGGTCAGAAGCCCCAGCCCCAGCATAGAAAGACCATAAATGCATTACAACTAGCAGTGATCCACGGGCCACTTGCTAGGCATAGGCGGGCCAGATTTGGCCTTCGGGCCACCAGTTAAATAGCCCTGCTCTACACTAAGAGGAAAGGCAAGACAGACATATAATCTAATATCTGCTACTGGTACCGCTGGAATGGGAACTCTGTGCTGCATGCTGAAGACGGGCATGGAGCACTTATCAGAAGTGCTGTGATGTCAGCCTTTAACAACACAACAAATGCACAAACTGTCCTATTTAGGGTGAAGGCAGATGACACAGAACCACAACCAGAACCACAGCTAACCTGATTACAACCCACAACCTTGTGTCATCATCCTCATGTTTCCACTTCTGCTGTTAAGCGTTGTGGGGAGGAACAGTTTGCGATCCATTGCTTGATGGGCTGAAATGGCTACTGTCATTCCGTGTCGATGTAGAAGCTCTTTAACGTCATCAATCCATCTTCTCCTAGGATGGCCTCATGCTTTCACTTCACATCCTTTAATGTGTAGCACCTGCATTGTTAGTTATTCTGGCTGTATTCTGTGTCATATCTGCTCAAATAACTGCTTGATTCCAATCTCAATGTCATTTGTAGAATAAGCACAAAATCTTTGCCCCTAAAGGCATCTCAGCCATCAAACAGTGATCGAATTTGCGCTTCTTAGTAACCCTGGCAGCTATGCTAATGGTTACACAGCTACCAGCAGGAGTTCACTTTTTATGAGTTTGACATCACTCACAAAATTCTGAGGAGCATCTGGCCACGTATAAGAATGCTAGGCTCTCAGTCCGAAGACTCTGCTCTGTCAGGGGCAAAGATAAATTCCTAACCTGCATGTTGTATAACTGCACTCGCCTGCAGCCCTAGATCCCCCCAAAGCTAACAATGACCCTCTCGCCTTAAAATACCATAAAAAGAAAAGAGACATACAATTTAACAAAAAATATAGAGAGATATATAGACACATGCCTCGTTGATATATGAGGCAGCCACATTTGGGCATCTCACATAATCACCAGAGTCTTAGATCATGGCTGAGTTATTGTCATGATTATGCTATGTGATGAAGCCATTAATGATACATGCACAGAGAGACCGAGTCATATGTGATAAAATCTGATGCAATTATTATGTTATAAGATTTAACGGCCTCTCAAAAACAATACTGCAGGGCTCAGTAGAAGGAAAGAGGAGAAGAGGCAGACCAAGAAAGATCTGGTTACAGAACCTAACTGACTGGACAGGCCTCAAGCATACAACCATGAAGTTTATCGCAACTGACCGTCAAAGGTGAGAGATGATCAGATAGTCAACAGAAACTGGTGACCCAACGACATGTAGTGTGACAGGATGATGATGATGATGATGAAAAATGTGGATTCTATCACCTTTAAACGGCTTTAAAAACATTATACACTGCTGACAATAATATAACAATTAAATAACATTCAGGATTAAACAAATATTGCTTTCAGATCAAATCTCCAGTTATATTACTGATTTTAAGGGATGTCGTTAGAGATACAGCCAATACATACAATGTTGGAATAGGAATTACAGCCACTTAAAATGAAAAAAAAAACCAGAAAAACAGAAAGGAAGAATAAAATTAGATGATCTTGCCACACCCTGGGTACTGAAACTAATCAGCAGAACAACAGAAAGAAAGAAAGAAAGAAAGAAAGAAAGAAAGAAAGAAAGAAAGAAAGAAAGAAAGAAAGAAAGAAAGAAGAAAGAAAGAGAAAGAAAGAAAGAAAGAAAGAAAGAAAGAAAGAAAAAGAAAGAAAGAAAGAAAGAAAAGAAAAGAAAGAAAGAAAGAAAGAAAGAAAGAAAGAAAGAAAGAAAGAAAGAAAGAAAGAAAGAAAGAAAGAAAGAAAGAAAGAAAGAAAGAAAGAAAGAAAGAAAGAAAGAAAGAAAGAAAGAAAGAAAGAAAAGAATTACAAATATGAGGGAACACACTGACCTTGCCACACTCTGGACACTGGAACTCCCGATCAGAATGGAAGCTCTTCACATGCTTCTTGAGAACGCTAAAGTCCTCGAAAGACTTGCTGCAGCTAGTGCAGGGGAAGTGACCCAGCTCGTCCATGTGTGCGACAGCATGCTCCTTCAGGTGGGCTACCATGTCAAAGTCCTGGCCACACACCGGGCAGTCGTAGTACTTCCTGTCACTGTGAGTCTTCATGTGGCAGGCCATGGCCGAGTTGTTCATCACCCGCTTAAAGCAGACGGGACACTGAAATAGGCAAACTGAGATGTAATGTGTAACATCAATCAGACAGATGGGTCACCAAAACTGACAAACTAAGATGTAAATTATTTGTAACATCAATCAGACAGATGGGTCACCAAAACTGACAAACTGAGATGTAAATTATTTGTAACATCAATCAGACAGATGGGTCACCAAAACTGACAAACTAAGATTTAAATTATTTGTAACATTAATCAGACAGATGGGTCACCAACACTGACAAACTAAGATGTAAATTATTTGTAACATCAATCAGACAGAAAAAGTTAAGGACCTTTTTTTTTCACTTCTTTAAGCATATTGGGCACATAGTACTTGACCTATATTTTATAGACCAATTGGCACTCGGTGGGTGATGAGGTCAGTATAACGCCAGCCACCACTACTTCCCAGCATTTTACCAGGTACCAAATTAACCCTCTGGAGACTGAGCCTTTTTAGAGTTTTAGTGTCAAAAAGACGAAGCCTTTAGGAGAAGATTCTCATAGTTTATACACACAAAATTATTTTTTACAAATAAAGCCTTTAATTAACAATTTTTTTTTAAACTATACATATTTGTGTAGGAAATTTATGTAAGCATTTTTTTCTCCCTTAGGAACAAACATGACTAACCTACAAAATTTGGGCGAATTTTTTTATGGATTAAGCTTGAATAAGTCCTAACACTTGTGTTTTGTGTTTACACCTTGGAGGCCCTTCATACACTTCTGGAACATGGTTCTACTCAATTTTCCTGCCTCTAGCTTTGTTTCGGTCGCTATGACGCAACAGTCCTTTTCGCCATTGTTGGGCTCAGGTCACCCCAGAAAAAAATTTATGTAAAATTACCGAACACATCAAACTTTCTTGAAAGCCATCAATGAACAGCCTACATGTGCAAGGAATGCGAGAAGCAATCTAATCGGCTGGTACGAAAACCTACCAGCCATTCTCAAGGCTTGTATTACATATGGCCGACCGATCAGCCCAGATCTTGGTTTTTTTTGGCAGATGCACTATAGCTTCGAAGGAAACACCCGTAATTAGTCACCTTCTATGACATGCAGTGGGTCTATCCCCCCCCCCCCCCCCCCCCCCCCCATTAGATCCTGGAACCACACGGGGAGAGGTCTGGATACACTGTTCCACTGCACTGCCCATATGATCCTAGATGGCAAACAAAAAATATATTTTAAACACACACAACCACTAATACTTAAGAACAGCACCATCAAACAAAAACACCAACTATCAACAACCCTGTTAACAAACAAACAAAAAGAAAACACCACTGCCATCAGAATCACCAGCAAGCCAACACTAACCTCCAATGGTTTGTTAGCATCATCCCCATGCACCATCTGGTGCTTCAGGAGTTTTTCCTCAGTGCTGAAACATTTAGTGCACTTGCTGCAGTCAAACATGATCTCCTTCTTGACCAGCTGCAGATCACACACAAGAAACAAACATTAACTGTGGCAGTTAGTGCACTTGCTTTACAACACCACACCAAAGTATAGACTTCCATCTCCAGCAGTGGCAGAACTTGATTTCTGCCACGACTTGTGTGGCTATGATGCTGATGTAGTTTCATGTCATGGGTAGCTGAGATTTGTCTAAGATGGTAAAAGATTAGAAATTATTTGGGGTTAAAAAGAAATTTGGGTTCTGTGGCACTTTCACAGGGAAAACAAGAATAGACTCCTGATCCCCAAAAGCATGCTGTAAGAGTCGACCCAACTGGGAGCTTCCTTTGAAGTTGGAGTGCATCTACCTGAGAGGCAAGAAACCAACAGTCTGCTTACAAATAAGTCAGTTTGTAAAACAGATGCACATGCAACACTCAGGTTCTGAAACAGGACTACAGCAAGTACATCACAATAAAGTAAAAACAAGGGAAATTAAGTGAGCACATTACAACAAAATGGAGCAAAGTTAAAAGAGTTTATCACAATAAAGTGGAACACAGTGAAATAAGGAGAACAGGACACAATAAAGCGACTGAGTGGCACAACTTGTAAGACTGTCGGTTAGATGCACTGAGATTAAATAAAAGAAAGTGAAATAAACTTGGATTAAACAGAATTCGCAAAGGGTAAGTAACAGAATCCATGAGCAGACATAACCAAGCTCCTACCTGCTGTCCATGTGTTGCCACATGCACTGTGAGTTCCCGCTGGTCATTGAAGACAACTCCACACTTGGGACAGGCCACCATGGGTGAGCTGAGACTGTAGATCTCTGTCAGGTGCGCATCTGTGATTTCCCCATTGCTGCCAACTATCAAACCCACTCCGGACTGCATCATCTGAAGTAAGAAGTAAAAATAACGTAATGTGAAGGACCCTATTCATACCCTAGCACATTAGGCAAATATGCTAGACATACAATTTCACCATGGCAGCTTAATGAAAACCATATTCCTGACTGAACAATCTGAAATGAGAATTAAACCTAATGTTCTTCTTCTTATGTTTCTTACCTTCTTACGGCTGCAAACTCTCGTGGAAATTTTTGGTTGTTTGCCCACCTCTGGTCTTGTTCTAAAATTTGAATTTTGTCTGTACATCCATTTTACAGATCTGGCTTATTTCATGCAGACTGTTGGTACCACACATCTTGTACCACAGATATATCCCCCCCCCCCCCCCCCCCCCCCCCCCCCAAGTTGCCCCCTACTACATGCTTGATGTTGTCTCTCTCACGCATGCATGTTTGTGCATGCTGTGTGCACCTGTTCATGTGCACATATACATTATCTAGTACCCATCTAAGGCTTCAGGCAGCAATATAGATTTAATGTCTTTACATGCATTTATAATGGAAGGCAATGCTGGATTATCGGTAAGCAAATTATTATTTTTTTTTAAATTTCCCAAGAGGATTGATTGCCCAAATCAGAAGGGACTATCTACATTTTTTGGTCATATCATCCCACATAAGAGCCGCTTGTAACCGCTAAGCCAGCTACTTCTCTTTATGCAGTCAATAATTTTTTTTTTTTATTTATAAATCAAAGTGTTTATTTAAACTCGAGTTGAAATATATCAAGGGGACTAATCAATAAAATATGAATAAAGCTGAGAATTAAATGAATATATTCCCCTTAGTTTAAAGAAAATTATTCAGTGACATCATTTTTAAGTAAATGGAGAATGTTGAATTATGATGGTATCATCACTATATGTTTATTTACACGTTACTTAAAACTGGAATTAAAATAAATAAAGTGGTATAATCAATAAAAATGCGAACAGAGCTGAGAATTAATAAAACACTCCCTCAGCTCCCAGTTCCCTGTGCTATTTTTGGCAAATAAATTCATATCCAAGCTCTCTTAAATCTTTCAGTTCCAATGAATGCATCATCTGTTTAAAGGTTCCTATCTAGAAGCCCAATGGATGCAAGCTACGCCAATTTTATGTCTCTCTGATATAGGAGTCCTTGATGCTAAACCCTCAGGACTGAAAGTTAACACTGTGCAGGTGCAAACAAAACAAATGCCATTAACAAGACTTGTTGGGAACTGTTATGACTTCAATAAATGGCAAGAGAAGCACTTCTCCAATCTGAGAGAGTTAAACACTTACTAGTTCATTCTGTAAGATTTAAACAGTTATTTCTCCATTCTGTAAGAGAGTTAAACAGTTATTTCTCCATTCTGTAAGAGAGTTAAACACTTACTTCTCCACTCTGTGAAAGAGAGAGAGAGTTACTTACTTCTCCATTCTGCTCTCCTGCCATTTTCTTGATTTCATCCATGCCAAGATTTTCAGCCGCATGTGTCAGTGTGTGCAGATTTAGAAGAGAAGAATTGTCAAATGTCAGCCCACAGTGTGTGCACATCCAGATGTTGCCTCCAGACACCTTCCCTTGTCTCTTATACATGCTCTTCATGCTCTGCATGACTTTATCCGAGCACTGTCTTTTCTTGTACTTCTTTAGTGTCCTAAGTTCATCATACAAACAGGCATCAATATCATAGTCAAAAGTCATTCAAAGATCATGACAGCAAAGTAGGTGGAAAAGATGAAGTTGAGATAGGGTGAGCTGCATACAATGGCAAACGATAGGATGACTTGGTGCAAAGAAGTACTTTTTCATTTTCATGTTCACTGGCTGTAAACTCTAGCAGAAAGTTCTGGTTATTCATCAACTTCTGGACTGGTAATAGAAGCTGAGTTTTGCATACACATCTGTTTTACATATCAGGCCTATTTGTATGCAATCTGTTGGTTCTTTTCTTCTCAGGCAGATGCTCTCCGATTCAAAGGAAACATCCCTAATTAGTTAACTCTTACGACATGCTTATTAGGGGGCAGTGGGTCTACCCCCCCCCCCTCCCCACTTCTATCTGCCTGCTCATTTCCCAACACACTGGCATATCCTGGAGCTAAGGCTCTGTGAGTCAGTTGCTATGGTGACATGTGTGTGCAGCTGAATCTTAATCCAGCAGAAGGCTGCAGTGAAATGGCCATCTCCATTCTCAAATTAAATGTTGTTTATCAGACGGCAGGCTTTACTGCACTATGTGATGTCCATTCCCTTTTGCTATGACCCTTATAACTATGTAAGCTGAATCAGCAAATGTAAGAAATGAGGTATCTCACTAAATTATGTTTACAAGATACCTGGTTGAACTAGCCTTAAAAGAGTACCAAATAATATAAGTGAATTAAACCCACCCCCCCCCCCCCCCCCTTTTTTTTTTTACACCAGTGGCATTTTTTGCATATGATGCTGGACTCATACTTTTATACGTCTATCATCAAGTTCTATTTCAGGCAACAGGTAATGCCATAATAAGGTGGTGGATGGGGGTGACACTGAACATATCGCCCATTGAGTGCCGACTGGTCTTTGAGTGCCCTAAACTCAGCGAGACTAGAAGAATGCTACTCCCTCCAAGATCAGACAAGTGGAACACCTTGTACAGAGAAAAAGAACAGCTTGTGAAAACATGCAAATTCCACTACATGGCATTGGGCCAGAGGACGAAAGCTCATTTGCCGCTGGATCGATAACAACAACGACAAATATGAGTCTAGCTTCATATGTCTGTCACATCAGTGGTGCAAAAAAAGGGTACTAAGCTTTTTTCACCCCATCTCGTCATGTGTGAGGTTTCGTAGGAAATTCCCCGTGACAGTCCTATACTCCAGGGGTGTTATGACATGCCTTTGTTCACGTGTGTAAACAACATGCTAAAAAGTGTCTTGGCTTCGTTTGACCGGATCAACATTACTGTCTCCCAGATCAAAGTGTACAGCTTTCTTTTCTCCCTAACAAAAGTGAGCTACTCTCTTTTTTGTGAACGACTCATCAAGGGTTGAGGTTAGATGCAGCAATACTGATAGGTCAAGGAAATTCATGTCAAAGGTCAAGTTGTGAAGTAAGAACAGCCCTTCTAAAAAAAGGGCACAGTAAGGGCGATAAATGAAGGAAAGTAACACACACTGGAAATGATGAAGCAATTAACGATAACAACGTTGAAAAGAACCAACACATGACAAGCTGAGAATATGGGAGTGTCAGTGTTTTAAGGTCTGTGTTAAATAAACAGCAACCAACACTAACCCCCTTGACTACAGGACTGTCCCGGGGAATTCCCTATAAAATCTTGCACCCAACAAGATGGGGTGAAAAAAGCTGAATAGTATCCACACAACAAGGAGCCTTTTACTTTACTTAGTTCCTCAAGTGAGTAGTGGAGACAAGCCGGACCCACACGTCATGGTCAACAAGATATAAATACTATGACCTACTTGCTGATGTACATGCTTGTTGATTTCTTCTTCCACTGGTAATTGCTCAGGTCCCTGTTTGCCTGTGGGATAAATTCAACAATGGAATCATTTGTCATAAATTTGTTGTAACTAATTACACCTCCTGTGTGAATTCTGGAGCTCAATTTTGGAGAAAAAACAGAAAAACCCCTTCTCCATCCCTAACAAGCATGTCATAAAAATGAACTATTACTGATATTTCCTTCAAAGTTGGAGCTATATGCCTAAGAGGCAAGGAACCAACATTCTGTACACAATAAGCCAGATTTGTAAAACGGACATGCATGCAAAATTCATGTTCTAAAACAAGACCAAAGTTTAGAAGTAGATGAACAACCAGAACTTTCCGCTGGAGTTTATAGCCGGTGCATGCTAAAGAGAAGAAGACAAATTATCTGTACAATAACTAGCAAGTCAAAATGGGTGAGGCCAGACAAAAGCACTTTGCGATGTGTAATGAGGATGTGTCAGATCAGTACTTTTGGATGGGGCGCAAACATGGAGAACAACTAAGGCAATTACTAATAAACTACAGAGGTTCATTAACAAGTAAGTAAAAAAGTTAAGGACCCTTTCCACGCCTTTAGGCGTATAGGGCATATAGGGCTAGACCTATATTTTTATAGACCAACGACATAAGATGGGTGATGTGGTCAGCATCACGCCGGCCGCCTCTACTTCCCGGGACTGCACCTGGTACCCACTCAAGGCTGGGTCGATCTGGGAGCCAAGGTCATTTTTGAAGAAAAGTCCGGCTCCGCCAGGGAGCGAACCCACGACCTTCCGATCTGCGGCGCGCCATTAACTAGTGCCTGCACAGAATAGAGGGAATTCAATGGTATGACAGAATCACATATGATAGAGCTTTGGGATAGAACTAAGCAAGCTCCAGTTGACCAAAAAGTGAAAAAAAAAGATGATGGCGTTGGATAGTACATACATTGAGAAAACCAGAGAACAATATAACTAGAATGTCTTTGCCCCACAGGGGCAAGGGAATAAAGATAGGCCAAAAAACACATGGAGAAGGGAGCTGGAGAATGAAGTAAGAAAGATGGGAAAGACATAGGGAGAGCTGCTTGCGATAGCAAAAGATTGAACGACTTGGCATGAGTTGGTTGAGGGCCTATGCTCCAATGGGAGCTAGAAAGGCAGAAGAAGAAAAATGAAGATGACTAGTCGACTGACTTAATCTTTTCACCCTAGTGACCTAGACTAGAAAAAATAAAGCCAAGCTCCCATACTTTCCATTTTGCAGACATTCCCTAAAGAAAATCCGTACAAAAACAACCATAACACATTCCCCTCCCTCCCTCTAAAAAAGACCACAAAATCAGTCTCTCATCTAAAACAGAAACAAATACAATAAAGAGTAGGGGAAGTAATAGAATTTAACCGCCCCCCCCCCCCCCTCTCGCCAAAAAACATTATGCGCTTAGAATCAACTAGCTTACATATCTTGGAACCTGCAAACTAATTATAGCGTGACACTTGACCCTAAGGCTCAGTTGCCTAGTAACCACTGTAGCCAAAGGGGAAAAATGACAGAAATTTCTATAAATAAAGCCATTTTCTTACAAATGAACCATCCCCCTAAACCCCAATACTATTTTTATTAAATTTCATCATCCCTATACAGCGAGTCAGGAAAGCAGTTTAAAAAATAAATGGCATTCACTTACATTTCTTCTTTTTCCCCGGGTCAACTGTCCCCGGAGGAAAGTTCCTTTCTGCTTGTCAACTTTTCTTCCTGCCTCTACAACAATAAAGTCTGCATCATCGCCGCCTTCATCGTCAAAGTCCTTTATATCCTCGTTGTCATGTGAAATAAGATGTTGTTGCAGGGCTGCAGAAGATCGGAACTTGCGGCTGCATTCAAAGCAACCAAACTTGGAATCTTCTTCATCCAAAGCTGCATGTGTAACAAGAAGATCGCAACATTAGTGAAGGCATAAAAATTTAAAAAACACATCGGCAGCATATGCAAATCTTTATAGCAACTTTTTACATTTTGCCATTTAAGTGCTGATATCTAAGCTTGTCTGGATTTTTTATGCGTGTTGCCTTTGGTAGTGGTCACTGTCGCGTGCGAATGTGCACTAGAACGCACCAGTACTGAGTGAGCAAATAAGACGTCAAAAACAATACGTAACGTTGTGAAGGTATTGTTGTCAAAGGGAGTTGATGTTTATAGTCCGAAGGAGACGGAAGTGTGGATCCCTGAGGACGCTTTACCCCGGGATCAGAAGCAAACGTATAAAGTTGGATCCTTGAGGACGTTTTACCCTGGGATGCCACAGTTCGGCAGTAAGCCGGTATACTTTGCAGTTGATGTTTAGGTGAATTGTCACAGCTCGGCAGTAAGCCGGTATACTTTCATTGCTTAATTCGGACTTGTCCGAAGACAAAGATAATCGTCTGGATCTCAAGGTCGGACTGCGACCTATAGTGAGGACATATCAGTCCATGGATGTTCAAGCGGGCTTTTGTTGATGTGCTTGAATGAGTATGAAATATTACGTGCATATTTCTCCTTGTGTTGATAATTGCTATTTGTCAATACACAAATGGAACTTTTAAAGAGAGTTCTCGTTCCGCTACGTTTGGAAGTTTCAACATTCATCATGTTATGTTACACTTGGCCAGTGGCATGTTAAGTGTTGATGCCATTTGTTACATTGCGACACCCCTAGTCACAGTTTCTACGCCGTACGTCACCACGCAGCCTTTACAACACTTCACACTGTAGCTCAAGCATACGCCAGTCACAATGAAGCCTTCGCACGTTACAGTCACTATGTCTGTATAACAGTTTTTGTACTGCTGCAACTGCAATACATGAAGACATGGTGGGTACACTTATATTTACAACAAAAGCGGGGGGGGGGGGGGGGGGGGGGGGGGGGGGGGGGGGGGGGGGGGGGGGGGGGGGGGGGGGGGGGGGGGGGGGGGGGGTGGGGGGGGGGGGGGGGGGGGGGGGGGGGGGGGGGGGGGGGGGGGGGGGGGGGAGATTGAATTTTTTGGGGGCAAAAAATTGACTCTTTGTCATTGTTACATCTTGCTTGCATCATAAACATCTTATGATTGTCACATAATTAGACACCGCTATGTTAAAAGTAAAGGACCTTACCACACCTTTAGACTTATTGGAAATACAGGACTAGACCTATATTTTATAGACCAATCAGCACTAGGTGAGTGATTTATAACCAAGTTAACAAAACCATATTGTTGTTGTTTGTCCATCACAAGCGATGAAGACCACTTTTTCTTTCATTCTATTGTGAAACTTAAGATGAATTATGTGAGTCCGGAGGTGACTTATAAGCCCAATTCGTGCCCAGAAGGATCTAGGACAGTGAGGGCAGGAAACAGTGTCTGTAGGTAAAGGGTCTGTAATATGGGTCTATCTAGCCTGCCTGCGCTGCTCAGCTGCCCAAGTGCCAGGGTCTATATTAAAGGCTTTAAGTGATGCCTCTAACAAACCCTTGAAGCATTTTTTCTGGCCACCTTCCTGTATCTCACCATACAAGATTATTTTTTTGAGAGCCGATCGTCTGGTAAGCGGACGAGGTGACCTACCCATTAAATCTGTCACTGCATCAGGATGGTATCGAGCCTGTGAATTCCAGTTCTATCCAATATGACAGTTTCCAGGACCCTGTGACGCAACGATTTTCAGTATTTTTCTTAGATTGTTTGGATGTGGCTGAGAAAGAAAAATACAGCAGCACTGGAAGCAAAGATGCTCTGTACACTTTCAGTGTGGTTTGCAGACTGATACCACTTCGATGCACACCTTGATGGATAATCCCCCCCCCCCCCCCCCCAAAAAAAAAAACCATATAATTTCTTAGTCAAAGGAAGTGAAAGCAGTGAATTCACTGCTGATTATACCCATTACTAAACCACAGATTTGTTTTAGGTTGAATATTAAAATTATATTGTAACTGTTTTAGTGAGTTAGGGACCGTGATGATGCAATTGCTAGCTGCTGGATGGTCAGAGGTTTCAGAACCCCCTAAACTTTCACATAAGCTGACCAAGAATCCAAATTTCTTCTGCTTCTTCTTCTCTTCCTCTAATTTATTAGAATCTTCTTCTTCTTCTTCGCGTTCACCAGCTGTAAACTCTGGCGGAAAGTTCTGGTTGATCGTTCACTTCCGGACTGCAGTCCTGTTCCAGAACTTGAGTCTTGCGGTGCATATGTTTGACAGATCTGACTAATTTGTATGCAGACTGTTGGTTCCTTGTCTCTCAAGCAGATGCACTCCGCCTTTGAAGGAAGCATTTTTTAGAATGATAAGGATGCTTTTTTAATGAAATTTTGCAAAAGGTTGTTTTTTAAGATCATTACAGGTTGAAAGGGCTCAGAAAAAAAGTACAGCCTCTCTTTTTTCTTTTGCCCATTATTCCCTATGGCAGTTATTCCCAAACTGTGCACCGCGACGCCCCGTGGAGCCGCGACCTCTTCATAAGGGCGCCGCAAAATATTCGAAGATACACAAGTTTTTAAAATTTGTTATCTCTTACATATGACCAGTCATACTTTTACTTAGGTTAGGATGCCGAGGAAAAATGTTAATTGAAAAAAAAGACGCTGCGACTAAGAAAAGTTTAGGAAACACTGCCCTATGGAGTATAGCCCCTCTCCTTATGCCAAGTCTTTATATCCACTGCTATCCCATGCAGCTCATCATTTGTCCTCCCAATCTTTTAAACTTCACTCTTTAGCTCCCTTCTTGTGATGTGTTCTGCTCCACCTTTATTTCAACCCAGCCTAAAATGGGTACCAGGTAATGTCCTGGGAGGTAAAGCTGGCCAGCACTAACAACATCACTCACCCAGGTCCAGTTGGACTACTGAAAATATGAATCTAGCGTTATATTCACAACATGCCAATGAAATTAAAAAGGGTCCTATACATACTTACTTACTTACTTATCACCAATTGTTCAAACACAAGCCTAACGATTTCAATTTTTTGACTGACACCATCTGTCAAGTATTTTCGACAATAAAATGTCAGCAGACATTGGGAAATGTGAGAAACAAATTCTTCTTCGGGTTTACTGACTGTAAACTCCGGAGGAAAGTTCTGGTTGTTCCTCCTGTTCCAGAACCTCTGTGACGTGCACAACCACTTTAGAGATCTGACTTATGTGTATGCAGATTGTTGGTTCCTTGCCTTTGAGGCAGATGCACTCCAACTGAAGAAAGCTCCCAATGAGTCATCTCTTGCAACATGCTTGTTAAGGAGGCAGTGGGTCTGTTCTTGTTTTCACCCCACTATGGGGCCCCAAAATCCATACGAGGAGGAGAACCGAACTGAAATACTGACCTTGCAAGTCTTCTTCTGTCATTCTTAGAGTACTGACCCCAAGTCTGTCTGCATAATGTGCTGCATACCACACCTGTGTACAGGTAAATACCACACAAAAGGTTATAGACAGTAACATTTGCTGTGTGCAAATGGTGACAAATAGTAAACTATACTATGCGGGACATGTTATAGATAGTAATATAAACAAGATGGGGCATGTTACAGACAGTAAAATGTTTGTGTGCGTGTGTGTCTGTTTGCTTGCCTACATCTATATGTGTGTGCACATAGTGGTTATAGACAGCATAATCAACAACAAAAACAATATGGGATAGGTTCAGAAAGTAAAATATACTATATACAACAAGTATATAGTAAAATAAACAGGTTATACAGAGAAATATAGGTCAGTGATTAAAATATACTATATAGGACAGCTTACACACAGTAAAATATATCACAACAAATAAAACATATCTAGTATTTAAGCAAGTAATTATGGAAGAAAAATGCAGTGAGGGAAATGTTTCTTCGTCTTCAGGTTCACTGACACTGGCAGAAAGTATTGGCTGTTCCTTCACTTCTGGCTTTAGTCTTGTTCCAAAACTTGAGTTTAGCTTATGTTGGACGACCTGACCAATCACCCCTCTGCTAACAGGTATTTCGGTACCCTGTTACTCTCTACTTAAATTACCAATGATGCCAACTGGTAGAACCCAGGACCAACTAAGCCAACATCTCAACAAAGTTCTACTCTGTAGTGTCAAACCCTTGTCCAGGAATAAAGGGAAGGTAATATAACTGACATGGGACACCAAAAAGTGTACACTTTTATTGTGCAGATCTGGGTTACTTGTAAGCAGACTGTTTGTTAATAAAAATCTGTCAGGCAGATGCACTCCAACTTCAAAGGAAGCACCCCTCATTAGTTTATTTTTATGACATGCTTTTTAGAGTGCAGTGGATTCCCCCCCCCCCCCCCCCCTAAAGTGGGACATCAGAAGCCACTCAGGGATGAGGGGAAATATATTATGTAAGGAGCAAGGGAAATATAGGACAAAGAATGTAACAAAATATTTTTTAAATGCTACAGAGGCTGAATGAAAATGCAAAAAGAGAAGAGTAAAATATAGAGATAGATGGACAAGACAAAAGTACTGCACTCTCAAACAAGTCAGAGTTCTCCTACCTTTAACTCTTGTTTGCTTTCTATGAGTCTCGTCACAGTGAAGTAGATATCCTCTTTGTACTGGAAGGCTATCAGATTTTGTTCCGCGAATGTCTTGGCCGGCCGCACAAACATCATCCAGTTGCACCGGTTCTCATCCTGAGTTTCGAAATACTTCACACCCCCATCTGACTGTTCCAACTGCAATAAGATGAAGCAGTAGACAGTACCTGGCATGTGCAGTCGTGATTACACAGACTGGCTGTGAGATATATGCAGACATTATCTAGTGTGTGAACTGGTGATTACAGACTGGCTGTGACACTGGCAGACATTACCTAGTGTGTAAACTAGTGATTACACAGACTGGTTGTGACATTGGCAGACATTACCTAGTGTGTGAGCTGGTGACTACACAGACTGGCTGTGACATTGGCAGACATTACCTAGTGTGTGAGCTAGTGATTACACAGACTGGTTGTGACATTGGCAGACATTACCTAGTTTGTGAGCTGGTGACTACACAGACTGGCTGTGACATTGGCAGACATTACCTAGTGTGTGAGCTGGTGATTACACAGACTGGTTGTGACATTGGCAGACATTACCTAGTGTGTAAACTGTTGATTACACAGACAGGCTGTGGGATATTTACAGACATTACCTAGTGTGTGAGCTGGTGATTACAGACTGGCTGTGACATTGGCTGACATTACCTAGTGTGTAAACTGTTGATTACACAGACAGGCTGTGAGATATATACACACATTACCTAGTGTGTGAGCTGGTGATTACACAGACTGGTTGTGACATTGGCAGACATTACCTAGTTTGTGAGCTGGTGACTACACAGACTGGCTGTGACATTGGCTGACATTACCTAGTGTGTGAGCTGGTGACTACACAGACTGGTTGTGACATTGGCAGACATTACCTAGTGTGTGAGCTGGTGACTACACAGACTGGTTGTGACATTGGCAGACATTACCTAGTGTGTGAGCTGGTGATTACACAGACTGGTTGTGACATTGGCAGACATTACCTAGTGTGTGAGCTGGTGACTACACAGACTGGTTGTGACATTGGCTGACATTACCTAGTGTGTAAACTGGTGATTACACTGACAGGCTGTGAGATATATACAGACATTACCTAGTGTGTGAGCTGGTGATTACACAGACTGGTTGTGACATTGGCAGACATTACCTAGTGTGTGAGCTGGTGATTACACAGACTGGTTGTGACATTGGCAGACATTACCTAGTTTGTGAGCTGGTGACTACACAGACTGGCTGTGACATTGGCAGACATTACCTAGTGTGTGAGCTGGTGATTACACAGACTGGTTGTGACATTGGCAGACATTACCTAGTGTGTAAACTGTTGATTACACAGACAGGCTGTGGGATATATACAGACATTACCTAGTTTGTGAGCTGGTGACTACACAGACTGGCTGTGACATTGGCTGACATTACCTAGTGTGTAAACTGGTGATTACACTGACAGGCTGTGAGATATATACAGACATTACCTAGTGTGTAAACTGGTCATTACACAGACAGGCTGTGAGGTATATACAGACATTATCTAGTGTGTAAACTGGTCATTACACAGACAGGCTGTGAGGTATATACAGACATTATCTAGTGTGTAAACTGGTCATTACACAGACAGGCTGTGAGGTATATACAGACATTACCTTGTGTGTGAGCTGGTGATTACACTGACAGGCTGTGACATTGGCTGACATTACCTAGTGTGTGAGCTGGTGATTACACAGACAGGCTGTGAGATATATACAGACATTATCTAGTGTGTGAACTGGTCATTACACAGACAGGCTGTGAGGTATATACAGACATTACCTAGTGTGTGAGCTGGTGATTACACTGACAGGCTGTGAGATATATATGCAGACATTATCTAGTGTGTGAACTGGTGATTACACAGACAGGCTGTGAGATATATACAGACATTACCTAGTGTGTGAACTGGTGATTACACAGATTAGCTGTGTGATATCCATATAACATGTGAACAGACTAGCATTACACAATGTGTTTAAATGCCCTCATTTTTTTCCACTGCCCAATGATTCTCTAAGGTAAAAAGTCAAGGTAATTAGCCTTTGAACTTGCCGTCCAAACATATTCTCTATGTTCATCTATCTACCTTGGACAACAGTGCTTGCCTTGCCCAGGTTTAGAGCAACAGCTTTCAGATTTTAAAGAACCTCTAACACATGCTCAAGGGATCCGAGACACCCACATCTGAACCACTCTAACACCTACTCAAGGGATCTGAGACACCCACATCTGTACCACTCTAACACCTGCTCAAGGGATCTGAGACACCCACATCTGAACCACTCTAACACCTACTCAATGGATCTGAAACACCCACATCTGAATCACTCTAACACCCACTCAAGGGATCTGAGACACCCACATCTGAACCACTCTAACACCTACTCAATGGATCTGAAACACCCACATCTGAATCACTCTAACACCCACTCAAGGGATCTGAGACACCCACATCTGAACCACTCTAACACCCACTCAAGGGATCTGATACATCCATATCTGTAACACTCCAACACCCACTCAAGGGGTCTGAGATACATATATATGTACCATTCTAACAGCCATTCAAGGGATCTGAGACACTCACATCTGTACCACTCCAACACCCACTCAAGGGGTCTGAGACACATATATATGTACCACTCTAACAGCCATTCAAGGGATCTGAGACACTCACATCTGTACCACTCCAACACCCACTCAAGGGGTCTGAGACACATATATTTATATGTACCATTCTAACAGCCATTCAAGGAATCCAAGACACTCATTTCTGTACCAGTTGAGGGAGCTATGAACCACATATATGCACCATCCTAACACATACTCTTATGATATGAGACATTAATATCTGTACTATTCCCAAAACCCACTCTCCAGATCTGAGACTCCCATATTTTTAAAAAAACCAATAACCTACTCTAAAGATATTAGTTGCCCATATATTAAAATCCCCAACAATCCTCTCTCCAGATCTGAGACTCCCATATATGAACCACATCAACAACATACACTCCAGATCTGAGACACCCATATATGAACCACATAAAAAAACCACTATTCAGATCTGAAACACCAATATATGAACCACTCCAACAACATACACTCCAGATCTGAGACCCCACAATGAACCATCCAGACAACCCACTCTCCAGATCTGAGACCCCACAATGACCAGCTCAAAAATCCACTTTCCAGATCCGAAACCCCACAATGAACCACCCAGATAAGCCATTCTCCAGATCCGAGACCCCACAAAGAACCACCCAGACAAGCCACTCTCCAGACCCTGGAGATTCACATAACACTGTTAACATGATCAAGGAAGGTCATATAACTGATTTGTCTTTAGCTAAATGAGAAATAATTATTTGTGATTAAATAATTATTATTTTCAAAACAGGAATACTGCTGCAGGTATTATCAGTATATATTTCTTCTTCTTTGTGTTTCACCAGCTGTAAACTCTTATCAAAACTTTTAAATACACATCCATTTTATAGATCTGGCTTATGTGAATGCAGGCTGCTTGCTCCTCTCTTCTCAGATGCACTCTTGACTTTGACAGAAACACCCCAAATCAGTCTACTTTCCCGACATACATGCTAGGGGCAGTGTTATTTCATTTTTTTTTTTCTATCAAAATGGGCCCTTGCAACCCGTACGGGGAAAGCTTGTATTTGTTGCTATCATATTCGCCCTAGAAATGATAAAAAATCTGGCATTAATCCAGCTGTAAGACTGACCATAAGAGGGAAAAACTTCCTGGTCACATTGTCCAGGGAATCAACTAACTCTCCAACAAATGGGCCAAACTGGGTAAATTTGGGTATCTGGCGTTTGGCTTGCACACCCACATCTGTTGATGAAATATAAACAATACATTTTTAATAACAGGCAGATAATGAAGTGACAACTGACATCACAATTTATACAGAAACTAATGCCAATTATTTTCAGACTAACTATAGGACACTACTGGCTGAAATAAATATAGGTTAATAAGGTGCTGTCTCTACAGTGAAGGTTGGTTGCAATCAATCTTCAACACTGTCTCCTGTGCCAGTTTTATACTCTATTAAACTGTTATTCTCCATCTCTTTGTGTTATCTTACCACCTGTATCAATGTCTGCCTCTTGCTCACGTACCTTCAACTGTTTCTTCCAGTATGGCTTTCATAACAATGTGTTGTCTTCTAATGAGGCCAAAATATTTCACTTGGTTCCTTTTCGTTTCTTCTAAATTTTTTGTTTGTTGTTGACAAAAATGATTGTTTTATTCTGACTTCTCCAAAGCTTTCAAGTTTTGATTTTGTTTCTTGACAAATCTGGTCAACAAGCTATTTTAAATCAAATAATTATATTAGTTTTAGTCTTTGTTCAGGTTTCAACTTCACTGTAATGGGTCAGCCCAAACTTGCTCCATTCCTGTACCAGAGAAAATCAATGAAATATCTCTCACTGCCCCATTTGAAAAGCTAGTCAAAAAACAATTAGTCCTAGCACAATCCAGAAATATGTGCACGCAGTAAATGCACATGGCAGTTGCTAAAGGTGCCAAAGCCAACAGTCACCACCAGAAATGCAGTTTGTTGGTGATGGAAGTAGTTGGTCACAATAAGTTCTTTATACAGACATAACATTATTACATAAAGTATTTCACCAGCCAACACATGAACCACTTTCCAGCCATACCGAATACCACTAAACCACTGCACTAATTAAAGGCATTCCATATTTTAGAAAAAGAAAAAAAAAGCTCACAGTGCTGTACTTAGCTCTAAGCTCAGTAGCTCAGGCAGTGAATTCCATCAACAAGTAGAAACTGTATTAGCAAAGTGCTGCCAGAAGCAAAAATAACTTTGAAGCTAGATGTTCTGCCATGCCGAGTGTTCCATACTGGACAGAAACAATTACATGAAACAGCACACTAAGATGTAAGATGAGGTATACAAAAAATTGCACATAGGAGCTAGTGAAGGAGCCATCTTCTTATCTATTTTGTAAGGATATGTGTCATCCAATCAGTGCATCCTGAATACTATAACAGCAGCAGAAAAAATAATAACTACAACAGCAGCAAAAACTATAATTACAAAAGCAGCAGCAACAACAACAAGAGCAGTAACAAAAAAATCAAAAAGAAGAAGAAAAGAATTACAGCAGCAAATGCAGCAAGAAGAATAAGATCAAAAGCAGCAAAAATATGAACAACAAAGTAAGAACAACAATAACGGCAGAATCAACGAAGAAACAAAACTATAGCATCAAGAACAAACAGCACCAAAAATATGAACAATATCAGCAACACCAGTATCACAACAGCAATGAAAACAACATGAACACGGTGTGTGACTAACTTGAATCTTCTGGCTCGAGAAGATCCTCTGGGACTCTGAATATCTGAACCTGGCTGGGAGCGCTGGCCCAGGCCCGCGACATGACAATCTTATCACTGACTGTTGATAGTTTGTGAGTAGGACAGCAGGGGTCGTAGGCCTGCATACAGTCCTCACACCCTGTTGGACATACATTTAGTGCATCGTTAAATTCAGTTTACACAGCCAAAGTTTTTTGTGAAAGTGTGTGTACGAGAATGCACATGTGTGTCCAAAAGTACTGTGAATGCCAACGTGTGTGTGTGCGTGTAGTTGTTTTTTTCACATAAGAGTGTATCAGTGATTGTAAGGAGTGTAAAAAAATATGTAGTATTAAAGAATATATGCATGTTTATCCCACTGACTACCACGCATGTTAACCCTTGCACTTTCCCAGATAACATATATTTTATTCTGTACTAAAAATGTCACAGTTTTACAACTGTATAACTCTTTGAGGCCCAAACAACGGTGTTAGCATTGTTTGAGAAGTTCTATTTTGCCCAAACAACGGTGTCATCGTCAATCGTGTGTCCCTTACATTTTGCTTTGCACGCAGCTTTGTACTAGTTTCTAATGTTTGGAGGTACGATTAAACTATTCAGGGAAAGTCACTCTGACGAAATCCTTTTAGTTTTGTTTCCTGGACTAAACCACAGGTGGATAATTTGAGAGAAAAAAACCAGCGAAATTTTTTTTAGCAGTTCATTTTGTTTTTGAATGCCATGAATACCAATGTTCCAACTACAAGTACAGGTCGCAGAATGCGTCTTTCTGCGGCCGAAGCTCTGAAATTGTTTCAGTCAGATGTTCTTAATTGTGATAATGATAATAAACATTTAGATTTTTGGGAAAGTGATTCGGACGGTAAATTTTCACCAGTGAAGCTGAGAGATCAGCTGTTCGGAATCTAGCGATTCTGATAAGTTGATTACACAGGCAATGTCCCATACTACAGTATTTATGGTGTAAGAGAAGGAAAGTGCTCTAAACAAAGAGACAATACTATACTATGGCTAAGCTACACTGAAATCATCGCTACAGTCTGTACATAACTGTACAAAGTAAATAGTAAATAGTGTGTGTGTAATGGCTTATTTTTCTGCCATTTTTTCTCTGAAATTTTGCTCAGCACTCTGTGAGAACTAAGAGCTCCTGAGTGCTAAACTAACCCAGAAAGTTATTATAACTTTGGAATATGTTAGGAAATTGGACAAACTTTGAAGTTTTGTTCTCAAATTTGGATATTTACTACTCTTGTGGCTGCAAACATGGTAAGTAAAGAATTTTAGTGTGAAATGTTGTCCTTGTGAAATTAACACCTGCTGAATTCTTCTCTCCCACTAACTATAACAAAATGAAACAAACACTAATCATCAGATTCAAAATGTACATTCGTTTCTTTTTTTAAAAATATATACTTTTATAGGGATTAGAAGTATATTACAATCTCTATAGCCTTTCTTGTGCACCCACCCCTCTGAGATTTTTGTAAAGGGAAATTAATTTGGGCCAAGTATGTCAAAATACATGGGCCTGAAAAAGTTAACATAAACTTATAATATTTTGTATTTTTACACCAAACTGAATAGAGAAAAAAAATTCAAGAACAAGATCTGTGCAATCTTCTTTCAAACCTATCACGCTTATCTCCGTCTGCCAAGCCACTGCTGTAAGCTAAATATCCTCTTCCAGTTTTGACAATGTTTCTGATGCCAGTTCAAAAGAATTATCACAGTCACCTGTTCACCTTCCGACTGAAAACAATCAGGACAATATCCCATAGTATCAGAAATACTCCATAAACTCTTCCATCATGCCAGCCCTAATGATCAGCCGTCATTATCAAAACATTTGTTTATGTGCATTAGAGGTGGGAGCTCAACCAACCCCAAAAAAAATCAAGAAAAATTTACTTTTTGCACTACTGAATTGTTTCCCTTAAACAATCATAGAGAAATGAATGGACTAACGGTTTCAACTACACTTATCATAAAAATCACAATTTCATCATGGCAGTGAGCGTCCAAAGTTACGATCACAGGCGGTGTGATTGTGGTAGCCAGGCGTAAACATCGGCTGTGATACTTACACAGTGGTAGTCAGTGGGTTACAAATATCTTAGTATTGCATTAGAATGAAAAATATCAACTGCAACCATTATGTGATGTTTATATGGCACAACATGATAATTCTAAAATTATAATTATGTATAGAAAAGTGTGGGACAGACACACAGACACTTGGCTCTACTGGCAGACAGTGTGAAAGAGACAGCCACAGACAAACATGCAAGTTGGGACAGGGTGGGACAGCAACACAGTGACAACAAAAGAAGCAACACAAAAAGAGATACAGTGTAAAATATCTACGTATAACTCACACAACATATCAGGACTGTAGTGATGAGTCTGGTAGTCCCTCTTCCTTTGGCTGGCTCTGGGCTCCTGCTCAACTAACTCGAGTCTGCGACTTTTGCGTAAACCCTAAAATATACAGGCACAAACCACATTTTCAAACTTAACAAACCTATAACCATCGCTCAGCTGGGAAATCTGTAGATTTAACATCAAAATATTTTTTTTTTTATCTGAAAAAAATAAAGTGGGTCCTGTTCATGTTTCCAGGCCCAGGATTAGAGTAACTTCCCTTGCCATTCATGTCTCCATAGGTCGCTGAACCTCACCCATGTTCAGGGGGTGTTATCATATGGCTTGGTTTGGCATTCACTCAGCGTATGTAATGTTGTTGTGAGTCTATATGAGGCACCTGTGTACAAGTAAAAAGTACTGCAGGGGGAAGTGCCGCTGGCATGACGATTCTTGGCTATCTAAACTAGAGATGTTTTTGTATTTCTACGTTTGATGTCACCCCCCCCCCCCCCCTCTTTCCTTCCAGGAAAGAAAGCAGTTACAAGGAGTGTAGAAATATAAAAATATCACTGTTTCCATACTCCCGAACTGTCGCACAGGTAGAAGAAGGTGAAAATAATCATGCAAATGAGCGGTACAAAAACAAGACAAGAGGCAACGGTTGAACCGTTTACAATCAGGAAAACATTACTCCTCCACAACAAAGAGGACAGCGACCTAAGGAGGCTTGAATGACAAGGTAAGTTACTCTAATGCTGTGCCTGGAAACATGACAGCACCAGGAATTGCAGTTCAAATTAGTAATCATAATTTACACTGACGTGAAAGATCTGAAGTATAAATGAGATATAAATTGATGCTTTCAAAAAGAAATTAAAGGTTAGGCAAATTGAATTTTACCAGTCACATTAAAACATAAAAGCATATTTTTGGAAAATACTGGTAACAGAACAATCAGTGTTACATATTTTAGGTTATGACAATGAGGTGAGCTGGCCAGTTCATTCAACTGTCACTTTTCCTTCCTGGTTTGTTTGTTACTCGCACCTTTCCAGATGACAGTGTTAATTTGTGCTACAGGGAGGCATGGAAATCACAACCAATGGCCATAGTGAGTGTGACTGGCAAGAACTGCTCCCGTTAAGAACAGTCTTCAATAATTAGAATATGGGTTTTGAGAACCCCTGTTGCTATTGCATGTATTTAATATGATGCTTCTGATGCTCAGTTTTAACCTATCTGCAATCACTTTCTCCAATCCAGAGCAGATACTACACTAACTAGTGTATACACTGAATGCCAAGAGTCTTAGCATCGTATTACTTATCACTAAATCAACTTTTGAGAACAACAACTTGATGGAAACAGAGAACTGAGAGAGTACTAAAGGCATAAGATGAGGTTGAGAATTGTGAAGGTGAAAGACTTTGGGGGGAAGAGTTGTGAAGGTATACTATGTTGAGAAGAATAGCTGAGTTGAGTTGATTCAAGAACCCACATCACAGCACTCAGGGCGTTCCCATAAGTGCTCTGTCCCCATCCTCAGCAGGCAGTGAAGAGTTCCGATATTAATAGTGCCAGTAGCATTCTGATTAAACCTCCGTCTTGCCTTTCCTCTGAGCCTCGAGCATCTGCCAGAACCTCTCGTCACTACCCACTGCATCAATCTCACCAGACTGTGGAGATCCATCTGCTCCTCCGAACTGTACACGCTCTCCCACAAAGCACTAACCACGTCTGCCCTATCATGCATCAGTATTCCACCAAGCTGGGCAGAGCCAGCCAGTCAGTCTGCCTGTTCATTTCCCAAAACACTGGCATCACCCATGTATTGAGGAGAATAATGAAAGTATCAAACAGGAAAATCATGAAGGCAGGAGTCATAAGGGAAATTAGTAAAGGCAAGAGATGCAGGGAATTATCACAAAGGCAAGAAATGCCAGAGAGATTAATGATCTACAAACCAGACTTTAAACTGTTTTTTTTTTACGGCAGTGTAGGAATGGGTGTCTTGAGCTTGAGGATTTAGGATCGGTTGGGCAGTGCTGTAGTCACAAACTGTGCTGGTTAGGATGTTTATTTCTGCCCCTCAGTACAAACATCCATCATCTTGCTGAGAGTCATACCCTGCTTCTCCTGCAAGAGAGCCCAGCATCGTAGCCTCTTAACCAGATGCTCCTTGAACCAGCTGTAAAAGCATTAAAACTCAATCTGTAATTTAATTGTCTACTAACCTAATTTGAACCCTGTTTAAAACATAGGATCTGAAAGTATGGAAATGTTAACCTTGTTAACTGTAATTCCTGGTGTTGCCAAAGATGCCTTCTTGTTTGTCTGGTTGACCCTCAGAATCTGGAGACCGCTAGGTCCTGGCATGGATTCTACAGAGGAAAACAATAATTACATGACAGAGTGCTACAGCTGCCAGGTTTGTGCCAGAGGTTTTGTTAAAAAGGTTCAGATTAAAGTCAAGAGGATTGACTTCAATGAACCAGGTTATATCCCACATGGCTCTGTCTCTCTCCAAAAATGGCTAGCCACATACCGAGAGTCACACAAAGCATAAACTCTGTAGCTCCAGTAATGATCCCCTGGGGTCTTCAAAATAATTTCTCCCATGAACTGATCGACACTGCCATGAAACAAACCCATGCCCTTCAGAGTGTGAGGGAAATTACTTAGCCAATTCACTATGACAATCCCCGAATCATGTGACTGCTCCCAGGCCTGTGTTGATATTGTAAGGATTCTGAACAGGTTTAGTCATGGTATGAAGTGAAGCGATCAGTTCCTTTCTCTTAGATTTTCCTTTCTCAACTTACAGCACACTCAGTATCAGTTGGATGAATTATGTTGAAGAATGCCCACTGTTCGGACAATCTGCAGCTGTTGATAAAAATAGCTGCATGTTCTTCATGTGATATATTGCAGAACAAACCCCAGAATTTTTTTGGCTGTTTGTGATTTCAGTGGGCAATCGTACATTCAGTTGTTAGCCACTGCTTCTGAACGGCCGGTTTTCGATACCACTGTAGAAACCAACACAAAGTGGTCTGCTGTCAAATCACCCACATCTGGGATCAAACCAGGCACAATGATATTACTAAGCGCTGTCGCAACACCTTAGCCACAGATGCCGACAGCAGAGGAAAAAGTCTACACTAAATCTGTATGTTTCAGTTACTTTCTTATGAATATGGACAAACTGTAAAGCTTTGTTGATTTATTTCTCTCTTTAATTTTGTAATGAAGAAGTCCCTCACTGTCTTGTTTAGCCATTTTTCTTCAATCCTATAATTTAGAGCTACTACACAGTCTTGTTTGGCTTTTCCTCTTCTACCTATGCGGTAATGAGGTACCTCACTGTATTTTTAATGTCTTTTTCAATCATGGAGTGTAGACAACCATAAAGTTCTTGTCTTTCCTCTTTTTCCCTGTTTATAGGTGATAATTAACAAACAAGCCAAATAAATTCCTGAGGCCTCAGAGATGTAATTTTACGGAAGAATCCTTAGTCTTCCTTGACAGCCAAAAAGAGCAAGCCAGTTGTTTTAAACAAGGCAGGGGCTCCAAGACCACCTATCACAAACATCAGAAACAGACATTCTTCATTTTGGGTCATGTTATGAGAAGAAGGAAACAGGAACATGTTGTGACCACTGGACAGATTTGTGGGAAAAGAGACACAGAAAGACAAGGTGAGACGATTCTTGACAGCTTTTTGTCATGGCAGGGAGGGGTATCAACACACAAACTGATACATGCTGTTGAAGACTGCAGACTGTGAAGAGGTATGATCGCCCACACCAGTTAGCAAGGTGCTTGATGTTAATGATGATGAAATATAACCTAGTCTCATTTTGTCTTTCCTTTTCTACGTGAGGTAGAGAGGTACCATAGCAGTAGAGTGCAAAGGCATTAAACAGGCATCTGAGTTTAAATATCTGGGAACTACATTTACCGAAGATGGGAAATTGGATAAAGAAATTAACATTAGATGCAGTAAAGCAAACCAAGTATTGGGACAGCTAGCCCACCTCTCACAGCATAAGACAATCCCAATCAGCACAAAGAGACATCTTATTCAAAGCATATTTATTCCAACTCTGTGCTACCAGTGCCAGACATGGTCACTCACAACAAATCATAAAAGAAAATTAGTAACCATGGAAATGAGATGTCTGAGAAGGGCTGTGGGAGTGACCATAAGAGATAAGATCAGGAATGAGATCATAAGAGAAAAAGTCGGCACAGAACCAATTCTGGATTACATACGAAAACAGCAAGTGAAATGGTTTGCCCACTTAGAGAGAATGATTTGTGACACTATACCATACAAAGCATACATGGAAAAAAAAGAAGGACGTAGAGCACGAGGTAGACCAAGAACAACATGGAAGGATAACATCAGAGAAACACTACAACAGCACGATGTGCCTATGGTCGAGGCGGCCAGAAGAGATAGGGACAGAACCTTATATCTCCCTCCACACCCACAGCGGTAAAAGAGGAAGCGAAGAAGAAGACGAGTCTTCAAAAACATCTGCATACCACGGGGGCGCTTGTTTAGGCAGAGCAAACCCCAGGTTTCCTTGATTCTGCATCCTCTGTTGCACCTTTAAAAGGATGGTTGGTGAATAGTATTGTGCTTTACAGATAGGCTGTGATAACTGTGCCTTTTGGCCAAAAACTTGTTTTCAGCAAACTCATAATCAGTCGCCTTTTACAACATGCTGATGTCGACTTCAGAATCTTCATGACAACACTCGGCACACTCCCATAAGTGCTCCGTCCCCATTTTCAGCAGCAAGCGAAGAGTTCCAATTAGATGGCACCAGTAACTGTCTTCTGTCTGACTGTTGATCTGTCTCACCTTTCCTTTGAGTGTTCAGTGTCGGTCAGATCCCCTGGTAACTCTTTGCAGTGGCATTTTCCTCACTGTAATAATCTATTTGTGCCTCCACATTGTTTACATGCTCCCAAGGAGTCTCACAACATCTAGCTTGTCATACATCAGTTCACCAATAAGTTGTGCAGAATCAGGCAATCTATCTGCCTGCATATTTCTCAACACAGCAGCATGACCTGGAGAAAAAATCTCAAGGATGCATGGAGCATGCCTGTTTCCACCTTTATCAATATGCTCTGAAAAAGTGCTTGATACCATCTCACCACATACTTGTTAAGGGACAGCAGGTTTATCCCACTCCCCCAAATATGGCCCTGGAACGCGCAGGAGGACAATTACTGGGTTCAAACTTACCTCCGATGTCAGCTGCAGTTTTCAGTATGGCTGAGTTGATAGAGTGACCGCTAGACACAGCTGCATTCTGGCAGTTCACCATCTCCCTAGTTTCCATGGCAACAGGATGAAGGGTGGTCAGGTCACTGCTGTCCAGTGCAGAGTCCATAACGACCTCTGCAGAGGTGATAACCCCTGACTCTTGCATTGTGGAGTGGAGAGACTGATCATCATCAGTGTTGTTTGAGGTGTCCATGTACGTTGGGCTTTCTGTAATCAATAAGTTAAAAATTTACACAACATAGTCTCTCTTTCCCTCTCTCTCTCAATGTCACTAGTGCATTCTTTTGTATCTGTGGGATGCATGTCTGTATGTATATTTATGAATCAGTATGTATACCTGTCTATGTCTGTGTTGTTGTGTCTCTATATGTATGAACACTTTCACCACATTATTTGGTCACTCCAGTCTTTAAACAACCACACACAAAAACATGAGGTTGGTTCTGCAACGTTGTGTTCACTTTAACCAAGTGGAGTGTTTGAGTTAAGCGATTTCATGTTAACAAGGTTTTACAGTCCATAGAAATACAGTAAAAGTAAAAGATCCCTTTGACTGCAGAGATATCTCAGGCACATGGTACTAGGCCCATATTTGTACAGGCCAGCTGGCACTTCAATGACTGATGTGGTCAGCATCATGCTGGCTGTCTTTTCTTTCCTTGACATTTCCCCAGTACCTATTTTAGGTGAAAGGGAGTGAAAGAGCTAACAGGCTGGCTGGGTCTGCAGTGGGGGAAAAGACCTATGAACAGGGCAGACACACTGAATGTGCTGAGTTCCAGAGACAATGAGACAAAGGAGTCAGAGACAATGAGACAAAGAAGTCAAAGACAACAAAACATAGGAGTCATAGACAATGAGACAAAGGAGTCAGGGACAATGAGACAAAAGAGTCAGAGTGAAAATGAGACAAAAGAGTAAGAGACAACAAAACATAGGAGTCATAGACAATGAGACAAAGGAGTCAGAGACAGTGAGACAAAAGAGTCAGAGACAACAAAACAAAGCAGTCAGAGACAATGAGACAAAAGAGTCAGAGACAATGAGACAAAAGAGTCAGAGACAATGAGACAAAGAAGTCAGAGACAATGAGAAAAAGGAGTCAGAGACAAAGGAGTCAGAGACAATGAGACAAAAAAGTAAGAGACCACAAAACAAAGCATTTGGAGACAATAAAACAAAGGAGTCAGAGACAGTGAGACAAAAGAGTTAGAGACACCAAAACAAAGGAGTCAGAGACAATGAGACAAAAAAGTCAGAGACAATGAGACAAAAGAGTCAGAGGCAATGAGACAAAAAAGTCAGAGACAATGAAAAAAAGGAGTCAGAGACAATGAGACAAAGGAGTCAGAGACAATGAGACAAAAGAGTCAGAGTGAAAATGAGACAAAAGAGTAAGAGACAACAAAACAAAGGTCTCAGAGACAATGAAACAAAGGAGTCAGAGACAATGAGACAAAAGAGTCAGAGACAACCAAACAAAGGAGTCAGAGACAATGAAACAAAGGAGTCAGAGACAATGATACAAAAGAGTCAGAGACAACAAAACAAAGGAGTCTGAGACAATGAGACAAAAGAGTCAGAGACAATGAGACAAGGAGTCAGAGACAGACAAGGAGACAAAGGAGTTGGAGACAACAAGACAAAGGAGTCAGAGACAATGAGACAAAGAAGTCAGAGACAATGAGACAAAGGAATCAAAGACAATGAAACAAAGCAGTCAGAGACAATGAGACAAAGCAGTCAGAGACAATGAGACAAAGCAGTCAGAGACAATGAGACAAAGCAGTCAGAGACTATGAGACAAAGCAGTCAGAGACAATGAGACAAAGCAGTCAAAGACAATGAGACAAAGCAGTCAGAGACAATGAGACAAAGCAGTCAGAGACAATGAGACAAAGCAGTCAGAGACAATGAGACAAAGCAGTCAGAGACAATGAAACAAAGGAATCAAAGACAATGAGACAAAGCAGTCAGAGACAATGAGACAAAGCAGTCAGAGACAAAGAAACAAAGGAATCAAAGACAATGAGACAAAGCAGTCAGAGACAATGAAACAAAGCAATCAGAGACAATAAATTACCTGGATCTCTCAGCAATACTCAACTCAATCAAAAAACATCTAGATTTCAATACAATCACCAACTCATTCCACAGATGTCTTAACAATAATCGACTTAATCTATGCATCTCCCAGCAATCATCAATTCACATATCTAGATCTACCTACAATCATAAATCCAATGATCAATCAACAACATTCAAGAAATGTCAAGATGTCCCAATAATCACCAAACAATTCTTTGAATCTCTGGACCAGCTATGAAAACATGCATGCTTTCACCCTGAGAAAACAAAAATCTGAATCTTCTGGTTTGTGCCATGTCAGTAAATGCTGCTTTATCAAGATTGCTACCATAGCTTTTTCAGGGGAAGCATACATAGCTAAGTGCAATTATATATCCTTTGTGCAAACATTTAGGGTGACTGAGGATGATTATATTTGCTTAAAAAAAAGCATTCATTTGAAAAAAAAATGCTTTTTTAAAATCAAAATTATGTCAAAATTTCTCATTAATCCTAGGGGTAAATGGCAACCTAGATACAGGGTAAATAATGGCTCAAGGTATAATCTTTTTTTTTTTTAGAGATGTAACCCAGTTAATTCTCAGTTGCATTTGTGTTTACCAATTACTCTCCTTATTCAGTACGAAATGAAAACTTATTTACGTCTATAAATGGAAATACTGGGAATTAGTTGTTGTTGTAAGTACATAAGTAAAATGGTTGTTTTTCAGGAATGTTTTATGTGAATTCCTGAAATCTGGGTCACTGGCTTAATTTTTTATAGGTCACTGGGGTGAAAGAGTTTAGATATCAATGGGACATCAAGACAGATAACATCAACCCTAGCATAGCAACAAGAGTTCCTCTCCCTAACTCTAACCGATGAAGCCTGCCTACCTCAATTTTCGGCATCACCATGAAATCATGGCTGGAGGAAGAGGAGGACTGGCCCAGTGAACTGCCAACCCTCTCACAATTATTCAGCATGGCTGCCATTGTTGATGTGCTGACCTCTGCTGCATTACTATTTCCTGAGGTGAAGGTAGATGGCATAGAACCGAGCTGCACTAAAGTGTAGGAGTGGCTGGGCTGGGAGGACTGTAAACAGATGTAATTAAACAGAAGTATTGATATCCGTTAAAGAAATATAGAAAGCAATAATTAGAATAATGGTACGAATAATGATATAATTAAAATTATAAATAAAATTATAGTCGCAGTGATTCAGAAAGTTGAAGATATTGATTCTGATCCTGGTAACGACTGAGTAAGGAAAGAGTACTGGTGATAATGTGTCTAATGATAATGTAAAGAATATTAGAATAATTCTAATAGATTGAATGACAGAGTAATTTAATTATGATTATAGTGAGTTTGTTAGCATCTCATTTTTCCGGACAATAGTGTTCCGTTAAGCTTTACAGAGATAAAGGAACTACAGTCAATAACTCCCCTTGTGGGTTCCGGGGTCCCATTGTGGGGACAACAAGAAGAGATCCACGGCCTCCTCAGCAAGCACGTCATAGGAGTTGACTATTTGGAGACTTCCTTCGAAGTCCAAGTGCATCTGCCCCAGTGGCAAGGAACAACCAAATGTACACAAATTAGCCAGCAAAAAGGATTTAGCAGCAAAATTCAGGATCTGGCATAAAGCAACAGTCCAAAGAAATGAACAACAAGGAATTCCCACCGGAGCATACAGCCGTTGAACAAAAAGAAGACAGTTGATAACAATGGTGAGGGACCAGCTTGCATTAAGAAGAATCCTGCCACAGCACAAAGCCTGGTATTGTACAGATCACATGATGCCCAAGCAGCATCATCATCCCTCTCTCAGTAGACCTTGTTTACTCCAAAGCAAAGGTAACACCATTACATTTGAAAAAGAATGCTGCAGAAGCTGCTGGGTTAAAAGAGCAGTGCTCTGCCAGAGCTAATAAGATTAGATTGATCATAGTTCGGTGAAAAATGATGATTAGGATAATGAAAATATAATAACAGCAGTAATGATGACTCAGTGAGCTTTAAGTACATTCCTCACCAGTGACAGAAGTGAAGAACTTCCTGGAGCTTCAGAAGTGTCCAGACTGAGCGTGGACTGGCTAACTGTACAATCTGATGGTGACATCACCCGCTGGACTGTCAGCAGACGATGCTCAGAGTCATAGACCAGCTGATAGCCCTGCGATAAACAATATGAATACATCAATCAGTGTCAAATGAGGTTCTAACTGAGCAATGATAAATACTAGATTCATAACACCTCTCAGCCTCTCTTTACTTGCCTAAGTCGTCCTCACCTACAGGCGGTAGAAACTTTCTCCCAGTAATCATGCGGAAGGTTAGGGTTTCAACCTCCAGCAGGAAACGTTTGGACCATCATGTCGCGGGAGCCCATACCCCTATCATTTTGGACGTCTGGATCCTGTTACCTCTATGCAAATGGGGGATATTTGAAAATGAACTTTCCTCTGTAACTAAATAGTCCTTCTTTGGTATTTACGTGCCAAGAAGTTGGGATGAACACTCATTTCCTTCCTAAATCTTCTTGGAATGAGATAGATATATATACAGATATATAAATCAGGGACTGCTAAGTCTTCTTAAAGCTAAACTCATTGGCCATATCACCGCCAATTTTAGGAGTAGGGATACTCTCACCTCTGATTCTGGCATACTTCTTTTTGAGTGTCACTTGTGGCTGTGTTTTTACTGAAGGTGGACCGTTTTCGTCCTGGTCTTCAAAAGCTATCAGTAACTTTGAATTTTCCTTTTCCCAGGGAATTTCATATAGGCATGATGTTCTTAATCCAGAGCTGATGTTGTCCAGGTCTGGCCAGCTTAAGGAGAGGATTTCATGCATCTTCAGGTGAGCAGAGACCAATCTGCAGTCAAACTAGATACTGTGCCAACTTTACCCACAACACTGCAATAACTGGCTGTGATGACGTTTAGAGTATTGTGGCACCCCTAAAAGCTGTTATATCTGTCCAGATCACTTCTATAGTGTCAATTATTTGTCTGCTTGGTGAAATGATTTTCAGAGTCTCTACCTATGTTAAATCCATTACATATTCTTATTATTAAGAATTCAGAGGTGTCAATGTATGATTATTTCCTGTTCTTGTAGAGAAGAGTGTTTGTGATAGTATTCATGTCTTGTCAGAGTCTTTACATGTTATCATTCGACTGTGATTGGTTTTCAGTCTGGGGGCTACTAAGTAGTGAGGGTGTCTAGGAGTTATTAATTCTGTAGAGCCATAATTTGTGTTGCCGCACTCCTAAAGTAGGTTGGATGTTTATTGGGAACTGCAGGATTCTGCCTAGACCAATGCAAGCCAACATTTCAACATAACTACTTCAGAATGCCTTTGTTGATTCATTTTTGGGGAAACCCTAATAAAGGCCTGTGACGACAACTGTCATATAACAATTAAATAAGGAAAAGTTAAAATCTGGTTTCATCATCTACATACTGAGTTAAATGCAAGATGTTACACTGTGAGCTGTGGATTTCATGTGGAATGATTGTTATTGTTGCTGCCACTGATTTGTGATGTGAACTGCATGTTCTTCTTCTTCATCTTCTCCTTCTTCTGCTTAGCATTCACCGGCTGTAAACTCCGGTGGAAAGCTCTGGTTGTCATCCACTTCTGGATTTCAGTCTTGTTTCAGAACTTCAATTTTGCATGCATGTTTTACAGATCTGGCTTACTTGTATGGAGACTGCTGGCTCCTAGCTGCTCAATCAATTAATCCCTAATTAATTAGTTGCCCTGTACCACATGCTTGTTAGGGAGGCAGTGGGTCTGTCCTCTCCCATGGAACCCACATAGGAAATGCAGATACTGATTTGAGTGTACTGAGCGATACCACAATTTTATCCTGTATGGCATGGTCTCTCTTAGAACTGTAAGCCACCTGATAAAATGTTCTGCACAAAATATTAACTTTATAGTTACAGTGATGATGCCTAGGGATCTCAGTAAAAATCACTTGTGAACAGAATGACATTAAATGAAATCGAACCTACAACCTTGAAAGCATGAGATGAATGTCTTAACCCAGTGTTTTACAAACTTTTCTTAGTCGCGCCGCCTTTTTTCAAATAAAACTTTTTCACGGCGTACTAACCTAAATAAAAGTATGACTATTCGCATGTAAGAAATTTTAAAAAAATTTGTGTATCTTCGAATATTTTGCGGCGCCCCTGTGAAAAAGTCGCGGCTTCCAGGTGCGCCATGGCGCACAGTTTGGGAATCACTGGCTGAACCATTTAGCCACAGAAATTTCAGACAAGCACAGGTGAAACAACCAGCTGGGAACAGGGTCAGTCAGGATCTGCCCTCTTCTACTTTTGCTGGCAGAGACCACACCAGTATAAATGTATCCCAAGTGTGGTTGTGTTGATTCTTAATTATAGTCACTTGAAATGTCTTACTTGTGGAAGAGTGCTGCTGTCTGCTGTCGGAGCAGCAATAAGGTGAGCATTTACTGTGGATTGGCTGTCGACAGTCATCTGCTGCATGTCTGAATATGAAGGTGTGGCTTCACTGTTGTCCCCTATGTCCTGGAAGTCATGTCCTGCAGTCTCCTGTTCAAAAGTGGAATGTGCTGGGACCTGATAGGACTGACTATTCTGCGTCTGCATCTGTATCACTTCTGAAATTAATGAGCAAAGTAAATGACTTACAATTAATTTAACATTTTTTAATTTATGTTCTTTCCACTTCTATCTCTGAATGTAGAAGGACCTTAAAATCTTGACCAGTCTTTCCATTTTTACCTTCGATGTAAAGAGACTTTAACATCTTGACCAGTCTTTCCATTTCTGCTGTTGATGTAGAGGGATCTTGACATCTTGACCCGTCTTTCTACTTCTACCTTTGATGTTAAGATACCTTAAAATCGTGACCAGCATTTCACCTCTACCTCTGTGACGAGTCTAGACTCCTGTTTCTTACCTATTAATTATTGCTTCTTAATAGCAATATTATAGATGTCATAATTAGAAAAATAAAAAGGTGAATGAAAATTGAGAGGATCAAACAGAGTACTTCCTCTTTTTTTTAAGCCCATCCCACTTACTTTTTAAACAGAGACACATGGTGAACAAGCAGGTGCTCTTAACTGCAGTGACCAATGTGTGTTTGAAATCCCTACCAGGGTTCCAGGTGGGGGTTCCAGTGTATCTGCAGGTGTCAGATTGTCTAGACTGGACTAGAAGATTCGACCTGCCTGAAGTGTCTCCGAGGCAGAGCAAGAAGCTGACCCAAGGAGCACTAACAACAGATGAGCGGACATATCAATCCAGTCCGGAAACTTTTCTATCTCCCCAACTAGTCCAATGATTTAAATAAATGATTGTTTTAACTGTCCTTCCAGTTTTAACCCTAGTCATTTGTGTCAGTGAGCAATAGCTAGTATATTTTAGTACATTTAAATATACAATATATTAACAGTAGGAATCAGATGTGGGCCAACTCTGAATCCTCTCCTTTAACCAGCAAGGCTGGGAGATAGATAAGATCTTTTAGGATGTTTCACTGTTTGAGATTCCCTCAGTATGCCATCTGTTTATGAGGTCTTGTACAGAACAGAAGAAGAACTATGTTCAAGTATTTTGGTGGACTGCACACAGCACATTGGCAATAACAAAGCAAATTACCACGCTGCAACCTCTGATGTTAAAAGACTGTAAAATCTTTACCAGCCTTTCCCAGTTTACAATTTTTATTTTCCCTTGTCAAAAGAGAATGTGTAAAAGGTGCACTGTTGACATGTCTAAGAATGTTGTCTTGTCTGAAACTTTTCTTGTCTTAAAATGTCATCTTATCTGAAAATAGTTCTTTTACATCATGGAATACAGTGTAGTGATGTCAACAAGTTATAAAACTGACCTCTCATGTAACTGAGGTGAGAGCAGTACTGTCACGTCACCTGAAAACATGGAGGTGGTGGCAGTACTTTGATTTTACCTAAAAACTGTCTTCTCATGGAGGTGGTAGTAGTACTTTTATCTCACCTGAAAACTGCCCTCTCATGTCATGGAAGTGGCGACCATCCAGCTGACTCTGCAAGGATGCCCTGTCCTGGGAGCTGGATCCACTTGCTAGTGACACAGATCCTTGACCCCCTTGCATATTCAGGGTTTCCTGGCCTCCCAGGCTGACTGCAGCTGGGAGGAACCCACTCTGGTCAGGCTGGGCCCACATTTGCTGCTGTTGCTGAGATACTCCAGAGCTGCGGACAAATTATAGATACTGTTACTTATTTCACTCCCTGTGTGGGTTCCGGGGTCCTATTGTGGGGAAAGCAAAAACAAACCCACTGAGTCCCTGACATGTTGTAAGAGTCGACTAACTGGGAACTTCCTTCTGCGTTGAAGTGCTATTACCTGATAGGCAAGGAACCAATAGTCTGCATACAAATAAGCAAGACTTGTAAAACAGATGCATATGAAAAACTCAGGTCCTGGAACAAAGCCAAAGTCCAGAAATAGACAAATAACCAGACCACCCGGGTTTAAGTAGGTGAACGTAAATAACAACTTATTTCATATATACTAAACCACAGTTACAAAAGGTGATGTTATCAGTCTCCTTTTCTGCCTTTGATAATCCAACTCAGAGCAAATTCTGAAAGCAGACGTGATGGGATGAAATGATTTTAAACCAACAACTTTAACTATGATAACTAAAACCTTTAGTGTTTTGGTTAACCAGACAGCCCATAAAACTGTCTTACTAAGAGATGTACCAGTGGACTCAGGTTCAATGTCTCCACACAGACATTCTGCTGAGCTCTGTCTTGCTTACAGACATTCCTTTAAACTCAGGTTCTTCGTTTTCTGCGTTCATCCGCAAACGTAAATATTTTGTGCCTGTTTACAACATGGCTGCGATATATGCGCTTTTCGGCTGCACACATCTGACTTCTGCAGGTATGTTTTTCCTAGGTTAGTCCTCTCAGAAACTCAGCACACAGACATTCTACTGAATACTGTCTTGCTCATAGATATTCCTTTAAACTCAGGTTCAAGCCACAAATATCCCACTACACTAGTTGAGGGGGACTGCATACAGATGGCAATAGTCACATATGGAGGTTGCACACTGAAGTGACCAAGTAGGAATATGCGCCTGGCCAGAGAATTGGCTAGTAGATTACAAAACTAGGCACACAAGAATGAAACTGACTGCTGCAGAATACAGTAATTAAGTGTAGACAAAGCAAGAAAGAGTCTTTCCTTGCAGTATCTTTACACATCTTTTCTTCTGTCCATATTATATTACAGAATAAGGGCTTTTCTGGGTAATTCTCATAATGAGACCCAAAATATCTTTCTTGTAGAGAATCAGCCAGTGGTTTTCTGTGTGACAGGTAGGAACAGCTAACCCTGATCTAGCAAGGCCATAATGAAAATCTTCTGCTTCTTTTAATTCAAGGACCTGCATGCCGAATTTACCCTTTGAAAATAAAGTTTGTTCAGTATTCTGAACCTCTGAGGTTCCCTGCTGCAGACAAATATTCCTCGCTTCTTTCATTTCTGTCACTGGCTTTCTTCTTCTACTTAGTGGATTGAGGCTAGCTCTAGCCACAACATTCATTTGCACCGTGTGTCTGCGATAATGTGAAGCTGACTTGTTCTAATATTCATTTGGTTTGATATCTTTTCATGGCATCTATTAAAAAGATGACATTTTAAAACAAAAGGGTAACAATAAACAATGAATGCACACCTGTTTCCTTGCACTGATGATGATGTGATAACACTGCCTCCATCAGCTCTGCTTCCCAGACCACAACTACCAGGACTGAGGGATGAATGATGGAGACCAGCAGCTGAAGCAGCCCCCAACATGTTGCCAGCATCCACCAAGTTAGAAGCCTGGTTGAGAAGATGCTGCTGCTGCTGTTGATGATTCAGGTGTCGATGATGCTGCTGGTGCTGGCTGACCAGGAGCTGACCATTTGCTCCGCTAATAATGCTAGCTGGAACTGCGTTCAAGGTCAGGATTTCGCTTCCACTGATCATGTTTTGATTTACCGGCAGCTGTAAATTCAGTGAGGAGGGGAGAAGATTCTGGAAATTTCCTGAAGCCACAGCTCGACTAACTGCTGCTCCAAGTGCCTGAATGAGGCCTGAAGCCGAGGAGTGGATGCCGTTGCTGTCATTGTTATTAAAGTTCATAATACTGCCACTGTTGCCAAGGCTTTGGGAATCAATAATTCCATTAGAACTGATCTCATTTGAATGTAGAACAGCCCTGCTAGTCGATCTGCCAACATTCTGAAAGCTGAGCTGTTGATGCTGTGTATGAAGATGCTGCTGCTGATGGTGGTGATTTGCCAGGCTGACTGCCTCCATGATAACGGGACGACTGGTGCCACGAAGTCCACCACCACCACAATCAGCTGCACTGCTTATTATAACATTTCCACCACTGAGTGGCAGGTTCAAATTACCGTCATTTGTTGTGATATTATTGCTGGAAATATTGTTCAATGTTGAGCCCGAACTAAAATGGATTCCACTGACCCGCAACACATCAAGGTCAGCTGTACTCAGAGGAATCAGGATGGCATTTTCCTGGCCAATAGAATGCAAGTGGCCACCTGAGTTTGCTGACGATGAAGATGAGGATGGCATTGCTCCGATGCTGATATTATTATTATTACTGTGACCTGGCATCATATTCTGATGCCGTCTACCTTCCGCCATTCTCTCAAAATTATTTGTAATAAATTCTTTCCATGAAAAGAACTCAAAACACAAATAGCCTCCTTTCCATCATTTTATTACATCTGAAAAATAAAAATAATTGTCAATATTTTAAATGTTAATGCATGTGCAACAAAGTGATCCTTTACTAACAAATCCTGAATAAAATAACTAAATTAATAAAGTAACAGAAAATGTATTGATCAGCTCTCATAGAAAGAAGTAGAGTGATAGAAGCACACACTAGACAACATAAACATCGAAAGCTATAGTTACCGTGCCGGGAATCGAACCTGTCACTTCCAGACGGCATGTGCACCTCACTGTGGAAAAAGTGCACTAAGAATATGGTCAACTAGGCACCCCCAAAAAATGTGTCTTTTTGGCCATGTCTATTGTACAGCTTAAAATTCACAACTTTGAAATACGGACAGAATTTGTTTCAAACCACTGAAATGGTGCCAATAGGTTATAGAAATTTATGTTAACGAAGCATAGGTAGAATAACAAGCACAGCAATAATTTACGAACACAGTAGACCTTAATGCTTTGTCTAGAATACACAAACATTTAAGAAAGGTATTTGATTGGTAGGTTCCGGTGTGTATACGTCATTCACATAAATAAACAGACGGGGAACCCTTGAGGCCATTAAATATTATATATTTAATATGTTACTAAAGTAACAGAAAATGTATTGATCGGCACTCATAGAAAGAAGTAGAAAGATAGAATAACACACTAGACAACATAAACATCGACAGCTATAGTTACCATGCCGGAAATCGAACCTGCCACCTCCGTATGGCCTGTGCATCTCCCTATGGAAACAAGTGCACTAAGAACATGATCAACTAGGCACCCCCAAAAAAGGTGTCTTATTGGCATGTCTATCGTACAACTTGAAATCCACAACAATTTATTTATAAAATAACTAGGACAGAGTGGATGCAAGTACCAACGGTTGTCTGCTCTAATTTAGTCTTCCTGCATTTTAGCAGCAGCAACAGTATTCACATAAATAATATTTATTGAATCCTCAGGGACATAAGTGTCCATGTATTTCCAATGCATACTTTTTGTAAATCTGGGTATCGTATGACTTGAGCATTTAATGTTCCTATTATGTGTATTCTTTGCAATCCCCAGATGTCAACTCCGGCACAAAGTCCTGGTTGTTGGACTTGTTCTAGAACTTGAGTTCTGTGTCCACATCTGGTTTAGAAAACTAGCTTATTTGTATGCAGACTGCTGGTTCCTCGCCTCTCAGGCAGATGTACTCTGATCCTTGAAGGAAAAACCCCTAATTAGCTGTATATTATGACATGCTTGTCAGAGAGGCAGTGGATCTATTCTTTCTCCCCTCCCCCACAATGGGGCCCAGGAACCTACACTAAGAATAAGGAAGCCCTAAAAAAATAATAGCACACTGAGTTGCTTTGTACTGAATGAGTTAACTTTGAGGCCCCCAAGAAGGCTAAATCTAGTCACTGTCATTTGTAACACAGTCCCATAAATGCTGATTTAGGGTTATGTCTGCAGTGACCTGTTTTTGGAAAGTGTAGTTAAATGCCATTGGTCCTACGTGCACCTGCGTTGTCTTTAATAGGTGAGGATATAAATATAGTAACTAAAAATTGCACAGGAGGGTGGGGGAGGGGGGACCAATGATAGCCATTAGAAAGCAAAGTTGTTGTCAAATGTACCTGCAAGCCTAAGCGGTAGAGGTCACAGGGTCATCTCATGAGTCACCCAATATATTTTGGGTTTTTTTTAAAGGCCATGGGTTATGTATTCCAACTAATGCTTTGCTCAGTTCATGTTTATTGATTACCCCTTTATATATTTTGAAAAAAGTTTTCAAATGAGATACATAAAGTTTAAAAAAAAATATACTAGTGACCTGCACAATATGTTGTTTTTTAAAAGAACTTTTCTGTAACCTACTTTGTTTAGCAATTGCGAGACGAAAGGCTGAAAAATGCAGCGGTCAACTTCCTATTATCTTTTTGATGTCTGTTTTACTACTGCCATCATCTGTTATTATATGTCCAAGATTGCAAAAAGTTCTTACTTTTTCCAATACCTCTCAATTTACTGTGGTCTTTACAGTGGCTCATTTTCATTGTTAATTATCATTGTTTTTGTTCCTCAAATTCCTCATGTGAGTTCCTTAGCCCCATGTCATGAAAAACAAGAATAGACCCACTGCCTCCCTAACAAGCATCTCGTAGGAGTCAACTAATTGGGGGCATCCTTTGAAGTCAGAGTGCATCTGACTGACAGGCAAGAAACCAAGAGTTTGCATATAAATAAGCCAGATCTGTAAAATAACTGTGCACGCAACACTTAGGTTCTGGAACAAGACTAAAGTCTGCAGGTGGACGAACAATCAGAACTTTCCATCAGAGTTTACAGCTGGTGAACACCAATCCAATAAATACCTCACCTTTATTGACTGTCCAGTGCAGCGGTTGCTTTCCTATCGGTTACTTGATTCTTTCCAGCCTATCTTATTACCTTTGGCTTCAAAAAGGTGAGTTATGTTATTTGAGGGAAGTGGAAATGGACTTTTACCCTAAACTAATTACATTTTCTGTTCCTATGCGGGTTACCTTGTATCTCTGCATTTATAGATCCCTGAGAAAAATTTCCTACTGACACATTTGACACAACTGGTTTTTGAAGATTTATACAGAAACATTGATTTATTAAATTTTTATTTTTTTTAAATAACTAGATTTCACTATTTTGGCAATGGTCGGTGGGCCATTTGCAAGGCCTTGGAGAGCCATTTGCTAGGCCTCGATGGGTTAGATTTGGCCTGCGGGTCGCCAGTTGAATAGCCCTGGCCTAAACCATACTCTACATTCTTAATGTTGACTTGATCCATCAGGTCCTGTAACTAATGCTCACTTTCTGCTAGTAAGACTGTATCATCTGCATATCTCAGATTGTTTATTATTCTTCCATTAATATGCAGTCCAGACAATGCTCCAACCTTTAAATAAGTTGAAAAGGATCGGGGATAACACATATAATTGACATACTTCTCTTTGTATCTCTATCTGTGAAAAGGCAATGCTACTGTAACTAACTATTTGTTACAGTATAGGTTACTACAGTCCGTTCCAAAAGTCATGCCCTAAAACTTAAACAAATATCTCAAAAACTCACATACGGATCAACACAAATTTGTGAACGTACTCTTATATTTTCCAAGTCCTTATGATTTCATAAATTACAAATGCATAAGTGCTGCTGTCTTCTTAAAAAGGCAAATTTTTTTTATCTTTGGCGGACTAATAATTTGTGTACCCGAAAACCCATTTTCAAAAATAAAAGAATATAAAGTTATTGTCACAAACTGTTCACTTTTTATGAGCCAGTCAACAAGTATCAAGACAGTATATGATCAGGTGTCTATTTAAGAACAAAACAACAAAAAACCCTAATTTTTAGCATGGACTACCTCCAAAATATGGGCAATTTGATGTTTAACCAAGTGCCATATACTGTAAACATGCTAAGTGTATGCTCTGAATCACTGTACAAAAGCACCTCCTGCAGAAAGCCATGAGTAGAGCTAAGAGTCATAGACTGAAAAGAGGAAGGTCTTGGATCACGCAAGCTGAAGAGACGATTGGACATTTGTGTAGGCTTGATAAATTTAAGCGAGTAGAGGAGTGAATCAAAGTGTCCAAGCAAGTTTCATACTTGTGTAGGGTTCTTATCACTTTGAGTTGTGAGTGCAGGGACTGGCCAGCTGGTGCTGCAGAATCAGAAGTTCTACAAATGATTCATAAAAATTCCCACCCAGGTGATGTGATTATGTATACAGATGGCTCTATGTTGAGGGGCAGACAAAGGGCATGGGAGTTTATAGCAAAAGCAAATGGACGTCGCTTGCTGAAGCAAAGCCTGGCACATGATATCACAATGTCTAGTTTGAGAATGGAGGTGGAGGCAGTCACTGCTGCCTTCCGCTAGTTTGAGAATCAGCTGTACACACATGCTGTGATTGTAATTGACTCACAGAGCAGGTTGAGAAAAGTGAAGACTGGCATGCTCCGTGCAAAGTGGCAAGCATTACTTCAAAGGTCCTGGGTAGTTAACATCCTTTGGATATTCTCTCCAGGTTATGCCAGTGTGTTAGGAAATGAGCAAGCAAATATACTGGCCGGGTCTGCACCGCTTGGTGGTGAATTGATGTATGACAAGCTGGATGTTGTGATGACTCTTTGGAAGCGATTAAACTGTGAGGAGGCACACACAGATCATCAGGTCTGGGGAGAATGGTGCTGCGAGGAGTTACAAGGGGATGTGGCCGGTGCTCAGCACTCAGGGTAAAGGCGAGATGGATATACAATGATACAGTTACTGGTGCCATCAGAATTGGAACTCTTCGCTTGCTGCTGAAAATGGGGAATGAGCGCTTATGGGAGTGTTCCGAGTGATGTGATGTCGATTCTTAATTCAACACTGATCAGTGTACCTCAGAATCCAAATTCCTTAAAAACTTAAATAACTTGGAATCGGAATAAAAATTATGAGTAAATTTCTCCTCTTACTCAAATGCCTCTTTGGAAACTGAAATTCTGGTATATACTGATCATGCTACTGAGCTGACAACACAAAAGCTTTAACACCTTCACCAGCATGAGAAGGAAGAAACTGCAGATGAGATTTCTTCCTGGGAGGAAACAGGAAAGCTGGAAGGATTAGCACTGCTGAAATTCAAGATCTTCTGACCAAATGGTCCAAAACACAAGAAGTTGTTAAGAGGTGGTACCCTGATTATTTTAGAAACCCTCTACAAGTGGTGAGTGACTATGATATGAAACAGAAAAGAATCCTGATGTTATCATGGAAGGTGACTCAGCTTCCAAACAATCATCTCCATAAATCCCCCTTCCTCTTCCTACTTCTTTCTGATATGCCACCATTTTTATCAAGCTACCATAAATAAATGT